ATTTATAGGCATACTGAGTCACAATGATGCCAAATTGAGGTAATATGCATGTTGCAAGCTCCACCATTTCATGCTTATGTCACAATGTCACAGAGAAGTTACATAAGTAGCAATATTTGCATTTCAATGTTCATTTTGTCTTTTGCCCCTGCCCTCATTTCAACCCATACTTCTGGAGAACTACAACTAGACTAGCAGGGCTTGAAGGATACTTTCCCCCACCCCCCATGGTCATTATTTCTATTTTGTTTTGGTTGCTCAACAATTTTGGCTCAGTTGGCGCTGAGGTAAACAACTCAAGGAACCAAATATCCTATTCCAAGAAAGACATAATAAACAGGAAGCAGGACAACTTGGCAACAGGAGGGCACCCATCTGGAACAGCAGGGGTGGAAATCAGCAGTGAAATATTGGAGGATGGAAGATTTCACCTTCAAAACTAGCATTTTACCCATAGATCATGTGCATCACCTGCAAGAAAGGTCTGAAAGCTACTCATGTCAGTTTCCAAATGTGTAATCGGAAGCACTATCTTATCCTTTACCTAAAGCAGCAAAAATATCTCAAGCCAACTGATCTTGGGGACTGGCTGAAATGGAGTACAGCAGTGGTGGGTTTCAAAATTTTTTACTACCGGTTCTGTGGGTGTGGCTTGGTGGGTGTGGCATGGCTTGGTGGGCATGGCTTGATGGGTGTGGCAGGATATTGTAAAATCTCCATTCCCGCCCCAATCCTGAGCCTGGATAGCTCAACAGACTAAAAGCCTGTTATTAACATTCAGCTGTCTGCAATTATTGCATGTTTGAATCTCCCCAGGCTCAAGGTTGACTCAGCCTTCCATCCTTTCTAAGGTAGGTAAATTGAGGACCCAGTTGTGGGGGCAATAAGCTGACTTTGTATAAAATATACAAAAGTATAAAGGCTATTGCTTAACGCATTGTAAGCCGCCCTGAGTCTCCGGAGACGGGCGGTATATCTAATTTAAAAAAAAAAAAATCCAGGGGAAGGTTACTGCAAAATCCCCATTTCCTCCCGATCAGCTGGGACTTGGGAGGCAGAGAATAGATGGGGGCGGGGCAGGGCCAGTCAGAATTTTTACTACCGGTTCTCCGAACTACTCAAAATTTCCGCAAGAACTGGATAGAACCTGCTGAAACCCATCTCTGGCGTACAGGATAATGGAAAGCAGTAGGGAAGGCAAGTATATATTCAGAGAAGTAGGAGACAAGCCACCTATGTGACATTTGAATTATTTCTGAACTAAAATCCCAGAATCTCTCATGTTTCCTAAGATTGCTGGAAATCGAACTTTAACAACATATGACATGCCACACAAAAAGCTTAACAAACCATAATAGATTTGTTTATGTAAAATACTACTCTGAAATAAACAGACCATGTTATAGGTTAGAGCAATAGCTTCATTCACATAACATGATAAATGATAACGGTTGAAGAATGGTTACATGAACTGGGCATGGCTAGTCTAGTGAAGAGAAGGACTAGGGAAGACATGATAGCCATCTTCCAATATTTGAGGGGCTGCCTCAGAAAGGAGGGGGTCAAGCTATTTTCCAAAGTACCTGAAGGCCAAACAAGGAATAATGGTGGAAACTGACCAAGGAGAGATTCAACCTAGAAATGAGGAGGAACTTTCTGACAGTGAGAACAATCAACCAATGGAACAGCTTGCCTTCAGACGTTGTGAGAGCTTCATCACTTGAGACTTTCAAGAAAAGATTGGACTGCCATTTGTCAGAAATGGTGTAGGGTCTCCTGCTTGAGCGGGGGGTTGGACTAGATGACCTATAAGGTCCCTTCCAACTCTGTTACTGTTACAATATGATTTTTGGTCACTCAGTTTACACCACGTGGTGGAAACAAGCTAGACTCTAATGCTAATTATGCTCTAATGCTAATTATGCTGGTGATAATAATCAATCTGTCAGGAACATTAGCAGCATAAAGAGGCAGCAAAACAAGTTTTTCATGTACACATTACTGACCTTCCCATTTTGTGGAGGAAACATACTGTATTTACAGTAAGTACAAGCTTTTCAGATGTTAGGCAATCTATATATCGAATGACCATTAGATGGCAGCAATGAATCAGACTTTTCTATATTGCTTTGTTATTCTAGTGCAGAGGTCCCCAAACTTGGCAGCTTTAAGACTTGTGGACTTCAATAAGCATAGCTGGCTGGAGAATTCTGGGAGTTGAAGTCCACAAGTCTTAAAGCTGCCAAGTTTGGGGACCCCTGCTCTAGTGATTGCCTGAGGTATTATAGCACAGTTATAGTACAGTACACCCACAAATGCAATTTATAAGGTTTTTTTTTTAATGTAAGTGGACTGCTAAGCAACTATTAACTTCCATCAAAATCAAAAATAATTTTCTGTATGTACTTAAGGTAGAAGGAAAATTCTCATGAAAATAAAATATTATTTTCCCTTCAAAATTTAACATCTACTTTGGGTTTGACTTAGAGCAGGGGTGGGCAACTGTGGCCCTTTTACAACCTGGGGACTTCAATTCCCAGAATTTCTGAGCCAGTTTGGTTATATCAGGAATTCTGGGAGTTGAAGTCCACAGGTTGTAAAAGGGCGACACCTCACTTAGTGTATGACATGAATCCTAGCCTACCAGATAATTGATATGGGGGTGGGAGTGGTAGGGCTGTACTGCTTCTTGATAGCTGGGATGTGTAGCTAGTTTGCCTCCTTGTGGTGGACCCTGGATAGCACAACAGGATGAACTAAATGAACTATCATAGCAACAGATGGCAGCCAGACTATTGTGTAGACTTTCCTGGCTCTCAAAATACATAGCAACAAAAACGAAAATCCATATGCTAAATAAATAAATAAATAAATAGTGTAGCCAAGTATCTCCAGGATTACAGTGGCTGTAGTGTATATCAGGTGACTGGTTTGTGTTACAGTCATAGTAGGGATTGTTGTGAGGACTCTATTGGCATCTTCTAGCATACTATCTGATGGTAATCAACCTCGAGAGTTGATTGTAGCTAGTTTATAAATGATCTTATGCCTCATATCAGTTGCTCTGCTCTGTAGAGATAGTCCTTGACTTACGACTACAACTGAGCCCAAAATTTCCATTGCTAAGCCAAGCAGTTGTGAAGTGAGTTGTGCCCCATTTTTATGACCTTTTTGCCGCCACAGTTGTTAAGTGAATCACTGCACTTGTTAAATGAACCATGTGGTTGTTAAGCAAATCTGAATTCCTCCATTGATTTTGCTTGTTGGAAGGTTACACATGACCCGGGACAGTGCAACAGTCAGTGCAACAGTCATAAATACATGCCAGTTGCCAAGTGCCTGAATTCTGATCATGTGAACATGGGGATGCTGCAATGCAGAGGTGGGTTTCAGCAGGTTCTGACCAGTTCTGGTGAACCGGTAGCAGAAATTTTGAGTAGTTCAGAGAACCGGTAAATACTACCTCTGACTGGCCCCGCCCCCATCTCTTCTCTGCCTCCTGAGTCCCAGCTGATCAGGAGGAAATGGGGATTTTGCAGTAACCTTCCTCTGGAGTGGGGAGGGAATGGAGATTTTACAGTATCCTTCCCCTTCCAAGCCCATCAAGCCACGCCCACCAAGACATACCCACAGAACCGGTAGTAAAAAAAATTTGAAACCCACCACTGCTGCAATGGTTGTACATGTAAAAAACCAATCATAAGTCATTTTTTTTTCAGTGCTGTTGTAACTTCGAACAGTCCCTAAATGGTTAAGGAGTAAATGCAATGGAGAGGATGGTGATGACATTTCAACTTCAGGTGTTGTCTGCACATCTAGTTGTTCTTCTGGAAATTCTGAGTATGGGATGTAATGTGTAGTTAGTCTATCTCCAGTTGTGGTAGCAGCTTGCTCTTTTCTAAGTTGAAGTGTTAAGTAACTAGCTGTTTCTCCGTTAATGTGCATTCAGGACTTCTGTCATCCATATAGGCCCCTCATATATTTCATATATTCTCTCTCACTGATTGCTACTTCTGCTGTTGAAGTAGGATTCCATCAGTTCCAGTTCCTGTTTCATTTTTTTTTTTATTTGATTTATATGCCGCCCTTCTCCGGAGACTCAGGGCGGCTTACAATGCGTTAAGCAATAGCCTTCATCCTTTTGTATATTTATACAAAGTCAGCTTATTGCCCCCACAACTGGGTCCTCAATTTACCTACCTTAGAAAGGATGGAAGGCTGAGTCAACCTTGAGCCTTGGCGAGATTCGAACCAGCAGAAATTGCAGGCAGCTGTTCTTAATAACAGGGTGCTTTAGACCACTGTACTACCAAGGCTCTCATTCATGTATGGTTTGTTCTAGTAGCTCACATATCCTCAGATTATCTTTGTTCTCCAATATCTGTTGAGGACCTTGTTGAATCTGGACAATGTGCAAGCCGGCATGATGCTCTTACTTTGTGTGAGTCTATATTTTGAGGTAGGCAGGGGAAGCTTCAGGGGCCTTTGCCCAAGGATGCCTAATGGTAGGGTACGTATCAGCCAGTGGTGGGTTCCAACTGGTCTTACCACCGGTTCTCTTCGCGCACGCGCTTTGCATGCTTTGCGCGCTCCACGCAAGCGCATTAGATTACTGGGCAGCTGAGGCGCAGCAAATCCACTCTGCCGCGCCTATCAGCTGGGCTAAAAAATGACAAATAAAGGTAGGTATAACGCGAGGGCGGGCGGGAGGGCCCAGCTCACAGTCATAGAGAACCGGTTCACTGACATCACATCATCACCACTACCAGTTCACCCAAACCGGGCTGAACCGGGAGCAACCCACCACTGGTACCAGCCAGAACCCTAGTCTCCTGCATCAAAGATGGCACTCTAACCATTATACTATTCAGGTGTGTGCGTTGGGGGGGGGTCTTTCAACAGTCTTCTATTTCTTCCACTGTGGAGGCTATATATTAAATTTAAAAAGCAGATGAGAATGATCTGAAATAAATAAAATGAAAATTAATCTCTCTTGCCAGGAAATCAAGGCCCGAACGTTAGCATTTCGGCAACAGCAGGCCATTTCAACCGAGGCTGGGTGCAACAAAGAGAATATCAAGAAGAACCGTTACAAAGACATCCTACCCTGTGAGTTAACAAGAACAGAGGGCTCCCTTCCCAAGGACAGTTTCCATCCATAGCCTGGAGGATTTAATCTGGCCTTTTCAGCAACCACTCTAATCTAGCTGGTCTATTTTATTCTTCAGTTTGGAGCACCCCATTCCAGGGACAATTTGACTGACAAACAGCTGCTCTTTTCCAGCAAAAAAATGACCTAGTGCTCTCTTCTCTGATTTTGCAGCTGCAGATTTGGGGTCCATTTCAGGATGGCAAAAGAATTCTCAGGTCCACCAATCAGGAGCTTTGTAGCTCTATAAACAGGTGTAGTAGAATGGTTATCTACAAATCTACTGATAACTTTGGGAAAATAACACAAAAGAAGTTTGCCAATGGAAGCAATGGTTATGAGTGCTCCACCCTGCCGAAAAATAAACACTGTATTTGTCCCTCGCTAATATTTTTGAATTTCCCATTGCAACTTTGCTGTTTTACTTGGAATACTGGGGACCTGATATCTCTTTCCAAAAAAAAAAAACCTACCGTATGTACCGAAAGAAAGAAGAAAAATATACATATATTAGCCCGTCAAGAAATCAAGCATGGAATTCATCAGAATTATTATTTATTTAATTAGTTATTTGGTAATTTATATAAGCTGGCTTTCGTCTACAGCAGTGGCAAATTGACAACTTTAAGATGGGCGGACTTCAACTCCCAGAATCTTGGGAGCAAGCTGGCTAGGAAATTCTGGGAGTTGAAGCCCACACATTTTAAAGTTGCCAAGGTTGAAAAACACTACTCTAGACCAGGGATGTCAAACTCAATTTCACTGAGGGCCGCATCAGGGTTGTGCTGGACCTCGGGGGGCGGGGGGGCACTGGGATGGGTGTGGCCAAGGTGTGCATGGCCAGCATGATGTCACTCATGTTGAGGGGCACTTGTGGTGGCCTGAGCACAGTGAAAACAGGCTACCAAGCTCCTTTTTTGGCTACAACGGCCTCCTACAACCCTCTGCCAGAGAAAACTGAGCCCAAGAGGGCCACTCACGGCCCTCGTGAGCTCCATTTTCACTGGCAGAAGCACCGCAGGCCGGTCTTTTGCTGTTTCCAGGGCGGCCCCACAGGCCAGATCTAAGCACCCTGAGTTTGACACCCCTGCTCTAGGGGTGCACAAGGTGATGTACATAACATTTCCTACTTAAGTTTTCATCTATAATAACAACTCTGTGACATAAATAGGAATGAGGGAAAGGGCTGGCTGAAAGTTACTAGTGAATGTCCATGGCTCCCCAGTCTAAGTGTTACCTCTGAACTACTATATTACACTGACCTGAGAAACAACTGTCACAAGAACATCCTTGATGCCACAATTGTGTATTAGAACTACTAGCCATTTTAATATATTGTTTCTTTTAAAAAGGAATGGCTAAAATGACTCAGCAGTGGCCATCACATCAACTTTTTTTTTTTTTTGAGGGAGGGAGGGAGACTTCCACAATATAGGTTTCCATATTAGACGAAAAATGATAAGAGGCACAGGAACATCTTAAGACAAACTCTGCAACTTTCATTCTTACAGTATGTCCACTGTTAGTAATCAAGTATATAAGGGTGGAGTTTATATCATAATGTCTTGGTGCATGTTTCATGACTTCTGTGCACATACTCTCAGATGCTTATAGCTGTGCATTTAATTACATTGAAAATGCATGGTGTCAATTAATGTAGCCTTCTCCAACCTGAGTGCTTTCTGGATGCATGGACCAACTCCCCAAACTCTCAGCATTAACCATGTGGCTTGGGTAGTTGATATCTACACATTGGTAGGGGCCAGTGGTGGGTTGCCCCCGATTCGCACCAGTTCTATAGAACCGGTAGTAAAACTGGCGGGAGGCTCCGCCCACCAACCCCAACGTCATCAAAATGCTTCATGCACAGAAGAGCATGCGCGCACACGAGCGAAGCAAGCACGTGCGCGCAGCCTCACTCCAAACCGGTAGTAAAGGTAAGTAGAACCCACCTCTGGTAGGGGCCTAGTTCATGGAAGATTAACATAAGTGATCCAGTGTTTTAACCCTTAGGAAAGAAGCTCTCCTTTTCATCTATTCCCAGACCCCTTTTCTCCACTGCTATCCTGGTCCCTGTCTGTACTCCATGATACTAAGTTCTAATTGTGCTTCTCTTACAGATGACCAAACCAGAGTTGTTGTGAATTTACTAGCAGAAGAATGCCAAGCAGATTACATCAATGCCAGTTTCATTCAGGTAACAGATATTCTACAGCCATTAAATAGCAGATCCCTAAAGCAAAATTTCTCAGACTTCTAAGAGCCGAGCAACTGGTATCTCCTCATCATTCAAAATTAAAACTGGAAGCACAAGTTGGTTGATCTTATTATATATAGCCTATAAAATTTATTTGGGGAGAGCATCTTCAGCAGCGTTTCTGCAAGAATCAAGGATTAGAGTGCAGCCTGTGACCGGAAGGAAAGAGCCTAGAACAGGCGGTCGGTCAGTCAGGGAAGCTAACCAGTAATCATTCTAATAATGATAGCTTTGCTGTGGCTTTGCTGTGGAAGGTATTCATACCCACTTCCTGAATACCTCCATCTGAGGCAAATAGCACAATATCATGCAGAGATACAACATGCAGCATCTTCCAAAAGATACTTTAGTCTTGCTTCTATGCTTTTATTTTTCAAGATACACTGGCAGCTCTCTTGTGGTATGCTAATACAACCTACTACCACTCAATATGAGAACTACTGCACCAGAAAATGTCAGTGACTCTTCATACAGTCCAGAAAAATGCCTGATGTCATTTTGAAAATATAGTTACACGTTTGTGTTCCCTGTTAAATGCTTCAGCGGTATCTAGACAAGGATTCTACTTCTTCAGAAGTAAAGCACTTTTAAGAAATCAATTCAATTTCCATATTTTTCTATGAATGTACAATAAGTGGCTCTAATAATTAAATGACCCCGAATAAAGGACAAAAGTGAGGTTTTTTTGGGGGGGGGATTCTAAAGGACAGCTGACGTCTTCCGTTTTGTCCTCCTCACAGGGTGTGGACAACAAGAGATGCTACATCGCTACTCAGGGGCCTCTTGCCCATACAGTGCTTGATTTCTGGCGTATGATTTGGCAATACAAAGTGAAGGTAAGTTGTAGCACTGGATTGCAGAGGCAGTGACTGAACTCAAGACAGAATCTGAAAGGACAATGGGATTCCTTAAGTTATAACTTTGCCCTCATCAGGGGTGAAATCCAGCAGGTTCTGACAGGTTCTGGAGAACCGGTTGCGGAAATTTTGAGGAGTTCGGAGAACCGGCAAATACCACTTCTGGCTGGCCCCAGAGTGGGGTGGGAATGGAGATTTTGCAATATCCTTTCCCCAGGAGTGGGGTGGGAATGGAGATTTTGCAATATCCTTCCCCCAGGAGTGGGGAGGGAATGGAGATTTTACAGTATCCTTCCCCTGCCATGCCCACCAAGCCACGCCCACAGAACCGGTAGTAAAAAAAATTTGGATTTCGCCACTGCCTCAGAGTCCTGGTAAAAATGGTGTATGTCAGTGGGGAATTTTGCTGCTGATATAAATAAAGCCATAGAGAAACAATAGATATCAATATAGTTATCCAAAAGTTTGCATAGTCAATAGCACTGGATGTTAAGTAGGAGAAAAGGAAAAGGGCTTGAGGTATTCTGAGAAACCCACATCCCTTATAATGTATAGAATTGCCAAAGAGAGCATGGCCGGCTTGGTGAGAGTATTTCTGACGAAAAATATTTTATTTTATTTTATTTCACTGAGATAATGGCGAGATAAGATAAAAACCTGTCTTGTTTCCAATATCATCTGATCACCTTTGAGAATTGCTCTAGAAAGGATCCCTTCCACTCTTGAGAGTTCCCCTGCCTTACTCTACATGTCTGTTACTATAAATTACAAAGGTGGTTTTTGACAATATCTCTCTTTGCAGGTGATTGTCATGGCTTGCCGGGAAGTAGAAATGGGCAAGGTAAGAGCTAGTAATGGAGGAACGGTATCGGGAAAGCAGGAAAGCTTTCTTCTGCTTCCCTTCAGCCTTGTAGCTTGATGGGGAAAGTATTCTTGGAATTTTAGCTAACCTCCTTTCTTTCTCTCTCTCTCTCTCTCTCTTTCTTTCTTTCTTTCTTTCTTTCTTTCTTTCTTTCTTTCTCTAAAAAAAATTAGAAAAAATGTGAACGTTACTGGCCTTCTTCAGAGGAAGCCTTGCATTTTGGACCCTTCTCTGTGGCACAGGTGAGATGATTATATCTGGGCAGGCAGCAAGCAAAGTGAGGAGGAGGAATTCAAGCCATAGCAAGCCACGTTGCTTCTAAGTCTAGCAGAGACATCTGCACCATTCACCACAGCTTGATTAAGGATCAAGATTTCTCATTCACAAATTCTGGAAATGTAATTAAGAGTGAAAGAAATTGCCTGGTTAGATCAAGCCAGTCCAGCATTCAGCCAACCAGACAGAAGTTCTCAGGTAGGTCATTAAAAAAGATGGTCATTCCTGGTTTGCTCATTGGAGTTTCAAGGCTGAATTTGGAGCGCTTACAGGAAATCTAGTAATGTCCAAAGTATATACCTTGAACAACCTCCAAAACAGGAGATGCATGCTTGGCAGAGCTCACCGATGCTTACATCTGTGTTGAGTTCAGCCATGTTCAAGGGCTGAATCTTCAAACTACCATTTAAATGCTCTCATTCCCAGGGCATTGTGGGAAACTTAAAACTTTAAAATAGAAGTTCAGTTCATAGCCACCTGTTGCTGTTACCCACAGCAGAAAAGGGATCCATTACATGGGACTTTGACATGCCTACTTTTAAATTTAAAGGCAGGCCTATTTAGATAAAAACTGTTATTAAGCCAACCCCTGATTCAGCTTTCCCTTCCCTACTGCTCTTTAAATGCATTGAACTACCAATTGCCATTGTTCCCCAATCAGTAGAGCAAGTGACGTAATACTTTCCAGACCCAAGTTAATTTATGATCATCCATTTCTTGGTGAACTGAATGACATACGGGCCACAGTTGACCAGAGGATCAATAACCTTGTTACATAATTTCCATACAGATATCTCACTGTTATACCTATGATGTAGGTAGACAGCATAATTGACTAGAGCTATTTGATCTGGGCTACAGAAATCTCAAATACTGTCAGAAATCTACTCCCATTAAATGACAGCAAAAGGATTTTTTAAAAAAAATTCTCAACTCTTTCCTCTTTAGGGTTTATTTGGATGTTTGCAACCCTATAACTGAGGAATCAGAGAATCTCAAAATTCAAATATCACGATGATTTTGACTTTGATCCTGTTTTCTTTTCTTAGGTCAAAGAGCAGGAACTCAACCCAGACGTTATTTTGCGGGTACTTACCCTGGCATTTCAGCAGGTGAGCTTCACATTTTAAGAAATTCAGTTCCAATTCATTTCTTGAAACACTCCAGAGTTTGAGATCAGCTGATTGCACTGCACCAAAGAAAAATGTGATGTTGAGAGAAACACACACACACTTTCACTGTAGTCATTCATACAAATCCTAGTCAGACACACACTCTGTCAAGAAAGACAAACCTGCTAATTTGTTCAAACACACAAATATAGAAAACACTGACAAATGTCATTTGCATTTCCACTGCCTCCTTTGACCTTGGAGGATGGCATTATAGTTGTTGTATTTAATATTTTTAATACATTGTTTTAAAAGGGGGAGCTTTGTGGGAGGCTGTTTGCAGGGTGCTGTTTGCAGGCAGGTTAGAGTTTATGGGTTGCAAACCCCAGTTGTAAAGAGGTCATTCTAGAAATCGAGGTCAACAGTTTTGTGGGTTTTTTTGTGAAATTTGATATATTTGTGAACCTGATTCATACATGCGCTTCTGTCATATTTTATCACATGAAATTGTTAATTGTGGTGTCTCCTCATTGATTTATAGTACAAATGTAAGTGATTACTTTTCTGATCTCAGGAAGAACGGGTGATTTCCCATTTCCAGTATGTGGCTTGGCCAGACCGAGGTATCCCAGACACTTACGGCTATTTCCTCAACATGATTGAGCAAGTGAGATTTAAGCAGGGTGAGGACACCGTACCCATCTGTGTGCACTGCAGGTAGGGGAGAATTTGGTGGCAAGATCCTGTAGAAAGAACGCATTGCTGATTTACTGAGTAAATGTAACAATTGAACATGAGAAAACAGGCATTTTGTTGAATGAATGAATGAATGAATGAATGAGAGAGTAGGAATATATTGATAATTTTTGCACTGAAGATGTTAGCCCTTTCAAGGTAATCTAGAAAAGAAGCACAATTATGAGTTCTAATTTATATTAACATGGGGGTTCCCAAACTCTCATTGACCCCTTCATGAAGTTTCAGATTATTCATCAACCCCCAAACATTTATATTATACTAATTTAATAATACTATTTTAATAACACTATGAATAATTATAATATGAATAATCCCTGTGGTTATCGGCATACTGCATGCCATACCAAAAACTCTTGGACGTCACTTAGAAAATCTGTGTGCTGACAGAATTTCCATCTGCCAATTACAAAAGGCCATACTGCTTGGAACTGCACATATACTATATCAATACATTACAACATCCTAGGTTTTTGGGAAGAGGCCAATGAGTATGAAGGCCAACAGCAGCTAAAAAACTGGCAGTTGTGATTTCCCATTTTTGTTTACATAATAATATTTGATAATCCCATCAACCTTTGAGAATCCATCTTGATCACTTTGGAGAACCATGCATTAACAGAATCTTGCAGGACTAAAAGAATTTCTCCCCTCCTTTTCCTATTTCTCTCCCTTCATTTCCCCCCTCTTTTTATTTTCCAGAAAACAGAGGTGGGGGGGAATCCCTTTGCTGGTCTGGGATTATGGTAAAAATTGACTGACTGACTGACTGATTGATTGATTGGGAGGGTCCCTTCTGAAACACTTCCCAAGACTCCCCCTCCATCTGTGGTCTGAGATATCTTTTATATGACAGTTGTCCCATGTGGTTCTCCTGTGTCGCAAGGTCATCCCCACATACCATGTTAGAAAGAGATATGTCAACATCTTCCCCTAGGACAACTCGCCATGGCCAAATTGCAGGACAACTCACCATGGCCTATTCATTGCGGTACAACTCAAGACAAGAGTTACATTTCTATCATTGAAATGGTGGAATAGAATAATTAAAGAAAGGATGGCAAAGGAGGGCTAAAACGAAATGTGAATAATATAAATTGAAATGTTTTTAAAATTATTTTAAATAATTAAATTATTGAATTGTCTCGTGGTGATTTGTCCCATGGTGAGTTGGCCATGGCGAGTTGTTCTATTCTGAGAATTATATAATAAGATGCCTTGAATGTTTTTTTTTTCAGTAGTTACTTACTGCATCCTCATAGCATCACTCAGCTCTTCTTCAGCCATTCAAGTGATATATTTGGCATTACTATTTGTTTGTCACTACAGTATAATGGTTGGATTATTCTAAAGGATACTACTATACAGTCAGTAGTGGGGAATTATGTCAACCTTAAATTATGAGAAGAGAAGGGTAAATAGTGAGGTGGTCACATTTAGACCAAAGGGGGGCAGTTGACAGACCCCTGGCTTATGTTCCCCAGAATTCCATAAAATTGTACCACCAAAATTAGACAGCAAGCAGTAACAGTAGAATGACTTTAAATCTAAAACAATCAAATCTAAAAGAAATGAGCCCAAAATTGTCAAAAATTCCAACACACTCCTTTCAGTGATATCAATACCTCAACACAGTAACTCTTAAATTAATTGGAGATAAAAATTCACCTTAAATTGCAAAAGAATCCTATCCCCCTCATTTAGGGAGAAGATCTAGGCAGACTGCAAAGAATTTCAGAAATATTGGATAAATATCTAAGAAACATTCATTGTTGCATTGTAGAACCTGTTCAATCATATTTGCAAGATTCGGTGTATGTGCGTGTGTGTGTAGATCCTTTCTCACTATTTCTTCCTCTTCTTCTTTTCTTTATAGTGCTGGCTGTGGTCGGACAGGCGTGATCTGTACATTGGAATATGTACGGCAGCTGCTGCTTAAAGAGGTACTTGGACCTTACTAGCCAAACTCACCAAGAAAAAAGTAAAGAAGTTGATTTCTTGCTGAACGGGATCTGATTTTGTGTGTGTGGCTTTTTATTTTTTTTATTTTTGGCCTGTGTCTAGTATATTATTATAACATGGGGCCTCCCAGATACCTTGGGCAATGAGATTCCTACTGCCTATTTTACTATGGAAATATGGGAATTATAGTATAATTTATTGGGAGAACATTAGCATGAAAAAACCTGAGACAGCTGCAAAAATATTAAGGTATCACATATGATGAGGAAGAGAAGATGTTCAGTAATGCATACTGTATATCTGAAGCATCTGCACATATAGCCCTTTAATATTGTTGTGTGCATATACTTCCAAGCAGTGAGACATTCCAGGTTGCCATGATTTATTCAGTGTACATTTTCCCTCAGAAGACGTCATAAAAACAATTGGTGGCATTTAGTCACATAAAGCCAGAGGTGGGTTTCAGTAGGTTCTGACCAGTTCTGGAGAACCGGTAGCGGAAATTTTGAGTAGTTCGGAGAATCTATAGTAAAAATTCTGACTGGCCCCACCTGCATCTATTGTCTGCCTCCCAAGTCCCAGCTGATCAGGAGGAAATGGGGATTTTGCAGTAACTTTCCCCTGGATTGGGGAGGGAATGGAGATTTTTCCTTCCCCTGGAATGAGGTGGGAATGGAGATTTTACAGTATCCTTCCCCTGCCACGCCCACCAAGCCATGCCACGCCCACCAAGCCACACCCACAGAACCGGTAGTAAAAAAAATTTGAAACCCACCACTGCATGAAGCATATTCCTGCATAGCGCTCAGCCATGTAGGAGAGGGCGGCCATCAGAACTAAATATCTACTCAAAACCTGGCAGTAGGAGGATGTGTTGGAAAGTTCTCTAAACCCCTGTTCAAAACCTGGGAACCCTGTAGCCTACCAGACGGAGGAAAAAAAACCCACAATAGTAGCAGTGAAGAATAACTGAGAGCTGGGAGGAATGGGTCTGCATTGGTTTGAAATTGTCAACAGTATCCACATTTCTCCTTCTCCAAGGATTCACTGACGGTGACACTGTCAGAATAATCAGCAAAGTACATTAGATTTTACACATCTTGGAACTGCTGTAGGTTACTGCCTGTTCCAGGAAAAAATAAACATATTTAAATATTGAAAAAGATAAGCATGAATTAGATCATGAACTTCATTCATGACTGTGGCAAACTAAAGGTATGTCGTACAAACATAGCAGAAGGAAGATTGGGAGAAGGACAGGGCATGTTTATATCCATTAGATGCAAATGGGGAAAGATCTATAGTCCCAATTCTTTTCCTTGAAGAATTGACTAAGTGAGCTGGACAAATGCTTAACCTTTGACTGGATTATAGTGATCCCCGTACATTTATTTCAAAGGGAACTTTTTTTCCCCCATTCAAATAATAGGTGCAAACACAATGTATAGAATTAAATATTCAAATCTTCAGTCCAAATCAGAAGGAGATTGAGGTGAGTGGTGGCCTAATTTTTTCCTCACCCATTCATCACCAAGGTACTTCTTGTACTCAGGAAAACTTCCTGAGTTGCTTGTCTTTTTTTTTTTTAATGCAGACGTCTTATTAAGGTACCCTCATAGCTCAGAGAATTATAACTGAAAGGAATAGTAAAATAGATTAGCGTATGCATACTTATATGCAGATAACTTCTGTTTGACAAGGCACAATTGAGATCCAGATCCCTCTCTGATGATGTTCCAGGTAGACTTTGAAAATGTAATTATTCTCCTAGATCTTGAGGTAGGAAGTCCATGCAAGATTTAGTTTTTTGTTTGGCATGGATTTTCTTCTGCTGAACAGACATCTCTTGTTCTTTTACTTTATTGTACTAGCATTTTATAATTTAAAACATCCAGTCATTGAAAGTCGGGCATTTTTTAAAATTATGCATAAATGTTGTTCTGTGAGAAAAAGGAATGTATACTCATTTGTCAGTTTTTCATTTTTTTTCCAGAGGATTTCTCCATATTTCAGCATTTTTGATATAGTCCTAGAAATGAGGAAGCAGAGGCCAGCTATTGTCCAGACCCAGGTGAGTCCTTTACAGTAACAGAGTTGGAAGGGACCTTGGAGGTCATCTAGTCCAACAGGAGACCTGTACTAGGGATTCAAACAGCCGAACTGCCGACCTTTCTGATCGACAAACTCAACATCTTAGCCACTGAGACATAGCTGGGAAGAACAAATTAGCATGCAGATATTGAAACTAATCCTTGAAAAAACTTACTTTCCAATACTTATTAAGATCTCAGTGGGATGAAATAATTACATTCTACCTGAATCTAAAGAGATGTTGAATTCTGAAAATCTTTTATTCCAACCAATAATTATAATAAAAGCTAAAATAAATGCCCAATGATAGGCCTGAAGCTATAGATAGTATAGATAACCCACACTTCTCAATAGGAAACTGTAGTTTACGGCGTGAGAACCTTGAAGAATGCCTCTGCTAAGGGGAATTGTATGATAACATATATATTTATTAAAATAATAAGAGAAATTACAAGGATATTCTTAGAATCACCAGTGGATGGAAGCTAGTATTGCCTTCAGGATGTTTTTTCCTGCTGTCAACCTATGCCTGTGTCAGCCCTGGAGGCCATCTTTTTCTTTGGATCTTCAGGGCTGCCATATTTAGTGCTGTGGGAAAACAGGAGGGGGATTGCATGGAGTTGGTGGAGATATATAGCCATAACAACATTCTTTTCTCTGGAAGTCAAGGACATTCAGCCTGCACCTGAGATGCGTGACTGGGGAACATCTCAAGTTGGGACGGTGGATTGATTGGACCATGTGATAGACATGTGGGTGTAGGGGAAGGGACTTTTACTTTCCTTTAGGTGGGGAAAACCCGGGAGCTTTCAGATTTGGGTTTTCCCAGATGTGTCAATATGATATCTCTAATAAAATGGAACTTTGAGGAACTGCTGGCCTCGGAGTCTTCCTTGGTTGGGGATGTTACTTGGAACCCTGACAGCCTGTTTTACTAGACCTGGCAAAACTCAATGGGAGCCACTGATAATTGCTACCAAATAATTGTTTGCATGTAGGTCCACAACTACAGGTAGTTCTTGATTAATAATCATTTATTTAATGACTGTTCAATGTAACAATGGCACTGAAAAAAGTGACTTATGGCTGGTTTTCCCACTTATGACCGTTGCAGAATCCCAATGGTCACATGATCAAAATTCGGGGGCTTGACCATTGGCATGTATTCATGACTCGTGATAGTTGTACTGGGGTCATGTGATCACATTTTGCGTCCTGCCCAGCTGGCTTCTGCCAAGCAAAGTCAATGAAGGAAGCCAGATTCACTTAACAACTTCATGATTCACTTTACAAGTGTGACAAAGAAAGATCTTAACATGGGGCAAAAATCACTTAACAACTATCTTGCTTTGCAATAGAAACTTTGGGCTCCATTGTGGTTGTAAGTTAAGGACTATCTGTACACAAATCCTCCTCCTTCCTAAATGGCAGCAAAAACCTAGCCTTTCTTGTGTTATTGTGCTGTCATTTAATGGTTACCTATAGTTTGCAGCCTACATACAATAGCCCTCTCTGCATGAACAAACTATAAACTTATAGTTTAAAAACTATAAGTTTTCCCACTCATCTGTGTCATCTTTTCTTCGCAGGAACAGTATGAGTTTGTGTATCGTGCAGTCACTGAAATGTTCCGGGATGCTCTGGACATTTCCTGTCCAAATTATGAAAATCTCAAAGAGGTAAGAGATGGGACCAAACAAATTTTTTCCACAGAGGGCATGATGGCTTCCTTGTTCTATGAAAAATGGAGTTTCCCCTTAAGCCTGACAGTCATGAGGCAATTTTGCTTTCTTGAAGCAACCTTACAAGAACTACTTTGAAATACTTGGTTTAATGCAGGCAAAAATTAAATCCAGTTATGTATTATTCATTGTATTTTATGTGTTTTGTAAACGATACGACAATTTATCCTCATGACACTCAGGATTTAGATTTAGATTTCCCTCTTATTCATAGGATTATTTTAATCCCCATAATTGTTTTTCATTTCCCAAAGATTTACTCTGGTTTCTAAAGCTAGGTCCTTTGTATTTAGTGAGGTTAATTCTGAGATCAGCATGCAAAGATGAAAAAAAATCCTCCTATCTTGCGGTTCAAGGCAGGAGCTCCCATTTCATTGCTGCAGAAAGGAAGATTTAATCTTTCTTATTGCGTTTTCTCTACCCAATGGTACTATTACTTCTGCAAATAGGGGGAAAATGCCACTATATAAGTATTCACCTTGGCAGGATGGAAAAAGCCGTGAGTAAATTCCCTATTGGAAACTCTAACCCATCATTGTCTCTCCCTGCCCTGCCCCAATTGGTTCCTTTTTCCCCCCTGAAACAAATAAAATATTCATCGCCAACAGAAAAAGCTGCTTCCATTTTAACTTCACAGAAAGTTAAGCATCATGAAGGTGGTGGGCACAGCTGGCTAAAGCAATGCTCAGCAGGGAGCCTGTGATTTTTTTTTTTTTAAAGATGGCCTGGCAGTTGCTATAGTCCTTTGAGTGGACTATGGTTTCACTCCAGTCAAAGTAGACTTCTGTGTAAGTTATTCTTTATTTGTTAGATTTGTATCCTGTCCTTCCTTTAGTGCAGAGATGGCGAACCTTTTGGGCTTGGCATGTCAACAATTCAGAAAATGCCTACCTTGACTCTGCTGGCGTCTCTGTCTCTCTCCCTTCTTCCCCCCCCTTTCTCTCATACACACACACACACACACCCCATACCCCCTCATACACACACCCTGGAGAAAAAAGAAAAAATTCATAACAGAATAATGCATTCAATTAAAATATTTAAATTTATTGTTTGTTTAATTAATTAATTAATTAATTCTTACAAAAATGTAAAGGTTCCCCTCGCACATATGTGCTAGTCGTTCCCGACTCTAGGGGGCGGTGCTCATCTCTGTTTCAAAGCCGAAGAGCAAGCGCTGTCTGAAGACATCTCTGTGGTCATGTGGCTGGCATGACTAAATGCCAAAAGTGCACAGAACGCTGTTACCTTCCCACCAAAGGTGGTCCCTATTTTTCTACTTGCATTTTTTTACGTGCTTTTTGCTAGGTTGGCAGAAGCTGGGACAAGTAACAGGAGCTCACCCTATTACGCGGCACTAGGGATTCAAACCGCTGAACTGCCAACTTTTCAATCAACAAGTTCAGCGTCTTAGCCACTGAGCCACCGCACCCCTAAATACTTACATAATAGTATATATTTTTCTAAATGTCTATGCAAGGCAGCTCCCGGTCAAACAAAGCCTGGAAACTTCGGAGAATACTCTTCTGTGATAGTGGGGCGTCCCAAAAACAGCGGGAAAGCACACCTCATCCTTGTGTGCTTTTGGGAGGCTCCAGAGGCCGCACAAGAGTAAGGCCCTCTGACACAACAAGTGTCCGGAGACCTGGCATACCATCAAAAATACCATGGCGTGTCATAGCCTAGTAGCTTCCATGGTTGAGAATGGAGATAAATCTAGGCCTCTCTGATCACAGTCCATCATTGCATGTGAAATAACTTCAACAGGCTATCAATGATCCTCATTTTTGCTTTCATTTCACTCTCATAATAAATTCCCCTTTCACACCCACAAATGCCTTCTGTTATGGACTTTGAGCTGACTTCTTTCTCCAGAGGTTTGCCAAGGAAAGGTTATATTGTCATCATTGACATGGCTTCCTGGTCAGAAGTGTTCCCTCTTTACCCCAGATGCCAAACTTGACATGAGGCTGTTATCTCTGCCCCTGAACATTTCCTCCCTGAACAAGTGCAGAAAGGGATGGGAGGACACGCTTGTGCAGATGTGGTAGTTTGAGAGCCCAACACACCCCATTCATTTCCTTTTTTAGGATGGTATCTTGCATCTGGGCAGGAAGGAAAGAGGTATCTGATCATCTTTTTGAATCTTTTCTACCACAGAGAAAACTTCTACCCAAAGAAAACTTTCTTCCAACCATTCTATCTTGTTGGCTTGGAATCCAGAGACATTTCCACAATGGTTGGTCCTTTTACAGGACACAGCTCACTGCCTCTGTCCTAGAAGAATTGCAAATCCCATATTGTACTTTCATGCAAAAGTTTTTTGTTATTACAGGAGCTTGGACTGTTTCAGAATAATTCAATTATTTTTCTATGTGTGTGTCTCTGAAATGAATCATGGCGATTTGGTAGGGGTAATATTTTCTTTCTTCCTCTTTTCTCATATGCCATCAGATCCTATTCCCTGCCTTCCACAGAAACCCAAATTTAAGCATCCACTTGTGTGGAAATCCACTTTGGAGCAGGATATAGTTGGCCCTGTCTCCTAAAACTGTATACGTATTGGCTTTGATGTTCTCATTCATGCGCCTATCAGAATAGAATCCTGAGTTCCAGAGATATTTTAAGGATCAATTTTAAAAAGTTATTATTTTTTATTTTTTTAATAAAATACTTTTATTATTTTTACATACATAATAACTCAAGGCAGTTAACATCAGTGGTGGGTTTCAAATTTTTTTACTACTGGTTCTGTGGGTGTGGCTTGGTGGGCATGGCAGGGGAAGGATACTGTAAAATGTCCATTCCCACCCCAATCCAGGGGAAGGTTACTGCAAAATCCCCATTTCCTCCCAATCAGCTGGGACTCGGGAGGCAGAGAATAGATGGGGGTGGGCCAGTCAAAGGTGGTATTTACCGGTTCTACGAACTACTCAAAATTTCCACTACCGGTTCTCCAAAACTGGTCAGAACCTGCTGAAACCCACCTCTGGTTAACATATCTATATCTAACGCACCTTTCTCCTCTTGTTGTTCACACAACCACCTGCAGGGTGGGTTGGGCTAAGTGCCCAAGGTCACCCACCTGGCTTTCATGGCTAAAGCAGGACATGAACTCAGGGTCTTCTGCTTTCTAGTCTGGTGCCTTAATTGCTAGAGCTAGACCAAACTGGCTCTTCATTTGAAGTTTTCCTTTTGATTGTTTTATTGCAAATTTGTATTATTTATTATTTTCATGTTAATTATTTTAATTTTTATTGCAAAATTAAATACAAGATATTCTGTGGTAGACAAAATACAAAATACTAAGGTCAGGAAAAGGAAACTTTTCATAAAGCAATGAAGCACAGGATAGATTTTAATAAAGAGCAGTAATTCAAGGAACAATTCTAATTGTTCTTTTCTCTCTTCAACATGGAGAGGGCTACTTCAGGGTTAATCTGGTTTATGGTAAATTTCCTGCTACAGGAAGTTCAAACAGCTGTCCTCACCTAAAACATTTTTCACTTCCCTTCTCTTTGGTTTTGCACAGAATCGTCTTCCCCTTTATGACGACGCCCTCTCCCTCCGGCAACCGGCTGCTCCCTTGCTCAAGCGAAGCTCCATCCTCCGGTAAGGACTGCTAAGGGTCAGCGCCTCGGCAGTGGGACATGGTCAGCCCTAGAACAGCAGAGCTTTTCCTGTAATGACCCCTTGTGAGAAAAGCTAGGGGTGTGTAGACACTAGGTCCAATGTTAAGGAGGGAGTGAAAAACCTTCTAACAAGACTGATGCATACTTGTGTATGTGTATGTCATATTTTGTATGGGTTGGTTTAATAATTGTGCTTGTATTGTTTTGTTGTTTTGCCTTGTAAATGTTTGTGTTGAGTTTTAATTCATCTCTGAAGTATAGAGGATGATAGTGTCTTTTACTGGTGTAAGTAAATAGAGTAAATAAATACAAAACTAACCGTCATTGTAGTTAGGAAAGAAACTCTACATGATTGAAGAGCAACGAAGGTCTTTCTGGCCTCATCTCCCAATTATCAGCATCAGGTTTGGGCATCTCAGAAAGGCATAGGCGAAAAATGTTCAGCTGGGCAGGAAAAGAATTGGATGTACCATTGTACATCACAAAGCATATCTCTTTCAAATTCTTCAGTTGAGACAAATTTCACTATGCGGAAATCCTGAAATCATTTGGGCCTCTGGGTTTTTTTTCTGATATAGGAGCATCTCAGTGCCTGCTGATCCAACACCAGCACCACTTCCTGAACAGCCAAGAAAACTCATCAAGAACATGGGTGACACTTACGCTGTTGTGAACAAACTCCGGCGAAATGGAGCAGGAGCTTCTTCTGCTTCTCCTGCCAGTGAGGACAAGTCCATCGGAGAGGCACAGCTTTATACTGCGGTGAAGCCACGCAACAGCACCGTAGCTGACTTTCCATCAATAGACCCCAGTGCCTTTGTAGGAGTACAGGCCAGTCACTCTCTGCCTGGAAGTCCTGTGCACAGGGCATCTTCGAATACAGCTTGTGAAAATGCCCGTCTTAGTTCATCTCTGACAGGTGATGTGTGAGAATAACTGTGGATATACAAATGCAGAAATGTAAATTTTAGATTGGGTTTATTCATTTTGCTAAGCTCAAGAATGCGTACTTTTACATATGTTTAGATGTTTAACTAAAGGGTTTTTTTAAAAAAACTAAAGCACAATCCATATTACAAATTCAGCATGATGCTGAGGTTCATATAGCATGCTAGGAGCTACATTCTTTTGGCTTACAGCGGTATTTTAACTCAGCCAATATAAAGTCTGTGACTTTGGCTAAGGATTTTGTACACATGCATGTCTGTATGCATGCCTGCACACACGTTGTCTTAAGCAATAGCAAATCACATGTAATAATAATAATAATAATAATAATAATAATAATAATAATAATAGGCATAATTTAAAAGTACAATTCAAAGAGAAAAGAATTAAAAATGTTTGTAAACCATACGATTAGCAAAATAGTTCCAGAAAATTTGATCTGATTAATCAAAACTCTCTTTTGTCTCTCTACCGCCCGTAAACAAATTAATACAAACGTTGACCAAAAGATGCATCTCCTCAGTCCATTGATGTAATTCAGATGTGTTCCAATATTATCCATTAATGACTTTGGCTCCACATAATCCTCCCTCACCTAAATGAAGAATCCACGATTGTTGATGGCTTGATCAATTTTAAGCACTATGTACTGTATATAGCCAAAAAGAACATGTAATTTTGACAAGTAATAATAACTTAAAGTCATATTGACAATCTTTTTACCTCTAAGGCTCAGTTATGGCAATAATGAAATAAGTCCAAATCACATGATTTAATGTTCTAGTAATGAATGTTAGGGCTATGTGTTATGTGAACCCAGCTCTTGTGATAAAGACACTATTCTTTATGCTTTGGCATATGGTTTTAACCCAAATAATCATGGATTGCATAATATACCACAGCTATACAGGCCATAGGTTAACTTTTTGTGTGACATTAACTCTAGTATTTATGTAGCAATCAAAACTCATCATAAACTTTATTGTTATATCAATCTTGTAAAAGCTGTCATATTTTACTGAAAATACAAAATATAGACATTCTAAAGATTGCTACCTGATCTAAAGCCATTATAATTGGAAACCTTGAGCATATGTGAACTGTTTGTCAGTTAATAGCTGAAGAAGTTTTTGAACTGGGTTTGCATTTGTACTTAAACTATAATGGGGTGTGCTTGATTTTGGCTTAATCTGTTATGGGAACCCAGCCACTACAGGTAGCAATATATGGCTTATGGGAAGGAGTGAAATCCAAAATTTTTCCCTTCTGGTTCTGTGGGTGTGGCTTGGTGGGCGTGGCAGGGGAAGGATACTGCAAAATCTCCATTCCCACCCCACTCTGGGGCCAGCCAGAGGTGGTATTTGCCGGTTCTCCGAACTACTCAAAATTTCTGCTACCAGTTCTCCAGAACCTGTTAGAACCTGCTGGGTTGCACCCCTGTTTATGGGATATCATGGTCTGAACAAGTCCACTAGGCCTTCTCCAACTAACTAAACCACAATGGATGTATGAACATCATCATAAATAGGTCCCAACTGTATTACATTTTCTTACTTAACTGTGCTAAATTACGGTAGTTCTAAGCCCACTGAGGATCACAAAATGCAAGTTTAGGGAAAGAATATCTTTGTTATTCCGAAAATGGATGGAATGTCAGATTTTGGTTTTTCTGTCCATTTGCAACATTTAGCAGAATTCAAGAAAATGCCAATGGGAGTCTAACATTATTGGGTATATATTTTGTTTTTAGAAAAAATGAAAACATCAATAATAAATTATGAAATGGCCTAGATCTCATCGTTTATTAAGAACTCAGTGTAACTGCAAGGTTTTTTGGACAAACTGGAATTAAATAAATGGAAATCTTGGGATGGTTAGATTGGAGTTTTCTGAGTTCTTTATTTTTATAATCTGAATAAAAATACCCCCCCCCCCAACCCCTGATATCTCTCCTTCAGGAGAATCCAATTCTGGAGTCACCTCCTCTCCATCTCATACAAATGGACTTGGGAAAACTCTTCTCAGGAATCTGATGCCCCCAGTAAGTAGACTGATCTTTTGTCTTTGTTTCCCAAGCCCTACCCATAGATGCCATAATACAAATCCCATTTATGAGTTTTTAAAAGAACTCATATTTAGCCCTTCTAGAATTTGAGTAGTCATTATTTTGCCTATTTTGTAAGGATGGCCTATTTCTGCTTTTCAGTGAATATTTATTTATATACTGCCTGGGAAAGATACAGTAGTTCTTTTCTTATGAAAAAGGGGAATTTTTCATCATCCTCTTGCGAGTAATGATTATTGCTCCAGAAATCTAGGATGTTGATATAGCTAGGCAGTGATCATGTGGTATGACTCCTAACCAACCTTTTGAAACAGGTGGGCAGTGACCAAGGCAAATTCATGCTCAACTTTGGCCTAATTCACATTGAGCCAAAGAAATGAAAGTAGATTTCTCTTTCCTCTTGAGTATCATGTTATCTGTTGTTGACATACACATCATGCGCAACTTGGTTACTAAATTAATCCACTTCCTAGGTTTGCACAATGCACTGAACCATAAACTCAACAAACGAGTCTTAATTTGTATAAACCCCTAATGAGAATTTAGCATGTTTTGTGAGCGAAGTTAGTGAGCAGACAAGGGATGTTTGAAGAACATGCAAAATATTGGATATACATTGAACAAGTTTCAGCTTTGTAATTCACAGATATTGTAGAACTCACTTTTTCTTGGGACAAAATGAAAAGTTCTTTTTATTCAATTTTATTTTTTTCACTTCTGCTTCTTAGGCTTTTATCTCCTCGTCTGGAAAGAAAGGTAAGAACAAATGGGCTTATATAGGATTCAACTTCTATCTGGAAGTGAGCAACAACAAGCCAACTTAGGGATGTTGCCAAAGGAAACTACGAAGAGAGAACCATAGAGTCAAGCTCAAAAAAGTATATTCATTTATCAAATTTATATAGGAGAAGCTCACAGTCGCCCCTTTATTACTTGATAAATTACTCAAAGCTGTGGATTTACCTAATACTCCTTCCTCCTCCTGTTTTCCTCACAATAACTCTGTGAGGTGGGTTGGTTGGTCTGAGAGTGAGTAACTAGGCCAAAGTTACCCAGCTAGCATTTTGCCTAAGGTTGGACTAGAACTCACACTCTTCTAGTTTCTATCCTGATCCCTTAACTGCCACACCAAACAGGCTCTCTATAGTATATATCTTTTCCAACTAACTCACTTCAGGCATTCTTGGTGCTCTCTGAGCTTGGTTGTGTGTGTGTAGATGTTTCATTATCCATTAGTGCACTGATGTTGTTACCTAGTTTGGGTAATGAAACATCTGCAAGAAAACAACCAAGCTCAAAGAGCACCAAGGGCCCCTCATTTCAACCCTGAGCTACAACTATTCTCCTTTATTGGTAACTCACTTCAGTAACAGAGGTCGCCTTTGCTGTGATTACAAAATGGGGAAGATTCAAAGATGTGGTCTTTCAGGTATTGCTGAGCCAACTCTCGCACTCCTTTGCCATGTTTATTATTTATTTATTTTATTGGTTCGATTTATATGCCGCCCTTCTCCGGAGACTCAGGGCGGCTTGCAATGCGTTAAGCAATAGCCTTCATACTTTTATATATACCTGCTGAGTAGGGCTTTTGCCCCCCCCAAGAGGTGTTCTTTTTTTATACAAAGTCAGCTTATTGCCCCCACAATCCGGGTCCTCATTTTACCTACCTCGAAAGGATGGAAGGCTGAGTCAACCTTGAGCCTGGTGAGATGTGAACTTGCAGTAATTGCAGGCAGCTGGTGTTACTTAACAGCACTTTAGTTTGCTGCGCCACCAAGGCTCTTACGTTGCGAGTTGTAAATCAACATCTCAAAGCCATAGGTTACCCCCCCCCCCTTTGATATATAGTACCTACATGAATGATCTCTACTGAGGCATCAGAAAGTTCTTACTCTTCACAATAGTTCAGTATAACTAGGCTGTCCTTGTAGACATAGTCCTCAATTTACAACCACAATTGAGCCCAAAATTTATGTTGCAAAGTGAGACATTTGTTTAGTTTTGCCCCATTTTACGACTATTCTTGCCACATTTGTTAAGGGAATCCCTGCAGTTGTTAAATTAGTAACAAAGTTGTTAAGTGAATCTGGCTTCCCCATTGACTTTGCTGATCAGAAAGTTGCAAACGATGAACATGTGACCCCAGGGTACTGCAACCGTCGTAAATGTGAGCCGGTTGTTAAGCATCTGAATGTAAATCACATGACCATGGGGATGCTGCAACAGTCGTAAGTGTGAAAAATGGTCCTAAGTCACATTTTTCAGTACTGTTGTAACTTTGAACAGTCACTAAATGAACTGTTGTTAAGTTGAGGATTACCTGTATTATCACATTTGTGTATCACTTTAAAACTGGACAGCTTTAAATCTCCCAATAATGCCAGGTCCTCTCAATGATCATAAAATAGGAGTGTGCAAAACGTTTTGTTTTGAAACAGTTGGAGTACAAATGTGATGCAGCTAATATAACCCACAGCCAGTTGCACTGCTTCGTTTTTAACTATTTTAGATTTGGTACCATCATGGTACCAAAAGACTTTAAATGGAAACAGTGTTTTCCTTCCTTTGTTTAACACCTCTTTTAAAGGAGATGACACTCTTGAATCAGGTTTGGAAGTGAGCAGTGGTGAAATCTAAAATTTGTTACTACTGGTTCTGTGGGTGTGGCTTGGTGGGGGGGGGGTAATGTGACTGGGTGGGCGTGGCCATATTTTTTTTTTACTTTCAAAACCATTTTTTACATGTAAAACCATGTAAAAAAATGCTTTCAAAAGGCTCTGACGATCCCAGCTGAGTTGCCTGATCGTCAGAGGGTTTTTAAAAAACGCTCTGACGATCAGGCAACTCAGCTGGGATCATCAGAACTTGGATCATCAGAAGCATTTAAAAGAAAAAAAGCCTCTGAAGATCGCGCGGCTCAGCTGGGCATGGGGGGCAGGGGCAGGGATTTTTGCTACCAGTTCTCCGAACTGCCCGCCATCGCTACCTACTCACCCAAGCCGGTCCGAACCGGGAGCATTTCACCCCTGGAAGTGAGGCTGTCTTAGCTCTGGCAAAATATTTGCTTAAATCTTTCTTGCACTAGATTGGCAAGTGTCAGAAAGTCACTTTTGTCCCTGAACAGTATCATCATCGTCTCGGACTGTCCCTGTGCAAACCTATGAGGATGTGGCCGACACCCCAGTCAGGACTTGCCCAAATACTGCAGGGTCTTCTGCCATGGGTGAGTAAGAGATCATTGTGATGCTAACATTCCAGTAGGTGAAGGTATGATACTTTAGGATTGTTGCAATGTTTTCAGGATCAGACTCAATAAATCATTTAAGAATTAATAGTTCAAATATATCTCTCTTTATTTACACAAGGCATTCTATATTCACTGAATATTCACAGATAGAAGCAAGGAATGAGTGCGTGCAGCTCCTTATATATACAATGGGTGGAGCTAGATATGGGAGTGGTGAAGTATGAATACATTAAGAAGTGAAGAATAAATTAACCGCTGATATCCCGTTCATATACTATTTACATATTGGAGAATAAGGCATTTACTTGTGACAAATCCCCCTCTAAATGCCGATTCGATATGCTACACCAATTACATTCAGATTCAGAACAATACAAAACATATAACTTAGAAGTCAGGTATTTATGTTGCTTAGATGGCAAAGGTTTTGTTAATATGTCAGCTAATTGTTCTGATGTCTCACAATGCACCGCTTTAATAAATCCATCCTGAGATAACTGTCTCACATGTTTAAATTTTATATCTATATGTCTGGACCTTTGTCCAATGGCGTCAGATCTGGATATTTCGATAGCCGCTTTATTATCCTCATGCATGACAAAAGGCAAGGCAGGTTTTTTCCAAATGTCAGAAATTAAGTCATTAAACCATACAAGGTTATTTGCTGCTTTAGATAGACAAACATATTCTGCTTCTGTTGTTGAAGTGGCCACTAAATCTTGTTTGCCAGTGTACCAGTAAACTGGACAACCGTTAAGGAGGAATATATAACCAGATGTACTTTTTCTGCATGAAGTGTCTCCAGCCCAATCTGCATCTGCGTAACATGTGAGGTTTGGCTCCTTGACATTATTAGGCTCTAATATCAAACAAAAATCTAAGGTATTCTTTAAATATCTTAATATCCTTTTGACAGCTTCCCAATGGTACATTGTTGGTTTGCTGACATGTCTGGACAATAAATTGAGGGGTAAAGCGATATCAGGTCTGGTCCAATTGGAAATGTAAAGAAGGGAGCCTATGATTGATCTATAGAATGTGTTATCTTTGAACTCAGGGGATGATTCATCTGCATTCCTTAGAAAGTCAGTCTGCATAGGAGTGTCACAGGGTTTGGCATCGCTTAGATTACATTTGTTCAAGAGCTCTATGATCTTATCTCTCTGAGAAAGCTTGAATCCCCTTCTAGTTTTACTAATTTGAACACCAAGATACTTATTTACTTTGCCTAAAGATTTCAGTGAAAAATGTTCATTTAGCTTTGTTACAAATGTTTCTCTTCTTTCTTTATGTTTACCTATGTACAAAATGTCATCCACATAGATCAATACAAATTCTATGTAATCATCACCCTTTTTAACAAAGAAACAGTTATCAGCAGTAGTAGCACTGAAATCCATAGTTTTAAGTACTTTTACTAAACAATCATACCATCGTTTACCAGATTGTTTTAACCCGTATAAACTTTTGTTTAATAACCAAGTCTCATTCTTGTTTGTGTATTGACTGTGAGGTGCTCTTACATATATTTCCTTATCTAATTTTGCGTGTAAATACGCAGTCTGTATGTCATATTGGAATACATCGAGATTGAGTGCTGATGCTACAACTAGAGCTGTTTTGACACTCTCAGTTCTTACTGTGGGGGAGTAAGTGTCAGTATAATCCTCGGGATATTTCTGTGCATAACCTTGTGCAACTAATCTAGCCTTGTATAGAGTATTGCCTCCCTCTAAATTTTTAATTTTATATATCCACCTAGTGCCAACAATAGTTTTGTCCTTTGGTGCAATTGCAGGTGTAAATACATCTAATCCTTGTAAACTTTCCATCTCTTTTGTCATTGCTAATTCCCATTTTTCTTTTTCTTTAGGAGGAAGTTTTAACACTTCCTCATATGTATTAGGTGTCGTTGATTCTCCATTCATATGCATTATATAATCCTTGTACTTATTTGGCATTTGATTTCTGGTGCTTCTAATTGTTTTTTCAGGTTTACTATTATTATCATGCAAATATCTTGCTTCCTTTTTTGTTAATGTATCTGTCTTTATTTTGTGTTGACTGTTTGTCCATGTTTTGGTTTTGTTTCTATGTTTGTTGTCATTTTGCTTTTCTATAGTTCTTTTCTCTTGGGGTTTTGTATCTGTGTTGTTGCTTGGGAATATTTCATTAAGATGTATTTTAGACCAGTTGGCCTGTTCATGGAACACAGCTGTTCTGGAAACTATAAATTTGTTATTATTATCAATGAATCTGTATCCTTTTGTACCTGTCTCATATCCCATAAATCTAAGTCTTCTAGACACATTTTCTCCTTTTCTTCTTAATTGTTTAGGTATGTGTACGTCTGCAGTGACTCCAAATATGTGCATGTGTGCTAATTTTGGTTTCCTATTATACATCACTTCATATGGTGTCTTATTTACAATGCTGGACCAAGTTCTATTTTGTGTGTAATTGGAATATTGTAGGGCTTCTGACCAGAATTGTTTGCTTAAGCCAGCATCTTCCAATGTGCATCTAATCATGGTTTGTAATGTTGAGTTCTTTCTCTCTGCAATTCCGTTTTGGAATGCAGAAAATGGGCTAGATGTGTAATGTAACATTCCTTTGTCCTTCAGCCATTGGGAGAATTCCTTAGACATGAATTCACATCCCCTATCTGTCATGATTTGTTTTATTTTGATATTGTGTTGTGTTTCTACGCGTTTGTAAAATTCTTTAAATTTCTGAAAAGTTTCATCTTTATGTTTTAATGTGTAAACAAATCCATAACGACTATAATCGTCCACAATGGTTAAGAAGTAACGTTTTTTATAAGTGATTGATGGAGTTAGTGGACCAACCAGGTCCATGTGTACTAAATCAAAAATTTTGTTGGTTGACCTTGTTGATTTTCTAGGCCTGGGACTAGTTTTGAGTTTTGTAGACTTACATACTGAGCATTCCAAATAGTTTTCACAATTTTTTATTTTAACACCTTCTGCGTGTTCAGTCATTTTTTGTACTACAGGAAAACTGGCATGTCCTAACTTCCTATGTAAAACATGAGCACACTCATCATGAATTGGCTTACCTATTTTTGGTTTTTTCTCATTATGTGCATCCTTGTGATTATGAGCTACTCTACATTCATCATTGTCACTGTTACTAATGTTTCCATTATCTATTTCAATACAATCTTCCATATTTGAATCAATGTTGTGTAACCATTTCTCCTTTGTTATTAAATAAGGTAGGCCTCCTTTAATCATTACTGTACCTATATCTATTTTATTTTTCTCCAAAGTCGCTTTTCCTTTTGAAAACACAATATTAATATCAGAATCTCTGCTTAGTTTTATGGCACTTAGTATGTTATGAGGTATTTCAGGTATTAGTAATACCCCCTCTATTCTTCCTAGGCCAGGTAAGGTTACATTTCCTCTACCTATTACTTGGACCTTTTTTTGGTTAGCTACCTTTATTACAAATTTATCTTCTACAAATGAAGATAATATACTTTTATTATTAGTGGTATGATTAGTTGCTCCAGAATCAATAAGCCAATTATTGTTCTCAGTTTGCTGTATGTTAGTGTTGTCTTGTTTGTTTAGTCCATTCAGTGAACCAGATTTTCTATCCTTTGAATTATCTCTGCCCCCTCTATGCTCTTTATAATTTGGTGGGCTTCTATATCTATGTCTATCAATGGAAGACTGTCTATAGTTGTATTTATTTCTGTGTTCTGACCTATGTCTTTCTTTTGGAATTTTGGGGCAATCTCTCCTATTGTGTTCCTTGGATCCACAGTTGTGGCATTTAAATGTTTCATGATATCTTTCTTGAAAAGCTACCTTTCTATATGGTTTGTGTTCTATGTGATTGTTAGAGCGACTCCTCCTTGAATTGTCTTCAGCTATTAACTTATTGGATAGACTTTCTATGGATAAGTATCCTAGATTGATTGTGTCTAAATGTGACATATAATTATCCCATGATGGGTCAAGTGAGTTGATGATAACACTTTTCATCGTTTGGTCTGAAATCACCTCCCCCCTTAAATGCAGTTCAGCTCTAATTTTGTTTAAAGATATTAAATGTTCACTTATGGAAACCCCTGGTTTTATCCTAGAAGAAAAGAAATCTTTAGACATTCTAGTGGTAGTAGCTACACTATCACTGTGAAATAAATTGAACATGCATTGAATAATTTCTGAGACAGTCAGATTTTGCTTAATGCTGTGATACATTGCAGGAGATACACTAGAAATTAATAAGAAAAATGCTCTATGGTGTAAGTAGTCTAACTTTAGAGTCCAAGGTCTTTTTGGGGGATTAGTGATAAAAAACAGTAAGTTTTCTTTCATAAAGACAACCTGGAGCTGCTGATACCATTCTTGTAAATTAATGCCATCTATTCTCAGCTTTGGGAAGTCACTGGGCAAGTTTCCGACATTATTGGGTCCATTACTTACAACCGGGGGTAGTCCGTGGTCTCGTAAATGCTGGAAATTACAAAACGGCGTGGGGATGCTCGCAACGAGTCTGCACGATCCTTTCAGCAACTCATGTCTTCCTGGACCGTCTGCGTAGTCTTGCGCATGCGCGTTGCTCATTTCATTCCTGGAGTCGTCGTGAGAGGTTCTCGTCGTTGCGGCTCGCTCGTTCTGCTCCTCCTCAGATGAATCGGTCTCCGGCTCGATCTTGGGAGTCCTGACGATGGCGGTTGTTCTTTTTCTTCTCTTGAGAGCGTTGGTGCTTGCATCGATCTGCGGTGTGGGGCGGTATCTGCAGGGCTCTCTGGGTTCAGGCGTCAGCGCTCTCGTCGTCGGGATGGGAGCGGGTAGATTTTGAGGCGTTGGTTTGCTCGCTTGCTTTCTAGTTGATTTTTTGGTAATCTTTAGTTTCGGTCCAAATGCAGCAAAAAGCGTTTTCATTGCTGACTTTGTGTGTCTGTTGGATCACCTTCACTTTCCGATTCTGATCCTTCTGAGGTGTTTGACTTTTCTTTTTCATTTTCGTTATCTAGTAATGTCTTTCGCGCCAGAAATTTTGAATCAAGTTTTCTGATTGGCTCTGCTTCGCTCACCCTGGAGGTCTGTTGAAACCAAGATGGCTGCCATTCAAAATTTTGCGCGGGATCACCGTTTTTCTTCTTCACAGCGTTTTTGTTTGTAATCGTATCACTCACTATTTTTGAATCTTTTGGCTTTTCAGTAGCGATGTGCTTCTCTCTTGCTGCTCCGCTGTTTTTCAGCATATCTTGGAGGTTCGCGATGAGGCTTTCATCGTTCTTCTGGCTTTTTAACAGTTTTAATATCTCTGACCTGAGTTCGTTGTTTTCTATTTTGTTTTCCTCTCGGTCATCATTTTCATTTATTATTTCTTCGTCTTCAGTGGTGTATTCTTCAGATTCTCTCGAAATCGCATTTGTGGACTCATCGATTATTTCTTGATCCGTTTCCATTTCTTTGCTGTATGCCCTGGTGTTGGGCCTATCTCTCTTAGACATATTTAAGTTTTTATTGAGTCAATTCAACCATCCTCTGCTGCCAGCTTGTTGCAATGTTTTCAGGATCAGACTCAATAAATCATTTAAGAATTAATAGTTCAAATATATCTCTCTTTATTTACACAAGGCATTCTATATTCACTGAATATTCACAGATAGAAGCAAGGAATGAGTGCGTGCAGCTCCTTATATATACAATGGGTGGAGCTAGATATGGGAGTGGTGAAGTATGAATACATTAAGAAGTGAAGAATAAATTAACCCCTGATATCCCGTTCATATACTATTTACATATTGGAGAATAAGGCATTTACTTGTGACAAGGATGGGGAGAATTTTTCAGTATTTGAAACTGAATACACGTAGTTTTTAATTGTAACTAAATCTTGAGTCAATTAAACAGCAATTTTCAGCATCAACAGTGAACTTTTTACATCAGTTATGTTCTTGCTGCTAAAGGAGAAAATATTGTATTGTCTCAGCAAACAGCAGCAGCTTTAATTAGTGAAATGCCCGCTTGGCTGTGTAAGACGATTAATAAGCACTTATTTTTCACTATTCATGCTGCTGGTTCCTTCACAGCAGCTAACAAATTGCACAGCTATCCAATTAACTCATATTCATTGTCTCACAAAGTGTAACTCAGGTGTCATTTCACTCCCCAAAATAACCATTAAAAAAAACCTACTTTATGAATAGCTTTTGTTTACTAAATTAACATTTAGAATATTAGGGGATTCTTGTAATGTTATATCCATTTGAATTATCTTGATCTAGCGACTCAAGTACCTATTTGTTTTTAGCTGTCCTTAACTGAATTTAAGAAATGTCAAGGATGCTTCAGTATAGGACCAAAGAAAAAAGAGAGAGAGAGAGAAAGAGAGGAGAGACTGTTTGTGTCCCAAATTCTGTATCTAAGATGGCTGTGCAGCACCTGAGTGTAATTTGGAGCATGTGAAAGTATTGATAGAGCACCGGTTGACAATCTCTTAGAACAACAAATTTTTTTCCCCTGGGGTTATGTGGTTACTCTCCGTGGCTGCATTTGATTTAAGGTGTAACCAAGAAGAGCTGCAATTCCCGAAAAAAGCATTTGATCCTCCCAACTTCAGCTTTCTTGACTTCTTGCCCCTTTGTCACTGAATGTGATCAGTGCGTCATGTGGGTCCTACTGATAGATCAAGGGAGACTGAGCGAATAAACACTAATCCTTCTCCATGTTTCATTTATTTCTAAAGTGAGTCAGCCATACTGTTTTGTGCTATGTCAGTGTTTTTCAAACTTTGCAAGTTTAAGAATTTATCTCTCAGAATTCCCCAGCCAGCATTTGAAGGAACAGTGAGGGCTAATTATGGGGATATCTCCATAAACAGAGCTGCTTTGGACCAGCCTTGCCATAGGTAAATTTCACAAACATGAGCTCCCCTCATTACAGTGAAATTCTCACCACCTAGATCCTAAGAATGCACCCATTCAAAAGAAATTTCTAAAGTCATGTGTAAATACGTCATTGTTGTGTATTAGTCTGGAAAAGCTCCCATAGCCATTTCTGGAGCTTGAATAATTCAATCTTAATGTGGAAAAGATTAAGACTATCCAGAATCTTCTTGAGAATGACTTAAGAAACCAAAACCACTCCAAAAGCACTGCATAAAGTTGTCCAGGAAGTGGCAGAGAATCCCAAAATAATAGCCAGGGATCTGCAGGCCCCTCTCACTTTTATTAAAGTCAGTGTTTCATAACTCTACCACCAGAAAAGCACTGGATAAAAATGAGATTCTTGGGAAAGTAGTGAGGAAGAAGCCATTGCTTACTAATAAAAACATTGATACTTGTCTCAAGTTTGCCCAAAAGCCACTGTAGTTTGATCCTTCATCAAACTACATTTGATGAATGTAGTTCATCAAATTTCTGAAGGAATGTTCTAGGCAAGATGAGCCAACAGCACAACTTTTCAGGCTGCATGGTCCTCATTACATCTGATAGAAACAAAACACCACAATGCACAATAAAAATATCATACCAATTGTCTAGCCAAGAGCTGGTAGTATCATAGTTTGGGAATACTTTGTTTTCTCAGGACCTTAACACTTCCATCACTTCTACACTGTATCAAAGAATTCTACATGACTTAATCCCAATGGAAATGTGGCATGACCTAAATCAAGTAGTTTATATTAAAAGCCCGTTATTTAGCGGAAATAGTTCACCGTAGAAGAATGCCCCAAAATTCCAGTACAGTGATGCCAGAGAACAGTTACCAGTTAAAGGAAGCATTTCGCTGTGGTCACTGTAGCTAAAAGTGGTGCTAGTTACTGTATATGTCAGTTTTTCATAGTGGCACATTGCATGTTGGATGACTTCGTTTATGGAGAAATAAAACATTAAACTAGTGCTCCTTGTTCACTCAGAGTCCCCCTATATGTCAATAGTACTAACATGAAGCTCTCACATTCAGTAACAAAGAGATGCAACTATTCAGAAAATTTGAAAGAGGGCAAAAACTTCTGCCATATCTACTTGGGTTGTTCAGTCCTTTGGATTTAAAGGGGGAGGGATTTTGGTGCATACATTCACACAGTACTTTCAATAACCCCTTTAAAAAGTTGTTTTCTTTTCCTGCATTGCTGGCTTGCAATTCTAGGAAAGAGACAGCTGCTTTAATGAGACGATGACAAGTGCTGTACGAATGCCCTTCCATGTACTGCACAGGATTTGCGTCTTGTGTTTTCGGCGACATACTGAGAAAATGAGAATTAAAATCAAATGGCATGCACTGTGTACCTTAGGCTGAGCTATGTGAGGAAAAATGTAAGGCGTGACGGGCAATAAATTCATGTGGTGCAATAGGACTGTTTGTTAGTAGGATTCACTGGGCTAGGGATTTGTCTTTCACTGTGAGTTGTATTGTGTGTGGGGGGGGAGATGCACGAAGGGAGGCTCAGCCAATCGGACTGTACACATGTTGTACTGACAATAAAGGTTTGAATTTGAATTTGAAAAGGTTAGGTGGGCAAAATCCTTGACAAAAATAACCGAAGTTCTCAGTATGGTGTCTAACGCCTTTCCTATTCTCCCATAGGATTTAACATCAGGATTGGGAAGCCAAAAGGACCAAGAGACCCTCCTGCTGAGTGGAGCAGAGTATAAGCTGTGCTTCTGAGAAGGACACTCTTTTAACAGCAGGGAGGAAAGAAGGTGGCTGCTGCTTCTGCCAAAGAGGAGCACTAAATACTAGATGCTCACCTCCTTCATAAGGAGCAACTATGCAAAAACAGCAAGTTTTTCTGACCACGAAGAGGCCAGCTACTATGAGCACTAAAGCTCAGGACATTTCTAAGACCAAATCCTCCAGTTAGAACAACTTATTTTGACATGAACTTTTCTTTATCAGATCTTGTTGGTGGGAGCCAAGAGTGTGGCTGGCTTGGAGATTTTCAGCAATAATGATTTTAGACCCAGTACTTGGTATAATCATGCCAGGGAAATCCAGAACAGTTAGCCAATTAAACAAAATGTATGGCTATTAATGTAATGTTCTCCTTAAGTTGCAGCCACTGAAGTAAGGATAAGCCTTATCAGATGCTACCTATTGTGTTTGAGCATTCATGTTGTTTGATGGTTTTGACTTATACAGGGTGTGTGAGCCTAAGCTGGCTCAACACTTAGATGGTCTCATTTTCTAATGGAAAGCATAGAAAAAAAGAAACCAGAGTCAAGAGAAAATGATTGTACAAAAGTTATAAAAGCTCAGTGCCAAAGAAAGGGTACCTCTTGTACAATTACACACTTCCAAATAATTGCATCAGGAATAGGTTTGGCTAATTCAGTCTTCAGAACATATTTTGCTTGACTTGTATGGAGAGATAACTACACTGGAAAGGAATCTCTAATTCACTCTCCCACATGCTCCTCTTCAACAGAGCTTCAAATGTAACTCTGATAAGCTGATAATGTTAAGTGATGGTGCTGCATTTTAGCTAAGTCTGTTGTAAACCTAGCCAGTGTGGATTAGTTAGTTAACTGCAGCTTAGTGAATTACAACCCAGACATTTGGGGTGAACGCAACGGACACATCTAGCAAAGCAAAAAATAACAGACCAGGTGAGGAAAGTCTCCTGCCCCATTCTGTAATCTCTTTATTAGTCCTATTTATATGTTTAAGTAACCTTACTACCATAGACACCAAAAGAGGGAAGAAGTTATTGTAGAAAAATTGCAGGCATGAAGTAATAAAAACCAATTGGAGGGTTGAGAAAGCACTAGTCACGCAATGCTATAGTAAATTACAGTGAACGTGTCTGTCCACCATCATTGTGAGTCTTAACAACTGCTATTTGACTGTCTTCTTTGCTGCTAATGTAGCTTTCAAAATCAATGCCCCATAGACATTTTTCAGAACTGGACAGCCAGCTCCAATGTTACCCAGTACGTTTCTGCTAAATAAAAATTTACACAAGTTAACCAGGAAGGCCAACCCAATCAGAACAGGGAAGTGCAAAAGCCCCTTTCTGCTAGACAAGCATCACGAGTTCCATGTCAGAATGGGGAAGTCCTAGAATGGGCGAGAAACAAATTTTGACATGAACCAAAAGGATGATCACTCTTAGAACAGGCAGAAAGGGAAAAAAATGTATTTATGGGAGCAAGCTTGAAAAATCCAGTTCATGTAAGGTCCAAAATACAGTCTGCTTCTTTGATGAGGAAGTGGCAGTTTTGAGGCACTGCTACTCAACACTGAGGAATTTTCTCTTCTTGGCTGTGTGGGTATAAGGATGCCAGCGCCACTCCACGTCAGCAGTGTTCTCTTGCTCCAAGGTTCCCAGTTTGATCATATATACTGCAATATAAGAGAAGAAAAGTTTGAGCTGGCTGTTGTGCTCTGTGCTTCAGGGAATAAATCCCACAATTCTGTTTTCAGTCAGTCTCTGAATGTCAGCAGAAAATGATTTTTTAGGACAGAGGACAAAGAAAGACAAATCCTACCCGAACAATGGAAAGAATCCTTAAAATTCAGAGCATTTTATGCTCTGGCTGAGTTCATACCTGCAGTTAAACATTAATGGGGTTTGTTAAATTTTGGCTTAGTATGTTGAGACCTAATCAGTGTAACACAACCAGAGGTTAGGAAATTGCAATATATGTGAACTCAAACTACCATTATTCTTTAAACCACAGTTAAGTGGCCTAGCTAGCGCACATCAGAGCTTGTTCTAGGACAACAACGTCCAACAGCCAGCCAGATATTTGTGAAAGCAAATCCTGAAACCACAATAATCATTCCCAGCATTTGAGTCTCACAGATTACATTAAGCAACGTTATGTTTAAGTTTGAGTCATGAAGTAAGCCATAACATATTGCTCTAAAGTTGAGGAAACCACATTAGAGTTACTGCAATAGGTGAACCCAGTCACCAGAAGCCATTATTGAATGGTAGTTAACACACACACACACACACACCCAATATCACAATGATTTCGATGAACAAAAGCCAAGATTCTGATTTACAAGAAGCCTCTCAGGTTCTTCATGTGTCAGCTAAGATTTGAATCAGCAATTTCTTGATTATTATACATGCTCCTAACCGCATTGTCTTTAGATCAGAATGGGGACAGGTTCATACCAAACTCTAAAAAGAGTGATCCAATCGATTCTAGCATTCAACAGACATAGCAGTCATTTGAAAAATCTTGTGACCCATAAATATTGAACAATTGTGTTACTGTTTCTCTTCCCTGAAGCAAATGCACAGAAGGGATTTTTCCCCCAGAAGGACAAGAGTCATGGACAAATCTACACACTGGTCCAGTTTTTAAAGTGCATAGTGAAAATCCATGTAACATGTGTTATGTATGAAAGCACAAGCAGCAGCAAAAGATTTTTTTTGCACAGCATTCTCAAATGTGGTGCTCAATCAAATGTGGTAAACTATAATTCTCATAATTTCCAGCCAATGTGGCTGTAGTCTATGAATTACAAGACTTGACCAAACATAACTAGAGGGCTCTTGAACTAAGAAGCCACTTTCTTTTAAGAAGCAATCTTACAGTCAACATCAGCAGAAAACTGTTCCATTATGTCATCTGTAGCACAATAAAGCAAGAATTGTCATAAATGTTGCCTCTTTTTGTTAGGAAGGAAATAAGCAGATTGACTCATGCTAGAGCTTGAGATCCTTTTGAAAAACACTGTTGTCAACTTCAGGGGAAACTGGATTATAGCCCTTGACCTAATTGTGAGAAAAATAACTGAAGACTCCACGTACTCTGAAAAATACTGCAATTTGCATACAGTACACTGTGTCTTATTGCTTTAATTGCCATTTGTTGCAAATAGGGCTGGAGATGGGTGTTTCTTTACTGCAGAGTCAGCCATATTTTAAAAAAAGATGGGGAGAAAGGAAGTCAGATAACAAGATGGATTTCCTTTCTACACGTGTTTACTCAAAGCTTGATATTTCTGATATTGACTTGGAGGTTTTACCTGAAAAAAGCCATTCCATTTAAGCCTGCAATGTAGTGACATTATAGATTAGCTTTGCCCATCCAAGGGATGCTGAACCAATACCTAGAATTCCCAGTAGGACTTGCTCCAACACATAGATTATTCCAAAATCTCTTCCTCTTCTTCTTCTCTTCCTTCTCCTCCTTTTTCTTCTTCAATGTTTTTGATACTTACAATATCAAGTGTCAAATACAGTATCAAAAGGTTGACTTAGCCTTCCATCCTTTTGAGGTCAGCAAAATGAGGACCCAGATTGTTGGGGGCAATATACTGACTCTGTAAACTGCTTAGAGAGGGCTGTAAAGGCACTATGAAGCGGTACATAAGTCTAAGTGCTATGGCTACAAAGCTGAAGTTGCCCCTCTGTTTGTTGCAGATGTGTTTTCACATATTTTGTCAGCTCCAACGCGCTGTTGGCATGGAGCTGCCATTCTTGGGGGGAGGAACGCAGGAACCTCGTTTCAGCCCAGCATCTGCTTTCTCGAGCCTCCCAGGAACTGATAGCATTTACGGGAGGGAATAGCTGGGGGATGACATCATCATGGCCAGCCGGAAATAACAAGTGGATTAACTGTTTAGATGCTGGTTGTAAATACTCAAGAATTAAACATAAGCCAAATTCCGGGTCACATGGGAGGGAGCAGCGTGCATGATTGGGTGGGTGGTAATAACTAATGGATTAGTTCTAACTAACGGATTAACTAATGGTGGTGGGAAGCACAGAGCAGTAGCCCTAACAAGATTTTCATCTGCAATTGTCAGTGAGTGCCAATAAGTGATTAAACTAAGGTAGAGCCATCCAGGTTTGTCGCCTTTTATTTCCTTCTGTTTGGAACTTGACATATTTATTCAGTCCACTTGCTAACCAGCTGTCATGTTCAGACTTCTATCTTTCCCAATCACTTAACTGGATTCCCAATCCGTGTGTGTGTGTGTGTGTGTGTGTGTGTGTGTGTGTGTGTGTGTGTGTGTGAGAGAGAGAGAGAGAGAGAGAGAGAGAGAGAGAGAGAGACATAGATACGGACACAACACACAAATCCAGTTTGATCTAGTGTTTAAGACACCAAGCAGGAGACCCTGAGTTGAAGTCTTGCTTTAGGCATGAAAGCCAGTTGGATGATCTTCGGCAATCATTCTCTCTCAGCCCAGTTCACCTCACAGAGTTTGTGGGGGAAATAGGAGGAGGAAGGTCTATTGGATACGTTCCCTTTCTTGAATTATTTGTAAAAATAATAAAGGTGGGTGACAAATAAATAAAAATGTAGCAGATGCTAAGAGAACAGTGACTCAGTTAAAACTGCTCTGGCAAGTCAGTGATAGAGACAAAGTTTCTGATTACACAATTCATAGTTTGATGGTGATACTTACATTTCATTTCAAACCTTGGGCCAACCTCAGAGAGCTCCACGTTCCGATGGTCAGTCTTCTTGTAAACATGGTGCCTGCCCCAGACAGTATTGGAAAATTACAGAGTAAGCACTGGGAAGAATGAAGAGCAGTCCTCTTCCCCAGCAACAGGCTCTTTGGTCCCTCCTCCTCCTAATTTTTTCCGCCCATTAAGCCCAAATCACAGCTGCTAAAACACAGACAAAGGGCAAAGACTTCATTATTTCAAACAAAGCAGCAAAAGCCACACACACCCGATATTGGCAAATTTCTCTCCTCATATTTGATGACCAAATCTAAATCAAACTGATAGTTGTCTGCCTTTTCAAGTGGCATCACATCTGAGGCGATCTCTTCATTCTCCCCATGCCAGAGCCAGCTATGGGATGCATATTTGCATTCAATTCATCCGCTCTACAATTAACACTATCTGTTAACATCTGCATTCATATCTTCTTTGAGGACACTACTAACAATGCAACTTGTTGGTTGACTTTAGTTGACTCTACATTAATTAAACAACAGATAAAACTATATTTTGGTGTTACATGTTGCATGATCCCAACTGCAGCATACCCCAAGTGGAACATAAGCCAAGGATAAAGTTTATTTCTTTATTTACAAACTTTTATCCTGCCCACCATTGGGTACATCAGTGATGGATGGGTATCACACATAAAGTGATTAAGTTGCCCACTAGTTTACTGAAGACTCTGCAGAGGCAACTTTCATGACCTATTGTATTTGGAAGCTGGTGGCAATTATTAAATAATGACAATCTCAAACTGATAGCAGGCAGCACTAGCTAAAGAAAAGTGCTGTGGCTTCCCTCCTTTGGCATTTTGAAAGAATGAATAAAGTGCAGAACTAAAGCAAATCCACAAATAAGCCCCCGAATGCCCTCCATGGCTGCCCATCCATTTTATTTCCAAAGCAGCTTGAAAAATGCTCTCTCATCTTTCTTTGGCCTGAGTCCTTTCACATGTGTTGGGACAACATTTACCACAATCTACAACAAGTATAGCATTTATTTATTTATTTATTTATTTATTTATTTATTTATTTATTTATTTATTTATTTATTTAATTTATATACCGCCCTATTCCTGAGGGACTCAGGGCGGTGAACAGCGAACGATAAAAATACATGTAATACAAACGTTAAAAAAAACCAATTAAAATATACTAAACACTCTGGTCCTAGATAATTCAAGACATCCCAGTTTAAAATAAAATCAAAAGCAATATAAAGGGAAAATTAGGCCAGGCCGGCCTGCTGAAACAGGAATGTTTTGAGGGCACGGCGGAAAGTGCGCAGATCCGGAATCTTCTGTATCTCTGGGGGGAGCTCGTTCCAGATGGTGGGTGCCCTCACAGAAAAGGCTCTCCCCCTGGGGGCCGCCAGTTTATAATCCAACTATTCAAAAGGGACCAAATTGCTACCACCCAGAGCACTGTCCATGAACAAGACTTCACAACTGGCACTAACAAAGAATCTAGCACCAGTGAAGTTTTGTGTTCTCTTGGCTCCACTCTCATAATCATTTCTGCTCAGCCTCACCCAGAATCCAAACCAGGTACACATACCTGAAGGAGATATAGTCGTCTTGGTTAGCAAAGGTGATGACCCGCTTACTGTCTTCTTTAGGTACTGGAAACAAGTATTTGAGAATGCTAGTGACCTATGAAGGAGAAAGAGGGAAATGCCAGGACCTTGGTGGTAGAAAGTGGATGATGTGTGATGAAAGTTGGAAACAATAGTGAATGAAATATCAGATGTTCCTGTAGTTTCAAAGTCAAGTTTTCCCTTAATGGGATCAGATTTAAAGAAATACATAACTGAATACAATTGCAAGATCAGGCCAATAAGTCAGACTTAACTCACATGACAGACTTTGAATGTGCTTGGCCATGGACCTCCCATAATCCCCAGCTAGAATGATCTTTAGTAACTCAATTAAATACTATTTGTATGATTTCTGCTACATAAAAAAGTGAGAAAACCTCCTCTGATTATGCTGCTTCTCTGATACTCATATCTTTACTTTGCCCAAAATACCATATAAAGAACACTGATGGATCCAGGCTAAAGCGATAATCCTACACTCACCTCTGTAGAATGAATTCCACTGTTCTCAGGGGCTGAGATCACAACATGCTAATCTAGGTCAGTAAAAGATCTAACAGCTTTAACCCTGTTTTTTTTTTTTAAGTTGTGGCTTAGTCTATTGAACAGACCCAGTGTGTTCAGCTGCTTTATGATACATTTTGTAAGCCCAAAAAACAGCAATCACATTTAGTGACTTTGGCAAACACTTTTGCCAGTAGATCTTACTCAGGATTTTCTGACTTGCCATCCCTCAGATATTTTGCAGACCTGCTAGCCACCTTCTCCGTTTTGATTTTTAACCTCAGTCTAAACAGTTGTCAAACACCAAGGAAACAACATTCTGATCTACCACTTCATCTTACCCTCTGTCCAAGACGAGACGTGACATTGTGGAAGATGAGATGAGGGTTGGCTTCTGACATGGTGCCAATATCTGGGATATCATGGCGCATGACCACGTTGCAGAGGGTGAAGTAGGCAGTGGGGCCAAAAGGCAGGTGGCTAACTATGAGTCCATCTAAGTAATGAAGAAGCAGGGAACAAGGAGCAGAGAAACTAGTTAGGCCCAGTTGCTACCAATGGAAGATGAACCCACTGAAAAAAGAAATTGTTATTATGACACAACCTGATGTGTGGGAATGATGCTTTATCCACCAATTTTGCTTAAGATTTGCTCATAACCAGCTACTCCATCTAGCTTAGCATCATCAGAAGCTTCAGATGGAAGTCTTCCCAACTCTACTGGCACTTGGAGATCTGATCAGTGAACCTAGGGTGCACAGCCTACATTTTGCCACTAAATATTAACTTCTACCTAGGATCAAGTAAGCAGCATACTGGATTTCAGCTCTTGTCAACCTGAGGCAAGCTAGCAACAGGAACTGTTGAACTATAACAAAGTATCTGGAAGGCATTAAATTCCTTCTGAAGAGCAGAGACACTGCCGATAGATTTGACCTCAAACAAGCAAGTTCAGCCTATTTCCAAATGAGCAGAGCTGCACCTTCTGTATGATTCTATCAAACTGCCTTCTTCAAGTCCAGTACAAATGAAATAAAATGACCATTGAATCTCTACTAGATATACTCTCATAACAACAGGTTTCAAAGCACAAGTATCTAGTGTGTACTGTTTACAAATCACTTACCTGGCACCCCTCTATGCTCATGCACCACCAGCAGATCGGTGACCCCATTGGCTTTACAGGCACGGACCAAAGCACCCACCTCATGCCTGCCTCGGTTCATTCGCTGGGCCCCAGGGAAAACTAGCTTCACTTCCTAAACAGAACATGGGAAAAACACATGAAATTATAAGCAGCCATTTACAATCAGATTTCTGAGCAGAAGGAACTAATGTCACCGTACCTAATGAAAACATGGGTTAGATTCACTCTACTGATTTTTTTAAAATATGGAAAGCTTGAGCTGAGATCTTAAGAGGTGATCCCCTGGCACAGTCTCTGTTAAACCATTTGCTTTGACCTCCTAACTGCCCAGGGCTGAGCTGAACTGGGTTTGATGTCTGGCTCAAAGTAAACCTCTTCAATGAGTTTCCTTTCTGGCAGGCCAATAGCCAGATTTGAACTAGGGCCAGAAACAAGTACTCAAGCCTGCCCCATCAACCTGCTTTCTAAATCCATGCCTCCAACTAAACAGAGCAAAGCATTTGCTGTTAACTTACTTTGGCAAACATCTTGAGGCGAGAGCTGGGGTCACGGGAGGTGGTAACCATAATACGGGGATCCTCCACACCAGCCCAGCGGTATTCGTCATCCACATGACTCGTCACTCCTGCCAAGCCAATGTCATAATTACAAACCTTCCCAGAGACAGACAGATTCCCCAGAAAGCATTTAGAGGGCTCCAGGTTGGGTATGGTAGCCCAGAGGTTTGGCTCCAATGAGCCTCTCACCTTCTGCCCCTCCATCATCAAACTCCAGTGCTTTCTGGAGGACCAGGGCTTCTTTCCGAAGTTCTGTGGGAATCAGGCAGTTCTCTAGAAGGGAAAAGCACAGGTGACTTTTAAAAAAATGTAAAAATCCACATTATTGGGTCTGTTATTGGTTCATTTATACAAATTATAATTCACCCAACTTCCAACAACTCTAGATGGTTTACCACTTAAAAGTAAAAATCACAAAACATTATACAAATAATATAACCCTGATTATAAAGTATAAAAGAATATATAAAATACAATAATTCAAGCAGACTGAATATAAAGAAACAAATAATGAAAAGAAAAAATAAAACAAATATAAGAATAATTCAATCCTTATGAGGAAGCAAAGCTGAGGTGAGAGGATTCTTCTATTCACCAGCTAGCATGCCCATCATTATTTGTTTTAGGTGAGTATTATAAGAACTGCAAGACCTAGCTCTTTCAATAAGACTTTTGAAAAGTTTACAAGAACAACATTCCTACCTATTTTATTTTTGTATTTATTACAATTATATCCTGTTTTTTCCATTTCTCCTCCAATTTTATACCTAGAATGGCCATCTTTTGAAGTTGGTAAACAGAAACTGTCTGATGAAATGTCAGCTCTAGGGCTGAAGTGGGTCTTGAATCTGGGTCTTCCTTATCCTAGTACAATCATTACACTATACTGGCTTTCTCAAAAATTACTTTTCAACAATTCTGTGAGATTGGCTGGCTGAAATATAACATGGCTTTATAAATCAGAATATCCCTTCTTAAAATCCAACCCTTGTTTGATGGCAGACAAGCACTAAAAACACTTAGTTTCAAATCTCCATAAAGCTATTAATTCATGGATAACTGTGCACCTAGTCTACCTCTCAAGGTTATTTGTGAAGATACCTTTTGAGGAGAAATCTTGAGTAAATGAAAAGAAACATGGGGAACAATTGTAATAAGTGAATAAAAAGCACATTGGTTCAATTATAGAACAAACTATATATGCTTTCTTATATATAGGATCCACTAAGTTTAGTAGGGCTTACTTAAAGGCCTCAAGTTTCACGTTCTCACAAAATACAATCCTGTTATATATTGCAATTCCAAGTCATTAATGTGTACCATCCAGAGCCTTTTTAATTTTTTCTTTCTTTTCTTGAAGAGTCCGGAGTTTTTCTTCTTGAGCTTTGCGGTAAAGATACTCCCGCCTCTGACGAGCCTCCCGACGCAACTAAGAAAATACAAATGCACCAATTAGATTCATTAAGACCATTTTTTTTTATTTCCCTTCTGACTTCAATATACTTAGTGATGTGAGAAAACGGATCTGTCCTTGAAACATTTGTTAAAAATCCAGAAATGTTTAACTTTTTGAGTTACTGACATTCAAACTGGCCACAATTAAAACAGAGTAAAGCTGTAATCACACAGCTGCTTCCTTGGGAATAAGCCCCGTCAAATTTAGTTGAATTGCTAAGTAAACATTTGAAGAATTATGGGGCAATTAAAAAAAAAAAAATCTAACCAGCATTGCCAAGCACTGTAATTCAATATACCTAGAAAGCAACAGGCCAAGAAGCCTGATTAAAAATATAGGTAACTTCTACAGACCATATGCAAAATCTATACTCTTTGCTCCGAATTAGTCTAGATTCGAATGTCTGCTATCCCGAGGCTTCATTGAATCGTTGGACAAAGTCTAAACTGAACTATCTGGGAACTCTGTCTCCATTCTCTTAGCCAGAAAGCAAAACCAATTATTGTTCATTTTTCCAAAAAAATAAAAATAAAATACTGCTTGATGCACAAAAACTAATTCTTACCATGATCTCCCTGGATTCCTAGACTCGACCACGTTACGATTTACTTTCTTTCAATCACTTCCGCCCTTGTCGTCGGTTCTCATTGGTCAGGAGAAACGGCCTATAACAGATGAGAATGAAAAACCCAAAGGGAAGCCTCAGGCCCACACCAAACATGGCAGAACAAAGGGAGGTGACGTAATGACGACGCGTGCCTGAAGCCTCCACGGTGACGTCAATAAAATGCGCGCGCAGATGATGTTTCTGCATAGCAATACCCTTTAGATTTATATACCGCTTCACAGTGCCTTTATAGCTTTATAGACTGTTGAGTACCGAGTAACATTGTTGAGATTTTCTTTTGCTAATGGAATTTTGAAATACTGGGATCTAGGTTTCCTCCCCACTCTGCCTTCCCTCTTTCTGTGCCTCTCCAAATTGATTCCCTTCCATCAGTAGGCGAAAAAGCATATAATACGGAACGAAGTTCTAGTGGATCCTGTTTCATATTTCGTATATTTTCCCACACTTCTGCCCCCCATAGATTCCAACCTGAAGGAGAAATGAAAATGCTATTGGGGGCTTCTAGGAGACAAACCGGAACACAGAAAATATTTTGATCCACTGGGGTTTTTTTTTTTTTCATCCCTGATCTGATACCCATATATTTCCCAGCCTTTGGTGGGGGTGGGGATCTCTGTTTGGTCAGCTTTATCGATTCAAATTATATATATCACCCCCCTTGTCCGAAGTATCAGAGGGCGCAGCATACATACAAGTCCGCGTACACACAACACACACACACACACAACTCCCTTAATAAACGTGGTCCCTGTTTAAGTCTCTAAAACAAATGTTTATCCACCCCAGCAACTTCAATTTATGTGGACTTCAGCGAGCTGGTTGAAGAACTCTGGGAGTTAAAGCCCCCATATAATTGCTGAGATTGACAAACGCCATTCTAGAGATGAAGGGAAAAACTTCACAACCGGAAGCGGCTCTGCTTATTATCCGAGTCGCTTCTGTACCTCGGTTAGCAGCCGATTGGTCAAAGATGAACATATTTCTGATCTTATTGGCCCTGGAAGAAGAGAAGGTGGAGTCATGTTTTAACCGCAGTAGGTACAGGAAGTCAATTGAGAAAAACGGATCGGGTGCAGTGAGAGAACTTGGGGGAGGTTGAGCGACCAGCTTGCCTTCGCTAGAGGAAGACCTATGAAGTTATCCTGATATATTTGCTTACGAACTAAGGTATCTTCTTTCTTTCTTTAGATTAGCCGATCACAGTTGCAGGTAGAAAGAATGAGAGGCTTGTAGCATCTCAGGATTCTTTTATTGTGGCGTCATAAATTAGAATTAGAATAAAAAGAACTTGACCTTGGAGATCTTCTAATCCAGCCCGCTGTTCAAGCAGGAGAACCTATACCGCTTTAGATAAGTGACCGTCCAGTCTCTTCTTAAAAACCTCCAGTGATGGAACACCATGATTTCTGGAGGCAAGCTGTTCCACTGGTTGATTGTCCTCACTGTTAGGAAGTTTCTCCTTAATTCCAGGTTGCTTTCTCTCTCTGATTAGTTTCCAGCCATAGTTTCTTGTCCTGCCCTCTGGTGCTTTGGAGAATAATTTGACCCCCTCTTCTTTGTGGCAGCCCCTCAAATACTGGAATAGTACTGAGTAAGACTGCGACAGATTCATCATTAGCTTTACAGTAATGCAACCTGCTCTTGTAATGTTTGGCCCTGGAAATGACAGGTGTAGCGAAGCAGAATAAACTCATGGATCAGTCAGAACTCTTTAAAGTCCTCAAATACTGTAATAACTTTGAATTCTGGATGAAGGTTGGATCAAATATACAGTTTATATGTTTTAAAAGGGAAGAGAAAGGTGAGGGTGGTGGTGTTGGAAGAAATGTCCATCTGGGTTCAGTTCCAAGTGCGGAGAAAGACACTGGAAACATGGAGGCTATTTGGAAAGATGGTTTAATGATGGACAGGACCACATGGTTTGAGGTCCTGGGCAAAATGAGCACATGGATGAGAGAGATTTATACCCTCTGTTGGCTCTGTTGGGCTTTGAATTTGCTTCCTGTTCCTGTGGCAAGAAATATATCCTGATTGGTTGTCAGACTCCCATGGGGCCATCCAGGGGTAACTTTGTAGGTTGTCTTGAGTCCCAGGCTTGGTTGAATCTTGCTGGGTGATGTAATCTTCTCAGGTGTCATGTGGTGAGATGGGTAGAGGCTAATCCTATTATGGCCTGAGGGTGAAGGTCTTTTGTGTTGTAGATAAGTTGGCCCAGCCTTTCTGGGGCTATTAACAAAGGTGGGGGCTGCTTTCTAAGAGCATGTTTCTCCTTTTCTCATCCAGGGAGGTATAATATTCTGCCTTTTTAATATTTCCTAGAATATTTCATCTTTCTAAGAGAGGGGTGGGTGCTAACTTTCTACAGTGGTATTGGGCCTAATGAAGCAGAGCAATTCTGGATATGTCTACTCAGAAGTAAGTCTTCCTGATTCCAGTGGGTTTCTGGCTGGTATTGTCACCACAATACCTGACTGTGATAGCTCTTAAAATTCTTTGCCAAAGGAAGCTTGTTTTGAGTTTTCCTTTATGCCTTTCCATCAGCAGAAGTTGTATTGATTCGGACAGGTTTTTAGCTGAGAGTGTTTTGTAAATATGGACACAGATCCAAATATTGTATATCTGAATGGAAAGAAACAAGCTTTTCTCACCTTTCCTTTCTCTTATAGTCCTAAATGCTTTCTCAATATTCCACAAACAGTTGTAAGTTCCTGCTAAATGGAGTAGAGAGCCTGAAAAGATAGTGGGATCTTTTTTTAAAAAATCATCCTGTCAGCATTCCTCACTTTGCTTTTTTTTCAGAGATCCTTCCTTCTCCACTGGAGGATATCCCATTCAGTGGGTTTGTCCATCTTCTTTACAATATTTTGAAAAAAAATATTGCTGTTGGGACAAAACAGCAGGGAATCTGCTTCTACCAGTTGTATGCATCTATATCTGGCTCTAACTGATGGTTAAATAGGTTGCAAAAGGCTTTAATTGCTTAACTTGTGATCTTATTTGGTTTTTTTGTTGTTTGCTGTTAATTGGTTTTGAATACTATTTGATGGAAAGAGTGTGTGCAAATTGAATATATAAGGTAATAATTTACATTAACATGAATGTTTATCTTTTATAGCAGAAACTCTTGAAACCTGTGTGACACAAGGTCGAATAGGATCAATTGCACAATTTTCCATTCAGATGGCTCCTGCAGTGGACATTGGACAAATTGAAATATGTGAGGAATTGGACCGTGTTATCCTGCACCTTTTTGATGCTCTAGAAATCCTCCAGACCAAGAGAGAAGCTTTCAATAGCATGGTGGAGCAGGTGAGAACATGGCAGATAAGACCTGAGTGAAGGCCAAAGGCATGCTGCCAAATGATGGGGTCATTTCCTCTTTCCCCAGCTGTTGCTTCAGTTGGGCAGAGCTGTTGATTCCTTTTTGGGAAATGTGTCATAGAGATTGCTTTTGTATTCCTAGTGTCAGAAAATCCAGAATCAGTTCATTCTCTTTTCAAGATGACTTCTAAGAATTCTGGCAGTTGTAACTGTTCACACTGAAGTTATCTGGTCAGAAAGATTGCTGTAAGGTGTGGTTTGATTTTGCTTCTCCAGGGTTGGTTCTCACTCTCCAAATCTCGCTATGCCATGGGTAACAAATCTGTATCTACCCTGCAATATGGACACCAGATGACACCACTTGTTCGGATAGAAACAAGGTGAGCGGGAAAATTGCTAGATTTTGACAAGGGGAGGGAAATTCTATGGTGGGGAATAAAGGCAGCATCTGCAATCATACATTGTGCTAAACCAAAATATGGTTGCCTTGCTTTTCGTTTAGTTGTACAGACACAATCATTGTGCTTAATGGATTATGATTTATGGCTTAATGTGTTGTATAAACTCAGTCAAGTTAAGAATGTGTTCCAATCATTCTGTCTGTCTTTATCTCAAGTTTCTATCTAAGTCAGAACTTGGACTTATGAATAGACTGACTATTAATACAAATGGTCAACGAATTTTCCTTCCTCAATCCTATGAACTACTGAAACCACACAATGTTTTCATGAACTGCTGAAAACAGGCTCTATATTATTTATTATTAAATTGATATGCTGGCCATCTCATTATCTCATTAAAATCTCATTAAAAATCCTACGACTTCAACGGCTCATGAAAACATTGTATGGCTTCAGTGGTTCATCATCTCAAGGAAGGAGAATGCCACCCATCATTTTTAATAATAGCCAGCCCATTCACAAGTATAAGATGTCTATAAATCAAATGTTCTTAATCCAGGGGCTAATAGTAAGTAGCTAGCCAGTCTAATGAGCTTCAATGAAAGAGAAAAGCAGTAACTAGATGCCTTCAGAGACGGGCGGCATATAAAGTGAATTAATTAAATTAAATTAAATTAAATTAAATTTTGCTCTTGCCTTTTGAATTTTTCTAAAAACAGATGGGATCTATTTTGTGTTCTTTTTATTGGAACCTCCCTGCAAATATTTAAACTATTATTTAGTGCTATTATTTCCATTGCCATTCAGCTGCGGAATAGTAGGGATTAAAAAGTTAGATGCATCAGATTGAGGAAGATTGCTCCATTCCATAATAGCTTTTCCAAAGCATCAGGTCATCCTAATAACTCCAGGAATTGTTGATCCAACTCCCTTTGTATGAAGGGACTGTTTCACTTGGCTGTATTCAATCAAACTTTAATTATGAGAGCTTTGTATTTTCTAAGGTTTTAGACAAGTGAGAGAAGTTTTGTTATGGGTATTTTGGATTGCTTTGTTGATAAAATCAGTATTGGAAGATTGTTTTATTTCTTTGATTTTGGGATAAGGACTGGAGAAACCTAGATTCAAATCCCATGTGGAAAACTCTTTGGAAAATCTTGACCCAATAGTTCCCCCATAATCTGATGTACATCACAGTTATTCTGGAATAACATTGATGGGGCAATTATAATGTACACCTATGAAGAAAGAGACAGCTAAAACTGAAATAATCTCTGTCTCAGAGAGCCCCAAATAATTATTATCCCTATTGCCTATTCCTTGGAAATGAATCGGTTTCAAGCTAAATGATCAGTCTTGCATATGACTCTCTATTTCTTCCATCTAGCAAGGCAGAAGATGGGCAGACTCAGTTTCAGGTGATCACAGAAGATGCTTTCAAAGGGAAAGATGAAAACCCAGCTTTTGTGGAAGAGATTGGCCCCAGTGAACAAGGTAAAGGAACAAAATCCACAAGATTTTTGAACCCACTTGATCAGAATTCATAAGAAACTGCAATCATTTTGCCAAAGTCTGCCTGAATCTTTCCCTGCCAGATGACTCTTAAAACGACTATTGGTTACTATATTAATACTAAAAACCAAAGATGTAACTATTTGGTAAAATAAACACTGTAGAGTAGAAACAAATCAGAAATTCTTTGTCCCCAATAATATGAAAACTACAATGCAACCATTCAAAGGAAGAATTCAAGGAAGCTACTGAAAATACCAGAAATCAGTTTCAATCACTCATGGACAGATGAAAACTGTCCAACTGTCCTTTCTAAAAGGACCTAAATAGGCATCCTCAGAATTGTAGTTCAACAACCTCCATTTCCCTGCTTGCCAGTCTCCTTTGATTGAAGGTGCTATTTGATTGCTTCTAGTTCTACGGCGACGAAAAGGTCCAGGAAAAGCAGAGGATGTGGCCCAACCCCAGAATACAGCATCCCAGCCTGCAGAGACCTTAGGCCACCAAGACCCCCTGAACTGGTTTGGCATCCTTGTGCCTCAAAGCCTCCGACAAGCTCAGAAGACTTTCCGAGAAGGTGAGGCAAATGGCAGCTGGGATAATCACAATGAATGCCATCTGCACTTCTGTCCTCTTCTGATTCCTTGTCTAAAGATCTAAAAAAAAAAAAATACTATCATGCAGCTTTTGGCTTTCTTACGTGAAAGCTGCCACTTGGGCAGCAGAACATCAATTGGGGGAGTTGCTCTGCGGCCAAGTTCTGTTCATATTATCGTAGTCACCATCTGAGGAACCAGACTAAATTTCTGGAATTCAATTCAAACCTATTATATTGTGGCACTTCCTACGTGCAATAAGGGCATTACTCCTGATCTGTAATTTATGTATTTATGTATTTATTTAATTTATATTGCATCTATTATTTTTATAAAGAACTCAAGGCGGTGAGCATAACTAATCCTCCTCTTTCCTCTGATTTTCCCCATTAACAACAACCCTGTGAGGTGGGTTGGGCTGGAGAGAGTGACTGGTCCAAAGTCAGATGAGCTTTTTAGAGATCTTCACCATTCATAAAACAGTTTTTCCAACCAAAATGTCATATGGATAAAAGAAGATTCCAGCTCCTGGAATTCCCAGTTAGAGTTTGGCAACATGTTGGATGTTCTATCATATCTGGAAACAATCCAATTTAGGGGACAGAGTAGAATGGAATTTCTCTTTTTAAAAATACTATTTAGGTTTGCCTATTGATAACCCCTTTGTCATTTTGTCCTGTTTCAGGGATCAACCTGGCTGCAGAAATTGCCTCAATACAAAGTGAAATTGAGGCTACTCGAAGTTATTACCAGTCACTGCTGGGAAAAAAACAAAAACTGGTAGCTGGAAAGAAGCAGTACTCTCCTTGATCAATAATGATCACCTCTGCTGATATAATATAAGCTATGAAGTATAGCTTATATTTATTGGAGCAGTTTTGGAAACCTCAGTGTTTGTTCTGAACTGTTTTTAAATCTCTATGTAAAAGATAATTATAATTATTAATGGCTTTGTAAGTTACAGGTGCACTTTAGATTTGTTTGCAGAAAGCTAAAATTGATGTATTTTAAAATAAAGCATAGCTGGAAAATCTAGCTTAGTGTATATACAGCATTCTTCATCTTGCCTTTTTTTCTTATTTGTCTGAGGCAATATGTCTGTTAAAGTATTGAAACAAATGTCTTTGGTTTGTAGGTTTGATTTTCATGTGTCTTATATGCTTTCATCGTAAGCAAAACTTTTCTGTCTATCAAACCAAAAACAGATTTATATAAGGCACACGTTTTGATTGTGATTAATCTAGGAGGGCTTTTTAACATTTGACATCTTGAAGGAAAAAAGTGGCAATCCCAAAGATATAGGCCCCTATATTGTCTTACTTGGATGCGTATCTCTTTAAGAAAAAGTTCAAAAGTGAAACTATGGTTTTTCATTTTAATAAAAAATTCTCCTCTGCCTATTGTGGTTGCTGATATTTTTATTTCTTCTAATGACAAAGTTGTGGGTGATTTTGAAAATGAGCCCCTAAATCACTCTTTTAAAATTATTGAGAGACAGGGCACTAGAGGAATATTGGAAATTGCCTTAAATCAAATAACACCCCGGTGTGTTATTGCTGGGGTGGGGGGTTATTTTATTATTTTATTATTTTTATTTCTTTTATATGCTGTTTTTATATCCTTGTATGCCGCCTTGAGTCCCATGTAGGCATGGGACTCGAGTAGGCAGCAATATAAAATTTCTAAATAAATAAAACTACTTCTGAGTTCACAGCACACTAAATCAGTATGTTGTTGTTAGTCTCGAAGTTGTGTCCAACCCATTGTGACCCTATGGACAACTTTCCTCCAGGCCTTCCTGTCCTCTACCATCCCCCGGAGACCATTTAAGCTCACACCGACTGCTTCAGTGTGAGCCAGCCACCTCATTTTCTGCCGTCCCCTTCTTATTTTGCCCTCAATCATTCCCAGCATTAGGCTCTTCTCCAGTCGTTCCTTCTCATTAGGTGGCCAAGGTATTTGAGTTTCATCTGCAGAAACTGGCCTTCTAAAAAGCAGTCAGGGTTGATCTCCTATTGGACTGACCGGTTTGATCGCCTTGAAGTCCAAGAGACTTGCAGGAGTCTTCTCCAGCACCATAGTTCAAAGGCCTCAATTCTTTGGCGCTCAGCCAAACAGTATAGTGTTGGGTAAACCTACCGTAGTTATCATAGCTTATTCAAAAGTCACTGGTTGCCTATTCTATTTTAGTAGTCAATTGGATTTGAGTGTTTCAGGTGGAGATGCTCCTTCTTATATCTGCTGGAGTTGCTCCAGCAAATTGGAGCAAAAGTGTTTCCAGAAAGGTAAGCTCAAATGCTGAAGAAGTGTACCCCCCACCGGTGGTGGGATTCAAGTAATTTAACAACCGGTTCTCTGCCCTAATGATTTCTTCCAACAACTAGTTTGCCAAACTGCTCAGAAAATTAACAACCAGTTCTCCTGAAGTGGTGCGAACTGGCTGAACCCCACCACTGCCCCCCACCCCTTGCAAGGGTTTGCCATGATGAATCCAGACATACTGCAAATCCCCCTGAGGGGAGAAAAGACAGACACATCTAAACATATGCTGAGCTGCTGCAGAATGTCTTTAAAAAGACCTGGCTGATTCATGCCCATCCTTCACAGAGCACAAAGCTTTTGTGTATTTGAGTCTTAGTACAAAAAGTAAAAAATAAATAAAAGTAAAAAAATAATTTAAAAAAAATCAACCACCATTAAGCCGTCTGTCCAAGCACAAGAAAGAAGCAAGACCAGAAAATGCTTAATGAGCAAGTTTAAAGTTTAGTGATTTTATTCCTGAGGAATGGGTGAGAAGTGCATTAGGGATGTTAACTAAAGCTACCAATATTTCTTAAAAATTGGATAACAATTGGTACAAGAAATTCAAGAGACTTTTGAGAAACGCAATTGCTTTTATTGAGCTGTTACCTCTATCAGTCATTTCTGCTAGCATTTGGACAGTTTCCTCCCATATGGTCTAGCGGTTAGGATTCCTGGTTTTCACCCAGGCGGCCCGGGTTCGACTCCCGGTATGGGAAGAATGACTTTTTTTAAAAAAATAAAAAATAAATTCTAAATTATTCACTGTGCAGACCCGAGCATTAGCAAAACAACTAAAGCAACCCCTTTGCTTTTTGTTATCGGATCGAGAACCAATGGGAAGACATTAGGGACTCTAAGAAGTGAACCATAGAAAAAACTTGTTGCCGACACTTTTCGTTTAAAAAGAGATGTTTAGAGAGAGGCCACATTTCGGCATTTCGGCCTCTTTATAGTTAACTTACTCTCCTCTGTGTGTAGATAGGACATGAAAAAGAAAATGTTTTGGGTTTTTTTTGCAAATGGCTGAGCGTCCAAAGGCTACTCTGGGACCAGACCTGCACTTGCTGAGACCTTGAAAGGCGCATTTCCTCGGCCTGTCAGGAGGGGTCGCTACGCCTTTAGAACTGCTTTGAAAAAGTACCGCGATGCGGGGAGGGGGAACGGACAAGGAAGAGCAGAGAAGGTTGCCTCTGCTACACTTGATCTCGGTGAGGTTGCGAGCAGGAACGGGGGGCCTTTATTAAAAGCAACCTAGCCTAAAAGAGAATTAATTGAGTTAACTAAAATTGTGCTTGTAGCCATCTTACCTTGATATGAGAAACATTTATCTGATATTCCATCCCCAGGCCTTTGGATGCTTGAATTAAAATATATGATTGGTACCAAGTGGTCCATGCTGTGATTTTTAAAAGTGTAAACGTAAAACTGCTTCTGTGCATGCCTGTGTTCAGATATATGTGCTTGATCTCCTTGCTCATTTCATCAAAATAATAAAAGTTATAATTACCATAAAAAGATAAAATAAAAGCAACCTAGCCTGGGGTGGCTCAAGAAGATCGCAGTGGCCACATTTTTTTTTTTAACAGTTCGCATGCCTGTTCTTATGTAAAGTTGTAATGTGAGCTCAAATCTGTCTTGCAAATAAACTAATAATAATAATGCAATAATGCAAAATAATGCAAAAACAGGCGGTGACGAGGATCCCCCTAGTTTTTGGAGACTCAATAAGAGGCAACGGTTGGAGGGAAATTGCATTTGGATCCACATATGGATTCTCATCCTTAGAGCACTGGCTGAATTATTAGAAAGGACCAAGTTGGGACCAGTATCTCTTCTCCGACCTTTTGAGTCACTTTTCCCCCGGCTTTCAGGCAAAGCGAGAAGGCTTCCACTGTCCGGTTAGCACTGGCCCAAGAGAAGGCCGGCCTGCACCTCCCTTCCTAAATCCAAAACTTGTCCAAAGTGATCAAGAGCATCGGTCGGCAGCACAGTTTACACGCAGGGTAGTCCAAAGAGGCCTCTTGTTCAAGGCGAACTTTGTCAAATTTAAGAGCCGATCTGTGGATTTGACATGCCCCAGAGTGAACTGGAATCTCTCTACTTTCCTGGAGAAGTTGCCTAGAGCAAGGGTCTCCAACCTTGGCAACTTTAAGCTTGGTGGTCTTCAACTCCCAGAATTCCCCAGCCAGAAGAGCTGGCTGGGGAATTCTGGGAGTTGAAGTCCGCCAGGCTTAAAGTTGCCAAGGTTGGAGACCCCTGGCTTAGAGTCTGTATCCCTGGATATCATATTACATTCATTCATTCTTGCAAATCTGGTAGTGGCAGAATTTAACCCGCAACATCAGATTGAACTTCTGGTGGCTGACTTGATTTTTAAGCACTCTCCCATATGGTCTAGCGGTTAGGATTCCTGGTTTTCACCCAGGCGGCCCGGGTTCGACTCCCGGTATGGGAAAGTTGGAATTTTATAGTGCCATTCTCTCCCGTTGCATTCTGTTCAATTCTGCTAATTCATGAAAATCCCATTCTTGAGGCTTTTTGCCTTTGCAAAAAATACTAAATACGAACTTTTACGCAGACTTGCTACTTCCCATTTTATATTTTATAAGTTACAGCAGACGCGTTTTATGAAGCCCTGTAAGAAATCAGCGATCTGGATATTTCTCGGAAACTGATACAAATCACCTCCATATTCCTTTTGCCCAGTTAATGCATCCAATTCTGTGTTTGTCCTCTTTTAAGAATCTTGCGTATATTGAAAGATAACACTTTAGAAGCCTTGCTCTTTGTAATCAAGTAAGTTTGAAATTTCAGTGGGCTTTAATGGTTTTAATTAGGAAGAGTATTTGTAAAGGAAGAAACCCATTTTTAAATTTAAAAAAATGCTTTTCCCATACCGGGAGTCGAACCCGGGCCGCCTGGGTGAAAACCAGGAATCCTAACCGCTAGACCATATGGGAGAAGATGTAATTTCATTTCTTGTGATCTAAGTTGATATTATAGCGTTTAGTCCATTCTCATTTTCAATCATATATCTTATTTTCGATTTTAAAACGACAGAGGAAAAATATACAGTACTGTACTGTATTTTGAAATTAAGGGGGGGGATGCAAGATAATTTCTAAAAATCAAAATGAAGCACACACACAAAAAAATCTTTCTTCCCATACCGGGAGTCGAACCCGGGCCGCCTGGGTGAAAACCAGGAATCCTAACCGCTAGACCATATGGGAAGGGCTTGTAAAATGGTTCCAGGAAATGGTGGTCCAATCTAAGCCATAACTATCTTCTCTGCCCCTACAGGTACGTTTAGGAATTGCAGCAGTCGTCCTTCAAAATCCAACCGGCTTCACATAAACTTTTTGTAAATCCTGATGGTTTTCCGTAGAAAAGTGGGAGGCTGACGTTTTAAACGCCACTATGCACATATTTGAAAACTGAAACTCCAAGCCCAATTAAAATGTGCAAAATAAAATAGGGATTTAAAAAAAAAAATAATAATCGGGGAACCTGCGTCACATGTCTTTTCCTTGTCAGTTTCACTCCCGCTTCACCAATTCTTTTCGAATTAAAAAAAAAAAAATCACTTAGTTTCATTGTTATGCAGCATTTCTCAACGACTTTCTCAGCAACTTTTAAAACGCGTGGACTTCTACTCCCGGCTTTCCACAGCCAACGTGCTTTGCTGGGGATTCCTGGGAGTGGGATGTCTATAAGCATCTTTAAAGTTTGTGGGGGCTTGAGAAGAATTACAGCCCTAGTGGAAATTGAACGGGTCTCCCAAAGGATCCCGAAGGGCTGCCTCTATTGCCAGTCCTGGAGTGTGAGGACAATGGCTTCGGTTGATTCGTGCCGATTCCTTCAAACCAGACGAGGGAGATTCATGAAGAAGACTTGGGAGTTGTGTCTAACTTTTCCCAGACACAAGCATAAGCAACCTACGCAGGTGCGTTTAAACCCGCCTCGTTCAATTGTGCACCTGCATCGAGACATACACGTGCGCACAGGACGACACGCATCGCTTTCCTCCTAAAAACGGGGTTATATCCACGCACAGAAATCATACACGCGGTTTCTGCGGGCAGATCCCAGACCTGTGCCTGAGATTAAACGTCCTGATCTTTCGCAAATTTATTAGCTTCTGCACGAGAGGCAAAAAGATGATCCTCCCCTCTGGCACCCCAGCAGCTGGCAAAACGATGGAGGCTTCCCTTCTCTTGTCGAAGGCTACAAAAACAAAGGGCAGAGCTCTTTAAGGGTCACCATGGCAACAATGAAAGAAAGGCTTCTAGAATCAGCCGGAAGTTATCTGCACCGGATTTTCTCCCCCCCCCCCCCGCACGCATTGCCCAATCCAAGCAATCGAGGATGCTCGGCTTCTGGCAGGAAGTGATCCCAATTTGATGGGCAGGTGCCAAAGCTTATCGGAGCGGGAGGCGGGGTTTTAAGGGGCAGCTGGGTCCCGATGCTGCTGCTAGGGCTCTTGGGTGAGGGTATAATGAAGGGGCTGGGAGAGTAGAATGGAAATAAAGGTGATGGAGCAACGGAGAGGGAGAAGGGAGGGCAGAAATATTTGGGAGGGCCTCAAGGGAATGGGGACGGGGAAGAAGTATGGCCAGGGATGCTATGGGGCAATGGTTTTTGTGGGGGTTGATGAGTTGATAGATATGAACCATGCTTGGATAGCAAGGAAGGGAGACCAAGGAATGGCTATAGATAAGCACATATTCCTTGGATTCCACTTACAAATCTTTAAGAGATTGTGTATTGCCCCCTTTTGGGAAGTCAGCCATGGGGTGGCACTGCTTATCTGTACCATATTAGGAATCTAGGGGAAGCAGAAAAAACTCTCCGCAACCCCTTGCTGGGAGGTTTCAAGCAGTATCATACATTGTTTGAGTGGGTATAAACCAATGTTTATAGTTCAAATCAATACAACCAGGGAGCAAGCTATGAAATTTTAGAGGGACAAGGAATGATAGGATGGTAGGGGTTAGAGGAATTTAAAGAAGAGACTGGGAAAACAGTTGAACTGAAGAGAGATAGAGATTTTTTGGGGGGGAGGAAGGGGTAGGATGTCAAGCATGGCTCTTGTGGACAAGTATGCAGGATGGTTTGGGAAGTAGGAGCTGAAGTGGGAGAAATGGCAGATCACCAGGTGAGAAAGAGAACAGAAGGATCCAGAGATTCATCCCTCTGTATCCCTTACCCCCTCTGCTTTCTCACAGAGACAGTGGGGACGATGGGGCTGGTGGCTTGCAGAGGGGACTGAGTCTCTGCCTGTGAAGAGGCTTCAACTGTATGCCCCCCTCCTCCCCCATCATGGAGCCCTTGAAGGAGCGGGCTGGGTGGTGCGCAGGCTACCTGGGGGAGGAGGCTGTGGCTGAAATGAGACCTTTGCTACAAGAGAACGCTGGCCAGGTGAGTATCAGGAGGGCCACTTATTGGGTCTCTCTTCTTATTACTGTCTTCCGCATCTTTCTTTTGTTTGCAGTCATCATGACCCAAACTCTGTTCAATAAGGCCAATTACATTTGTCTAAGAATGTGAAAATGGTTTTGCTGGGCTGAGGTTTCAAGAAAAGTCACTAATTTTTCTGTCTGTCTTGTGGAATCACTTCAGCATCAGTTCCATTGTTCTGCTGGTCTTCCAACAGTAACATTACAAATGCCATATCCAGCAGATCAGATGAAAAGCTAATATGTCTACAGCAGTGGACTGCAAGCTCATAAATAGAGCCTGTCGGTGATTCTCGGTGCTCTGAATCTAGTGGCTGGTTGACAGGGTAGTCCTGCAGGCCAAATCTAAATCAACTGTTCTTGGTCGTGTTTCTTGGTCGTGAAGGAGGAAGTTCTTTATCTTATTTCTGGGCCTATCCTTTATCCCTTGCATTAAGAGGGAAGGGACCTTGAACCTCTCTATTAATCTATCAGCAGAGTACTCCACTATATAGCATAAAAGGGAAATGTTATTCCTGGTTTTCCTTCACTCCTCCTATCTCTTTGCAGATTCCCTCTCTTTCTATAGAATTCCATTGGGCAGTATATGCATCTTCTTTTTCAGGATGGTATTGAAATGAAGGTTGAGCCCACAGGTTGGGGATCAGACGATCCAGAGTTAGAGGAGGAAGACACTGGTCCAGATCCTGTGCGGGTCTTGATGTTGCCACTTCAGGCCCAGCATGCCATGGAGAAGATGGAAGAATTTGTTTTGAAGGCAAGTTACACCAATTAAATTAAGCCTCCTTGGGTGCCACACTCTTTGTAACTTCATTCTTCTACAACTGTTGTCCAACAGTCAACTCTTGAATGAGCCCTATTGATTCTGAGGCAAGCCAATATGTCACAGCAGTACTCCAGGAAGCATCATTATGACTTCAGCTGCTGACCAACATCCTTCTTCTTCTCAGCTTTACCAAGCTGGGAAAAACAGTCCCCTTTGCCAAGTGATTGGGAGTAGGAGAGCCATAAGATTTTCATCCTTTCCCCCGGGGAAGAAAGCCTCCTCTCTGCCATGACAACCCGTTCTGAGCCAGCTTCTGTACGGGTTCATAGAGGGGCAAGGCCATCTGGCCACATTACCCAGAACCAGGAAGACCAGGAGAAGCAAAATTGGAAATGCTGTGGGCTCACTCTTCTGACATGCAACTCAGTCACCCAGCTGAGTTCCCTTCAGGTCCACATCTGAGGGAGGCCATGGGAAGGAGACATAAGGCAGCACAAAGAGAAAAAGACTGCACTTCCAAAGATCTGGAGGTGAACTATTGCCAGATAAAGGCAAGTGAGAACAGTCTTCTCCTGGATCAATATTGTCCTCTGTTTTTGTAAGCTATGTCCAGTCTACTTTTGAATTTGACTAAACTCTAGCATGTAAAGTATCTTATCTGGGACTCCCAGAAAGTTATTCCAAAGTTGTATGTATGTATGTATGCATGTATGTATATATGTATGTACATATGTACGTACGTATGTACAAACGGTATGTATGTATGTGTGTATTACTATATAAGAGCCCCCTTCTCAAATAAGATCATTACATCTAGGGTCTAGAGTTCCTCACTGCATCGAAGACTTGGCAATTAATAGACAGTTTCCAATTACCTCTATTGAATGTGGTACAGTAGAATTAGAACTTGAGATACTGCCATAATCCTATATCCATTTACCTGAATATAAGCTTCATTAAATTCCCTTTGACATCTAAGTAAAAATGCATCAAATAACACAATGTGTCTCAAATGTTGGATATAAAGATTAGATTAAAATCTCCACTTAACCAAGACATTCCCAGAACCTCTGTAAGGCCAGAGTTAGCAATATATTCCCTGCAGATACCAACAGCACTATTAGACTGCCAAAATTGAATACTTGTTGTTGCTGTTGTTTAAACAGCTGCAATTTCTCAAGAAAATTACATCTCAAAATAACTCCATGTTCTGGCATGAAATACTACTGTTAATAATAACGATAACAATAATAATGTACCAATAGTAATAGGAGCCCTTGGAGCAATACCCAAACGGATGTTTAGATAAATAGAAATGTTGAACTTATTAGACTTGAATATCACGACTTTGCAAAAAACCACCCTACTCGGAACTGTCTATATACCCAGACACTACCTTAACAGCTCTTAGGTCCTTGGTTAGGACTTGAACTGTTAAGTTTTTACCAGTCCCAGACTGTGAATCAAAATGAAGATTAACAACAACAATAATAAAAATGCACTGGTACATCATGAATCCTAGGTTCTTGGAAAGAACTTGTTGCATATGAAAGCTAAAAAAGTCAACAGCTATGATTTCACACTGTTGTGTATGTAATAATATAATTCTTATTATTTCCATGCCTCTAAATGATGCAGTGGTGCCCATGGCCTGGAAAGATGGCTTGTTCCTGAAATAAGGCTTTTTGGTCAGTACACCACTCCAACTCATTTGATTTTATTGCCATTTTTTTGCAAACAACTCTTTCTACCTCTCTATCCCACTCTGTAATGGTCTGTGAGACTGTTTTGAGAAACAGGAGGAGGAGCCACAGATGAGGCGACAGTTAAATAAGAAACAGGTGAGTCCACGGAAGGAATTGGAGCTTCTTGTCTGGACAACCCAGTGGTGAAATCCATTTTTTTTTTACTACTGGTTCTATGGGCTTGGCTTGGTGGGTGTGGCTTGGTGGACATGGCAGGGGAAGGATACTACAAAATCTCCATTCCTACCCCACTCCAGGGGAAGGATACTGCAAAATCCCCATTCCCTCCCCACTCCTGGGGGAAGGATATTGCAAAATCCCCATTCCCACCCTACTCAGGGGCCAGCCAGAGGTGGTATTTGCCAGTTCTCCGAACTACTCAAAATTTCCACTACCGGTTCTCCAGAACCTGTCAGAATCTGCTGGATTTCACCCCTTGGACTACCTCTAATTTGCCCGGACTGCGGCTCCTCCTCCTGCTTGCTGTCACTCCAGGACATTCTCACTTTGCCTTTTCAAAAAGTTTATATGGTCAGACTTGCCACATTTTTATGACAGAAGCTGTTTGATTTTAACAGTAAGAAATTACAATACGTGTTTTTTTTTCCCCCATTGCGGGAATGCTTGTTTTCAACCAAACATTCAATCAAGATGGAAAGAAAACACTGTTGGAAGCAGGGCTAGCTCTGCTCACTTGCATATCGTCTGCAGCTAACAAATGAACAAGCAAAGCAGAAGGGATTGTGAACCCAGTGCATTGTTAAAGAAGAACCTGAAAGTGATTGATGACTCCTGCTGTGGTATAATCATGATCTTTAAAAAAACATTTTTTTTTAAATTACACCTTGTCCTTCTTCAAGATGCTCAAGTCAATAGAGGTAGCATTCTTTGTATCTTGCCCATTTTATCCTCATGGCAAGTCTGTGAGGTGGACTAGACTTGTTTATAACAAGAGGTTCTAACTGGAGATTGCATTAGGAACTTCCCAATGCAAAAAATAATAATCAGTTTCTTTAAAATTAATTATAGCTGGAAGATACCCTACTGCCCGTTTTCAAAATACAGGATCAAGGCAAGGGAATACATCTCCATACTAAATACATATGCCCATGTAATTCGTTTGGTTTGATTTACCTTAGGGATGTTCAACGTTTTTTTCAGGATGAGGTCCACACTTCAGCTCTGGGTGGCCTAGGGTGGCTGTGCATCAGGAAAAAAAGAGAGAGAAAAAAAAACTGTATAAATTGATGACCAGATCAGGGCTCTGTTCTGAAAAGATGTAATTTGTGTGTTGGAAAAAATAAAAATAAAAAAACTTTTTGCAAAAAAAAGAAAAAAGGAAAAAAAAAGAGACAGGTCCAGACAGTGCATTTAAACTAGAACAGATTTATTTTAAATGACATTAAATTCAATGCGTCCTTTGAATATAATTTGTTCTTTGGTGGATTCTATTACTCGCCTCCACTTTGGCACGAAAAATAGCAATTTGCTTGGAACGTTTGGAGGGCCCCATCTAAATCTTGTTGGTGGGAGGAGTTAAGCTTTGCCCTAACTTTAAAGCACTTTGGAACCTTGAATTTATTTTTATTTTTTTGGTCTTTTAATGACCCTATAATCCCTTGCATCAGGGTGGAGTTGGAGCAACTGAATGGAGCTGAGTGTTTACTGGCCGGATGCCCTTCCTGTCGCCAATGTAGAGTTCACAGCAGAAATGTTCTCATTGTGCCCAGAGTGAGAAATATCTGCCACTACCTAGGATTGAACTCACAGCCTCCTGATTGTGAGGCGAGAGCTCCACCTCCACCCCTAGGCTTATAGGGAATGAAGGCAAAAAAAAAAAACCTCTACTTTGAAACTTGATGATGTGAACACTAGAAAAATTCTTTCTGAAAATACTAGAAATTCTTCTCTCCTGGGTTGGGTTTTTTTTTTTTTCTTCTCCAAGAAGCATACCATATCCCCAAGTATACAAACGCACTCACTGTTCTGATGTTCTCAGCTCGCAGAAGGAAGGGTAGGCGAGCTCTTTCCATGACTCTTCTAGCCTCTCTTCTGCTGTTGCAGGTTTGGGAGGGCCGTTGGCGTGTTATGCCCTATGATGTGCTGCCTGACTGGCTGAAAGACAACGATTTTCTCCTGCATGGACATCGGCCACCCATGCCTTCCTTCCGCGCCTGTTTCCGCAGTATCTTCCGGCTCCACACCGAGACTGGCAACATCTGGACTCATCTGCTTGGTCAGTCACAGGGCAGAGGAGGAACACAGAGGGTGGGAAATAAATTGCACTCACTCCACTGCATCAAACTCTTTGGTTTCCACAATATAAATGCTTTTTCACCCTTTTTTTTTTACAGAACAGCATAAAACTTGGCTAAAAGTGATGATTCTCCACCAGTGATGTTTAATGACAGCTGACATTACATCCTTGGCAATATGAAAGAAAATTTAACCCTGTTCTAAGCCAAATGTCCTCCTCTACCTTCCCTTCATAGTAATCACCAGGGAGTGAAAGGAGGTCAGGATATAATCAAACTCTCTCTGTGCTTAAAAGATGGAGGAAGAAGGCATTGGTCCTAGAAAAAATGTCCTCTTCTCTCCAGCCTTGTTCTTTCACTCACCAGAAGCCAAAAGCAATTCGCCTTTCCATTGCTATAAAAGTAAGAAGGGTAGAGAAAGAAGTTTGTTTTCACACAAAGGAAGTACTCCTCTCTCACGACTTTCTATTTGTATGTAATAAATTGATTCTACTGCCCCACAAAACTTTTTGGTCCATGGATTGTATCATTATTGTGCAACTAGATGGAACTAGGGATCCAGAATCTAGTTGACACAATTTTGCATTAAGAAACCATGTCTGCAAAATAAAAAAAGCATTTAAAAAAACTATTTGAATTCTACATTGAGGAGACATACATTTTTGTAACTACCCCAGTGATGACAATGTCAGGGACTTCAACATTTACTTTTGGATGCCTTTTCACATAATCACATCTGCCCAGTTTCTTGGAGACAATGTACTCTTAGATCTTAAAATCCTCTTTCACTATGAGATGTCCAGCACCAAACCTGATCCGACACTGACTGATACCAGAAAGTTTCTCCAACTAGCAGGAGTAAGGCAATTCGATCAGCCATGATTCATCTCTTGTAATACATACATTTGAGGATTTGTGTGTAAGAGAAGGATCTATAGTTTGAAAGATCACTGTGGTCCCAAATCTGGTTTACTGGTAACATGATAAATGTAGGACTAACTCAGTTGCTGCTTCTTGAACTTTAAGGCAGCAGGCTAGGCCAGCTTTGGTCAAGTTTTTGGCCTTCCCCTCTCCTGGCTAACTGAACAATGCTTGCTCCGTCTCTAATAATGTTATTGAAGTTTTTAATAAACATAGTAAAAACTAATACAAGCTAAACTAGAAGAGAAAAAAGGTTCAGAAGGTGCAAAAAAAGAAAAGAAAAAACACTAATAAATTAGTGGCTTCCAAGCTTCATTATACCAAGCATAAGCAAATAAAATAACTTTTCATCCTCTTTTAAAGTTGCAAAATAACCCCACACCTCTTCTCTCCATAGTCTTTTATCTATGCACAATCCAGAAATCATCATATTTTCAAATCTAGTTCAGCAAAAAGTCCACTGTGAGAAATATCAAACAAATAGTTTATCCCTGGTCAAATAATCCAACTTTACATTCTTTCTTTTCATTATATACAATCTTGATCTTTAAATCATTCCTATGCAAAATCACAGGATTCAATCTTTCATCATTCTTTGGCATTTAAAAGTCTTCAAAGCTTTCACCAACCTACTTTGTAAAAATACTGCTGTATTTTTCAAATTTATTTTAAATTCTTAAGTCTCTTGCTTAAAGTTTGTTAAATCTGAAGAAGAAAGTAAAACTCGTCAGGTGTCAAATTAAACTGCCATTTTGAATGTCTTTAACATCCATAAAGTAATTAAATTGAACATTTCCTTTGTGACCTTATGAAAGGCTTCACTGCTGCTCAGAACAAAGATGTTGTCTTGCTTGGCTCCTGGCATTCAAACCAGCTGGAGGCTGCTTTTCTTGTTTCTCATGAGGAGTTGCCGTACAGAGCACTCATAGGCAATCTCCAATTCTCCCCTTCTCTGGAGAGACTCGAACAATCAATCTGCTCACTGGTCTTTTGTCTTCATAGCAGTTGTCTCCACTCATTCGCAGAGACATCTTCAGTCAACCATGACTCACACCAGAAGCCACTTGTACTTCTTCCGTCTCCCATTTCACACATTGATTCTCCCAACTTGAGAAAGGCCTATGAAGTTCCTGAAATGGAGTCTCTTCAGGGGTAGATTCAGAAAGGATTCCTACAGTCAGTCCCTGCTAAACCAGATGTATGTTTTCCGTTTCCAAACATGCCCCAGTATTTGAATACATGCAGAAACATTTATATATTAGTAACTTTCTTCCCTCTCCTCAGGGTTCCTCTTCTTCCTGGTTTTGGGCATTGGATACATGTTCAGTCCCAACATGAAATATGTGGCCCCCATCCAGGAGCGTGTGGTCTTTGGCATATTTTTCCTCGGAGCCATTCTCTGTCTCTGTTTCTCCTGGCTATTTCACACAGTCTATTGCCACTCTGAGAAAGTTTCTCGCACCTTCTCCAAGTAAGTTGATTTCCCCTCCTCTCTCCATCCTCCCGCAAACTTCTGAGGCACGTGACCAGCAGGCAAGAATTAAGAAGCAAGATGTATTCTCTCATAATAAAATGTAAGGACTTATGCTTAGAGTATCTGAGGCAAATTTCTTCTTTGGCTGATAACTGGATAGCCTTTCTTATTGTAAAAGAAAATCCCCATCAAGCCAAAGTAGATGACCAATCAAGTATTGGAATCTGTGAGGAGTTTGCCAGTCTCCCCGCCCCCCCAAACTTTTTCTTGTTCTGTGCTACACAAGCAACCAGCGATGGAGGTGCATCAAGACTCTGGTATGCCACTGTCTGGGCTGGCCTGTAGCACCATGCAGCATCTGGAAACAACCCAGGGCCCTGATAGGACCTCACAGCTGATGCTTCACCATTTGAAACTTAATAAAAATGCTGTGCTCCAATTGAAGTATCTTGGAGTCATCTGATTCCTTTTTATAACAATACCTCTGAAATGGTGTTCTTTAGAGCACTATAAATCAGTGTTTCTCAACCTCCTCAATATTAAGATTATGGACTTCCACTCCCAAAATTCTCCTACGTACCTTAACGTTGCTGAGGTTGAGAAACACTGCTATAAATGGTTTAGACAGCCCTTTTCCTCAAGACTTCTTGAGCCAATAAGGGGTGAGCTGCATTTAGTCTAGTGCAGGGGTAGGCAAACTTGGCTCTTTTATACCTTGTGGACTTCAACTCCCAGAATTCCTGAGTCAGCCAAGCTGTCTTAGGAATTCTGGGAGCTGAAGTCCACAGGGTGTAAAAGAGCCAAGTTTGCCTACCCCTGGTCTAGTGCATCTTTTCACCTCCTGAGCACTTCCCGATTCCGTTGAGATGACAATTCCCAGGCAGTCAAGTCAAAGGTTGTGCTGGGTGAGAATTTGAAGGCTGACCTAGTGGACCACAAGAAGTGCAGGCCTGAGAAGGAGCCCTGGCTATACCTTGTCTCTGGTTAGTGCTACAGAAGCCTGTAAAATCTGTGGGCAGGGATTATAGTGGGATACCTATGGAGAATGCCTCCATTTTAGAAGGAGGTGACAACATCAATTACTAGTTCATAAAAGAGTGTTTCATTGTTCTTCTTACAGTCAAGCCACCATAATGTGACAAAAAATGTGATTCTTCCTTGTAGAAACTGGCATGTAGGTACAATCGTTGCTATCCATGATGTCTGCATACATGCTTCCCATAACATGGATCATCTTGGCAGTATAATGAAAGCTAGAGGTTCTGCACAATATCTTGCCCACACTGGCTATAGAGATCTATACTTTAGTAAAATAGTTTAAAGTTCCTGTAATTGAAACTTTATACACCAAGCCCTGCCCTATGCATGATGTCCACTGATCTCCCAACCTTGCTTTCTGTGGTACCTTCTGTACAGATTGGATTACTCTGGAATTGCCCTGCTCACCATGGGCAGTTTTGTTCCGTGGTTGTATTACTCGTTCTACTGCTCACCACAACCCCAGCTCATCTACCTCATCATCATCTGTGTGCTGGGTATAACTGCCATCACGGTGTCACAGTGGGATCATTTTGCCACACCACAGTATCGAGCAGTGCGGGCAGGTAACTATTCTTGATTTGACTGCATCCTCACACTGCTACATTATGTGGAGAAACCTATTAAAGACAGGGAATACTGTTAGTTGCTTTCCAGTCTTTGGGTTACATTTCCTTTCCCTGGTCTTTCCACTCCTCTCTTCCCACAACCGTTTCTGTTTTTGGCCACACAGTTCTCACTAGTTTTTGGAGTCCTCTATTTATATGTTTCTGGAAATCTCAGGGGTGCCAAGATTCCAAGACCTTTCTTGTATTTTTCAATTGTACCAATTTTGGTACACAAAAAACACTCATTACCTGATCATTGGAAACTGAAGTAATTATATAATATATAGAGGAACTTGCCTAGCACAATGCAGCCTTCCTAAACCTAACATTGTCCAAATGTGAGGAAAGTCCAACATGAAAAAGTAGTAATCCCAACACATCTGGAGGGAACCAGGTTGGGAACAACTGGCGTACTGAGTTAATATCAAAGATGTAGGAACAAACAGTAAGTAGCATAATATGATAGCGATTGCCAACAACATCAGTTCAATATGAAAATATGTGTGTGCTTTTGTTGTCTAACTTTGCAACAGCTGCTCCTTCATTAGCAACATTAAGACTCCAGTTTGGGGGGTTAAGGTTTTATTAATTGGATTGATGTTCAAGCCACAGAACTGTCCGTCCAAGTTACATTCTCTCTTTCTTTTTGGGGTAGGTGTATTTCTGGGCCTAGGGCTGAGTGGACTAGTGCCCACCCTTCATTTCATGATCACTGAAGGTTTTATCAAGGCGACGACAGTGGGACAGATTGGTTGGCTCTTCCTCATGGCAGTCCTCTACATCTTGGGAGTAGGCTTGTATGCTGCCCGCATTCCTGAACGTTTCTTCCCGGGCAAGTGTGACATCTGGGTATGTCTTTGGCAAGAAAATATGGAAGAGGGATGGAAGTATTTAAACTGAGAGTCTTCATATGAGTTCCACATTATCTTTTCTCTTGATAAAAGCCATAGCTTCATTCTGTGATAAATTTGACATTTCATTTTGTAACGTCCAAAATATCAGGGGGCAGATTACTTTGCCTTGGCAAACTGTGAGGGCCCATACCAAATCAGACAAGGTAGGCAACCTTTTTTCAAACAAGAGAAATGGTGACATGGCAAACATTCCCAGAATAGGCAGAGTGACATTTTTGCTCCTCCCATTTTTTTTTTTTAGGAAAGAGAGAATATAAGGAAGCTTAAGGATAGCCTACCCAGAGGATGTGACACGTGCAATCCATGAAAGCCAGATTTAAAAAAAACACAAGTCAAATATATATATAAAATTATGCACATTATTAATGTATTTAATCAATGTGTGTTTGCATGCAAGCAGTATAAAATTAATGAAAAACACAGAGTAAGTGCTGTGAAACACTTAGATGACAGATTTATATGATCTGAAGAGAAACCAAGGTATGAGTACACTTAATGCATGGCTTGGCTGGGGATCTTAAGTCACAATTCTTTATTGGCCAAGTGTGATTGGACACACAAGGAATTTATCTTTGGTGCATATGCTCTCAGTGTACATAAAAAGACAAGATACATTCGTTAAGAATCATAAGGTACAACACTTAATGATAGTCATAGGGTAGAAATAAGCAATCAAATCATACTAGGAAATAATATAAATCATTAAGGATACAGCAACAAATTACAGTCATGCAGTCATAAGTGGGAGGAGATAGGAACTATGAGAAGACTAATAGTAATAGTAATGCAGACTTAGTGAATAATTTGACAGTGTTGAGGGAATTATTTGTTTAGCAGAGTGATGACATTCGGGAAAAGCTGTTCTTGTGTCTAGTTGACATATCCTGCAAAAGCCCCAGCTACTTTGTTTTTTGTTTAATTTGTGAATGTCAAGAACAAAAAGAAATCTCATAATGTGGTGATGGTCATCAATGCTTAACGCATTGTAAGCCGCCCTGAGTCTCCGGAGAAGGGCGGCATATAAATCAAATTAAAAAAAAAAAAATGAGGCAGGTTGGGCTCCAATGCCTCTCTTCTCCTTTCTTTCCAGTTCCATTCTCACCAGATCTTCCACGTCTTGGTGGTCGCAGCTGCTTGTGTCCATCTTCACGGGGTCTCCCAGCTGCAGGCATTCCGCTCATCGCTGGGTGGCAGCTGCACGGAGAACACTGTGCTCTGATACCTTTTGAGGCCCCAGGGACACCTCTGCTGAATGAGGGCAGCCCACCTGTCACCCTGCGCACTTCTGGATATGGACCACGAGGGGCAAGGCTTCTCTTAAAGGGCACTGCACCAAGTCTCTGTTTGAAAAACAATCTTTGTGTCCCAGGTCTTCTTTGCAGTTGGGGGATGGCTCTCCTTTCCTCCACTAGGGCAACCCACACTTGAGCCTGTGTATGATATGTGTGAGCATGTGGATTACACGTGTGTGTGAATTGCCAGCAACGGGTGTACGGCTAAAGAGATGGGCGATAATAAGGTAGGCATTTAATCCCTTCAGACAGCTTAAAATGCAGGTTCATATGGGGATTCATATAGAGCACGATGGATGCATATAGTATCTCCCATAAGCTAAGGAGATACTGTCTTTTTTTAGAAAAATATGAAGTATTCTCAGGTCTGTCCAAGCCGTGCATATTTGTTCAGTTCTATTTGTGAACTGGTGCTCTTTTAAGAGGCGGCTTATTTTCAGACGGGTGCCAAGAAAGCATGTCGTCTACTGAAATACGCGACAAACTATTTTTGTTCCATCAAAAGTAAAAAGTGAGGGAGGAAACCACAAGGTGATTGAGTTGGCTTTGTTGCTGGATTGCTTGTTTCTTTACGGAAATGTAGGTTATAAATCTTAAGAGCTAAGCCTACGGTCCAGACCAACATCGGCATGGATGACTGGCATACATCTATTCCCCCTCTCCCGCCCGAGGTAAAGATGGATGCAGTTATGTGCCAGTAAGTCCCCCCCACTCCACCCTCCGAGATTTGTGGATGTTTAAATGTGTCAACCTTCCTGGGTTTTTAGGGTACAGAAAGGGAAACTTTTCCAATCACAACTGCATAGGGAGAGATCAGGGCTTTGGCTGGAGAAGCCTCCATTTTTTTTATCATCAATTTACTAGTTTGGGAATTACAGTAGCTGTTGGTCAGTTCTCTGTTCTTTAATCCCTGACAAATAGCTTCAAGGGTAGGACATTTCTTAATAATAGATTGTGTGTATGTCTGTGCATGTAGTGAGGGATCAGGTTTCTTCTTCTCCCCAAGAATCTTGATTACAGAAAATGAAAATCATCTGAACTGAACTCTCATTGATCCTTCGTCTTTTGAAGGACTGTTAGTCTATTTGGTGTTTTGCTACAGAACCCTCACCCTTTTTCTGTGGAAGAAGATGTGGTGTGAAGGGAAAAGCCAGTCCAGTGTAACACAAGAGTCTTCTTTCTTTACACATCCCTCCCTGCTACTAGAAGACCAAGAGGCTCCAACTTTCATCGTGGATGGCACAGTGATGCAACTTCTTTGGATGCTGTTGGTAAAACAGCAATACCAGTTTTTGGAGGAAATCTGGAATCTGGATCTGGATCTGAACACTGAAAGTTCCCTGCAATCATATCCATAACCACTGGACTCCAACATCAGCCAAGCCAATTCCCAAAACATTCTAGAACATTCTTCCCTAACCTGATTGCCTTTGGATTCTCAGTCTGCATAGCCAATGTATCTGGAGATGGCACCAGCTACTTAAAAGTTTGAGTAAATGCCCATCCTCTCCTGCAGCAATTTCAGTTCTTTTGGAGTGTTTTAATAACTCTAAAGCACAAAGAATTAAGATGCTGAGGCAGGATGGGGAGGCCGGTTTCTTATTAATTTATTGATAACATCTATTGATCAATCTAAGTCGTGTTTAGTACTGGAGATGGTTCTAGTTCTTTCAGGATACAGTGGAATTTATAAGGAAAAGAAATGGAGGAACAAAAAGAGGTCAGTTATAAAGACAATCATCTGGATTCTTTTCTGAATGGTCTAGTTTGACTGATATGAAAATGTGAGAGGAAAAAAAGACCGGCATCTAAGATATGCCATCTAGTTTGTTCTGAGTACAAAGCTGCAATATTCAATCCAGAAACTGGCCAGCTTTGAAGAAGAGGGGCAACTAGGCATAGATACTTTTGCCTCTAGGCCAGGCCCTTTTGGAGGGGGGGGGAGTGGAAGCACTTTTTATCATGGTACATTATCGAGAAGGTATGTCACTTCTCTAGAAACGATGGGATATGTTGGAAAATAAGCGTGGAGACCATGCTTCCAAAGGAGAGCTAAGGGAGCAAGGTGATCACATAACAAAAGGGTGCATGGCTTTTGACCTACCAACCCAAACCCAGCATATTGGCAGGGTGTGGCAGCTTCCAAAAAGTTTGATACCAATCCATATCTTTGTACAATCCCAAGCAGGCAAGCAGAATGACTTAGTACCTTCAGTGGACTGCTAAGCAACGCTAGTCAACCGGGTTTATATTGGAGACTGGGATAACAAGAAAGAACAAGCTAGATTTAACAGGATATACTGTTGATATGTTTCCCTGAGATGAAACAATCAAGAGGGAGTGTCTTTTAAGATACTTTTTCCCACATCCTTTTTTTTAGAAATTATTCTAAATGATTGATTTTCTGGATCGCTTGCTGGAATACAAATTTCACAGAAAAATAATTTCCCTCAAATTCCTAGGTTCTATTCCCAACCTGGAAAGATGAAGCAACAGCTCCAACTTCCCAGTCCCATTACAATCCCAAAGGGGTTCTGCTACTTGGTGGGTCATAAGAGGCCAATCAAGTATAAATTAAAATTAAGCACCCTGAAAAAAAATAATTTACCACAAACCTCTATACAGGGTTCATGACTCAGCCTTGCATTCCCAACTGTTTGATTCAAAGCAGGCACTTGCACAGCCATTGATACGAATTGCTCTGTACATAGTAAACTGTGAGTCCCTTTGTGATATGCTCTAAACCCATTGCTTCCTCACCGCATACTGTAAAGTGTCTCCACTCTGCACTGTTCCATGGTTCTCTTTTCTCCTGATCTTTGTGGGAAGTGCTAAAGAGCGTCTTTGTTTTTAAGAGTTTGGTTATTTTTCTACTGGCCATTGTGATAAAAAAAATTCTTAAGAGATCAGACATTTTAGGGAAAAGAATAGAAAGAAAAATGTAAAAATATTCAAAGTGTAATATTAATAATTATAAAAATAAAGAAGAACGTTTCCCTAACTCAATGATTGAAGTTTGATTCTTTTGAACTGGAATTACAATTGGTGGCTGAATGAAGCCCCCACCCCCACCCTCCTTTATTAGAGCAGCACATTTCTGTTACTGGATTCTGAATTAAATAATGAAAAACTATTTTCACACATTGGCTGTTTTCATACAACATACTTCACCAAGCTCAGTAAGACATCATGTAGCTGCATCTATACAACATACAAGCTTATTTTTAATCTTGGAGAAGGGCTTTTTTTCAAAATTTTCCTTAGCCAAATTAGTTGATTTCTGGTTTGAGGTACTGTAAAAACCGAGAATATGACTTAATTCAATATATAGTGGTACCCTGGCACTCATCATTAATTGATTCCAGGAGGTGCAATGAGTACCAAAAACTATGAGTAAGAAACAAATTTTTCCCACAAGGAATATTGTAGTGAGCCACAAGGCAGCCTACACCAAGGTTCTAACCTGTGTATCAAGTACCAAACGATAGTACAAATTTTCATGTCAAAATGAGTATCAAATTTGATAAGTTTCAAAGCAGTTGAGTACCAAGGTACCACCAAATAAGTTAAGCGTATCCTAGATACATAGTTATGGGGAGCATTTAGGAAGCGTGTGTATGGCCAGCAATGGAAAGAAAGTGCCAATGTAAACTATGTAATATTTCTGTTAAATTCAATAACTTAATTTATTAATGCAACAGAAGGCCCCGAGATCAAATCTTGAGCAGGTTCTCAGGAGGCAAGAGGTCCTTTGGATAACCTGATCGTGCAAAGTTGAGTGTTTTAAAGTTCAAAGCCAGCACTACATTGAAGCCACAGACAGGTAGCCAGAGTAATTAGAACAGAATTGTTATTGTCTGCCCTGCTTTCTCCATAATGCTCTAAGTGACTTAACTAAGCACTCTATGAATTAATATCACTGCAGGCTAACAGCTACAGTAGAATGAAATAAATGTCACAGCAAGTGGGCTTTGACATCCTTGCACATTATTTCTGATTATGATAAATGCTTCCGCTATCCAGTCATATACAACTCTAGGGGGTAGAGCTCATCACCGTTTCTTAGCCAAGAGAGCCAGTATTGTCTGAAGACATTTCCATCCTCATGTGGCCAGCATGACCAGTGGTGGGTTGCTACCGGTTCGGTCCGGTTCTTGCGAACCAGTAGTAACAGCGGCAGGAGGCTCCACCCACCCGCTCAGACGTCATCACGGACAATCTGCATGTGCATGCGTGCGCACCCGTTGCGAACTGGTAGCGAAGGTAAGTGGAACCCACCCCTGAGCATGACTTATACCCTGAGGTGCACAGAATACTGTTAGCTTCCCACCAAGTTATTCTTGATATTTTAATCAATTCTAGAAGATATTATTCTGTTATTTGGCATTATTTTCTTTTCTAAAGAAATACATTTAAGTCATGTAAGTCATGTTACCAGATATGACTGGCAGAAAGAATTGGATCTACCTGGCCTCAATTTGGAAGTCAGGGTAATAAATCTACTTGAATCAAATAGTGAAGTTTTTCCTGGCTGTGTCATTTATACACTGGAGTTGGGTTGTAAGGTTCAATGTTTCCCGAAAATTAAATTCTCTGACTAGAAAGCACAGAAACTGAACAATCCTTATTAACATATGAACAAAAGAATAGCCATTCCTTTAGGTTCAGAAGGCACATTAGTATATTGGAAAGCATGTCATAGTCACTTACAAAATCTTTACCCTTTTTTTCCAAACAGTGTGGCGTAGTGGGCATCCATCATTTTTATTTTCTACCAAATCAAATGCCACTCTTGTAAATACGAAGGTGGTTTGCTGGTTTACTTATCACCTTTCCACTTAAATTAAGTATTCAAAAATTAAAACGGGTTAAGGCAGGGAGTCTAATGGGCATGAGGGCAAGGACCATGTCAATAGTATGTTCCAGAGGTGGTATTCAGCAGGTTCTGACCAGTTCTGGAGAACCAGTAGTGGAAATTTTGAGTAGTTCGGAGAACCAGTAAATACCACCTCTGACTGGCCCCACCCCCATCAATCCTCTGCCTCCCAAGTCCCAGCTGATTGAGAGGAAATGGGGATTTTGCAGTAACCTTCCCCTGGGGTGGGGAGGGAGAGTGGAGTGGAGTGGGGAGTGGAGTGGAGTGGGGAGTAGAGTGGAGTGGGGAGCGCCCACCAAGCCACACCCACAGAACTGGTAGTAAAAAATTTTGAATCCCGTATGTATGTATGTATGTATGTATGTTTCACACTTAACTGCCCATCTCCCTCACAGTAGTGTTGCTGTCAGCTAGATTTAATTAGATTTCTTTTTTTTTCTTAGCTTATGATTTGTTTCCTTTATCTTCGACTTCTCTTTTGTCCACTTTGGATAAAGTGGCATTTTCTGAAAGAGAACAGTATGATGGGTACCTATGGGTACCTATGGGTAGCTATGGTACCTATGGGTACCTATGTCTATGGTACCTATGGGTACCTATGTCTATGGTACCTATGGTAGCTATGGTAGCTATGGGTACCTATGGGTACCTATGTCTGCATTATTAAACCGCAGAGAGTTGGACACCCCTGCTATCTAGTGTACTGCACTGCAAACTCCAGAGATCTTCCAATGAATGCAGACCCACATCCTTTTCACTCCCGAGGTATTGCAATAGCTGGTCGCTTTCCAAGTTCTCTACTAGTAGCTTTTGTTTAAAAAACAAAACAAAACCCATCCTCTGATTCTTTTTGGGAATTGGTTTTTTTTTTTTAAAAAAAAAAACCATATTTCTCACCAGAAACCTTCGACGGTGAAAGAGGCGAAGCGCTACTAAATCGGATCTCCGAGCTCTCCGGAGCTTCCCGATGGAATTCGAAGGATGAAGGCCAATCAGGAATCAGAACGACTGGTCGAGCCAATGAGAATTACGCTTGGAATGATCCGGCGTGATGAGCAGGGGTGAGGGCGGGCTTTCTACAAGAGGCACCATGGCGGCCGAAGGATGGTCGGAGCGAGCGCGGAAGCTGCTGAAGAAGATGAATTCCTTTCACGGAGCAGGTACGACCGCGGGCTTTCCGCCTGAGCCGTTTTCTTCAGAATTTAGCCACCGGACCGCATACACACCCACACGCAAGCAGATTTAAAGCCAGCGTTTAGGCGCCTTTCAATATTAAACGTCCTGGACAGGATTGACATTCAACCGCTAGAAATGCAGAAAGCTTCAGCCAAAAAGGTAAGCCAAGGCGAGCTTGACCTCGTAAGGGCATGTTTCATTACCTCCAGCTCTGCTATGGGGAGAGACCCAGATAATGGGAACGCATAGAAAGGTAACCGCCGCTTGCTTTAAAAGCGCGGAAGAAATAAATGAGAAACGGACTGAATTCATTTTCCCCTCCTCTTCGTTTTGCAAATCGCTTGCAAAGACCGCTATGCAAACAGCAAGAAAAAAAAAAGGAGCATTCGCTTATGGTTTAATTATTTCTGGTACAGAAAGCCGAGAGTAGGAATAAACGGACGGTTTTTGCAAACATTGGGACTGATGCTTTTCAGCACCTTCCTGAAACGATCTGGAATGAAGGCAAACTATGAAGGGGATCCCTTTGCTGATACTTTAAGGTTGTTGTTTTTTAAGTAAATGATAATGAAAAGCTCTTTGCAAACAAGGAAACGGACATCAAATGGCAAACGTGGTTTAAGATAAGTCATGTAAAAGCAATGGGGCAAAAGGCTTAATTTTATGTGTTCTGAGTGAATCTGAGATGATGGCCTTAGGACTTTTATTAATCCTTTTTTCATAATGATTTTGCTGTTAAGTTTTCTTACCACAAAAGCTACTTTCTCTATATCATCTTTGAGTTTGTACAGGTAATCCAGAATGCGGCCACGCGGGTTGTTACGGGAGCTTCCCGTTACTCCCGTGTTACACCTCTCCTGCGCGAGCTGCACTGGTTACCAGTGGTCCTCCGGATCCGCTTCAAAGTGCTGGTACTTACCTATGAAGCCCTTCATGGCATGGGCCTGGGGTACTTGCAGGAGCGCCTTCTGCCGGCCTCCCACCGTCCAGTGCGCTCGCATAGGGCTGCCCTCCTCCGGGTGCCATCAGCCAAGCAATGTTGGTTGATGGCGCCCAGGATGAGGGTGTTCTCTGTGGGCGCACCGACCCTCTGGAATGGGTTACCCACCAGGCTCCGGACACCCCCTGACCTCCGCTCCTTCCGCAGGGACCTGAAGACATGGCTCTTCCAACAAATCGTCTGATCTGCTAGGAGTTTTTAGTTCTCTAAGGGTTTTAATTGGATTATTTTAATTAACTTAAATTAACTATTTAACTATTGTTCTGTGGTTTTTATCTTTGTGAGCCGCCCCGAGTCCTTTGGGAGAAGGGCGGCATATAAATATGATTAAATAAATAAATAATAAATAAATAATCCTTGACTTGCTAGCACAATTAAATCCAAAATTTATGTTGCATAGATAGATAGATAGACTTTATTGGCCAAGAGTGATTGGTCACACAAGCAATTAGTCTTTGGTGCATATGCTCTCAGTGCACATAAAAGGACAAGATACATTCATCAAGAATCATAAGGTACAACACTTAATGACAGTCATAGGGTACAAATAAGCAATCATTTGTTAAATTAATTTTGCCCCATTTTATGGCCATACTTGCCACAGTTGTTAAGTGAATCACTGCAGTTGTTAAGTTAGTAACCCAGATTATTTTCCAAAGAAGCATTTTGGCAGATTTGACTTATTTGTAGAAACTAGATCTTAGCTGCAAGAGAGATTGATTGGGTTTATTTCTTTGCAGGTTCTTTCAAGGCGCTGTGTTTGCCATTTATGGTTGCTGGACAACAAGTAGGATATGTCCCACCGGCTGTAGCCAAATGTCTCCATCAGTACCCGACTGTTTTCTCAGTGTCTCAGGGAGATAAAGCCCCTCCAAAGGTGGAACTTAACAAACAACTGACTTCTTGTGACCAGAGGACAGCTGCGGTACAAAGAGTGCTCAAGGAGCTGAAAGCACAACAAGCTTTTCCTTGTTTAAAAGGCTGGAGGGATGAGGTGAGAAGCCTTGGCGCAACCAAGCAAAAGGAAAGGGACTCTCTTCTATTTCTGACTATTGAAGAGATGTAGGCAAGAAAAGTCCAGTGTTATTCTGAATAACAACTTAGGAAGACAGTGCAGTTGCGGGGAAGGAGAGGGTGCCAAAACCACAGCTATTCACTAATAAAAATATACCTGTGTTTCAGATGTACAATGTAATGCCCTATTTTTGTGACACACCTTTCTTCAGCATGGAACGGGCTGCAACACGTAAGTTTAAAATTTAAAAATCTTGGCACTATGCTGTATAGGAAAGACCTGAACTTCTGCAAAAGTAAATAACTCCACTGTGTAATTTTTAAAATTATAAATTATCTTAGAAAAGAGTGCCAGAGTGATATGGATTGTATTAGGGGCAGAGAGACCAAGATTCTAGTCCACCTCCCGTCATTGGGTAACTTTGGGCTAATCCTTTTTTTCTGTTTATCTTCTCTTACTGGGCTATTATGAGAAAACAGGAATGGTGCACTATATAGGGTGATTTGAACTCCTGTTCAAAATCTAACAAAACTATTTTAAGCTGCAGAGACATGGGATAAAGCCTTAACCAAAGAACTTATGGCATTCCATAAGTTCCAGAGTCCAAAGTATTTCATCTACTTAGGAAATTTAGGTAAGAAATGCCTTAGTGAAGAAATCTCAGTGAAGAAATGTGGCTTCCTTGCTGATATTCTTTTAAATATGTGCATTAACAATAGTTTAAATACTGTAAATACTGTGTTTCAGAAACTATTTCATTATTAAGGTGTCCCATGAGCAAATACATAAATCTCTGCATCTGTTTAGGTATGTTCACCAATTCTAAAGAAAAATGATATTTTCTTCCTGTTTCCCAACCCAAAAGTAGGAATGAGCAACAAATCTTGCCATCACATTTTGTTCCAATATTGCTTCTTGAATACCAGTATATAATTTTATAGGCCTTTGAACACATATTTTATAATTTTATTTTAAAACGGATGGCATTGTTTGCACGTAAAAGGTAGATCACTATTCCTTCAAATTGTTAGGATGAATACATGTCAAGATCACTGCACACCAAAAAAAAAAAAAAACACATCTTAAGACACTAATTTTCCTTCCCAATAAAAAAATCAGATTTCTTCCTCTCCAATATTATGCTATGAAAAAAAACTGTTCATGCCAAGCATTCCTCTTCCATAAAACTCAACAATTAGAAGTATCAGACTTCCATGGGCCTTGATATATCAGTGTATAGGAAGCTAAGCACAGGCAAATCACTTCAGAAGAGACAATAGTAATTTGTTTTCTGCATTGGAGTTAACCACAATGCAGTCTCTTCAATGCAAAATTCTGATTATTGAAAATTTGGGATGGGTTTTTAGGTATTTTTAATGGACCACCAATCTTGGATCAACTTCAGCAGTTCTAGAGAAATAAAGAAATGTTTGAACTTGCGTTAAGAATTCTTCAAATATTGCATTGTAAATCGTAAAGAAGGAATTGTGTTTACGGACATTCTCGCTGTTCCTTTACTATCGTATTTTCTTGTCAACATTCCCCAACGCAGTATTTTAATAGTAAATACTATTAATAGTAAATACATTACAAAGGCTTAAGCAGATGAAATTACTCATAAAATCAGAACATACAGTGCAAAGGTAGGTGTTTGGTTTAGGCAGCAAGAAATGCTGCCTAAATTCATATCTGATTTCTCTTGATCTAGCACTATTTGGAGTGAAGCGCTATGGTGCCCACCTGAATGGCTATACTTGGCGAAATGATGAAATGCACATGTGGCTGGCCCGTAGGGCCTTGAACAAACCCACATATCCTGGCTTATTGGATAATTTGGTAAGAGATAAAATAGGATGACAAATAGAATATCTCATATGAAGATGGGATTAGCTAACAGTTGTCGAAATACTCTTTATTGCTCCGATACAGCCAGAGAAATCACTTAATGAGCTTGGGCAGGCCACAGTATTGGATTGAATGCCCTAAATAGAAATAAGCCTTTATTATTGATACAAAATTATAATTTCAGCATGAATCATTTTTCTTAGCAATGTGAACATAGAAGTTCTTCCTGCCGATATTTTTCTTACAGAGTAAAAGCATATATAGTAGTCCTCGATCTACAATTGGGACCAGAATTTCCCTTGCTAAGCAAGGCAGTTAAAGAGAGCCGCACCCAATTTTATGACCTTTTTTGCTATGGTTGTTAAGTGAACCACTGCAGTTAAGTGAAATACACAGTAATTAAGCAAATCTGGATTTTCCCCATTGACTTTGCTTGTCAGAAGCCAGTTGAGGAGGTCACAAATGGTGATCACATGACCCCAGGACAGTGTAACCATTGTAAATTCATGCCAGTTGTTAAGCACCCAATTTTAGATCATCTGACTGTGGGCATGTGGCAATAGTTATAAGTGTGAGGACCAGTCATAAATCAGTTTTCAGTGCCATTGTAACTTTGAATGTTTACTAAATAAATGGTTGTAAGTTGGGGACTGTGTGTAAACGCTCCAAAGAAGTCTTGAAGCTATCTAATTTGTCAGCTCAGAAATTATTCTTCTGTTTGATGGAAAAGATCCTTCTTAAATACCAAAAATAGCTAATGTTGACTGCTTGCTTTATGGTGAACCACAATTTGGGTTTCTTTTTTGGCTAGGCTGCAGGTGGCATTTCATCAGAGCTGGGTGTCAGAGAAACACTAATAAAAGAATGCCAAGAAGAGGCTTGCATTCCTGCTTCCCTTGCTACATTATCCAAATCTGTTGGAACTATCAGGTAATGTAGAAAGTTCTAAAATCCAAGGTGCATTGTAGCGTAGCAGTATTTATGTTTGCTTGTGTGAAGTTGACATCAAGGGAACATACTGTATTTATAATCAATAATTTTTCATTCAACTATTATATGATTTTCTTGATTGCTACCTATTCCAGCTGAATCGTGAAAACAAATATGTCAAATATAGAAGCAGTGTTAATATGTAGAATTTCCAGACCACAGATTGCCTTGATGTAGCACACAGCATTTATCCATAAAGCATACATGGACCTCTAAATGTCACTCCTAATTTCATAGGAATCCCGGAAGAAGTATAAAAAGATGACTTGGGCTCCTCTGAATGAGGTCACTTTCTCTCTGTAACTCAGATCAGTGTTACTCCGCACGAGAACATACGTGAACATTTGAACATTCTCTATAGAAGTCACTGGTGTGATTGAATTATTATTTTTTCCCCATCCCAGCTACACATATGAAGGATCAGATGGAGGCATCTATCCTGAATGCCAGTTTGTATATGACCTGGAGCTGCCTGAAGAATTTGTGCCCCAAGTGGGGGATGGAGAAGTGCAAGAATTTTATCTTTGGTCACTTGATAAGGTTCGTAGATGCCGTGTTGCTTACCAATAAAGGTTGCCTTTTGAACAATGAAAGATAGCACTGATGAGGGCCCCCCCCCCAACAAGCAATTTTCTTTGCTGTTACCATTTGTAACGATGAGTATATCTTTGGAAATCCCAATGAAAACTGATTACACGTTATGGATACTGTACCATTTTGTGGCATATTTCAAACAAGAGATGGTAGGACTGCAGCTCTCCTATAGTTTTCTAGCTCGTTATTATGTTTAGTGTTTAACTTTATTTGGAATGATAGAAGAAATGTATTAGCACACATTCTCATTAATTCTGTGCTATGGTAGCTGTTATCTTAGTCTAGGCATGACATTGGAGTACTAACTGCCATTTCTACTTTATATGTTAATTGTAAATCTTCCCACACAGGTGAGAGGGGCCATTGGATCTTCCGATTTCAAGCCCAACTGCGCAATGGTAGCACTGGATTTTCTAATCAGACATAGTTACATTCAACCTGATCAAGGTAGGCGTCCTCAATGTCAGCTATGTATGGTCAAAGTAAAAAAAATTAACTCTGGGAAGAGAGACGGGGGAGAAAATGACAAAGAGAGGCTTCTTTGTAGAAGTACCATGCATACAGAGCTTTCCTCTGCTTCTCTCTTTTCAGAACCCCATTATGTAGAGTTGGTGGAAGGGCTACACCAGAGCCTTTGAAAAGCCAAGAGCTACCTGTTGAGATGAGAGTTTTCCCTGTATTTTCTTTTTGCTAAAGCCAAGACCAGCATGTCAGATGGAAACCCCGAGGACCGAGACTACAAAATCCTGGTCAGGGCTACAATTAGGTACAATCTTTGTACCTATATGGGGAAATCTTGTAAACTCAAAGAGTTTACTGTACCACATATTTATACATAATGAATATGCTTAATAGTCACAAGAGCACCAAGTGTATTGTTCATTTTCCACATGCTTCAGCCATGTAAAATCCTCTGTCCAAATCCTTGTCCATTTGAACATTTAATTAAAAAAAAAGTCAACCAAAAGAACATTCTGAAAGTTGGAAGGCAGGGGGAGTAAGGGGAGACAGCAGCAAAATACTGTACAGGAGGTGCTTCTTACAAAGTTCAGTCTGACTCGTTGAAACGAGTGAGCATTGTCTTGTGCAATGCTTCCCGGTACGACTCTGATGCTACAGCCCCATAAGAGCTGCCACGGGAGCCAAGGCCAGACCCTCGTACTCGAGTTGGGGCCTAAGAGAGAAGGAAAAAATAAAATCACAGAGCCTCCCAAACAAGATAACACATTGTAACAAAAGGAAAAATAAAACTCTTCATCATAGAACTACTCTATTTTGGCCTATTTTGTAAGATGCCATCTTTTCTCATTGTGTGAAATCATTTTATCGATGTCAAACAACCATATCATCAACTCCCTTCTTGTGGAACAGTTCAATTCTTGCTCCCAATTTCTATTTTTAACAATCATGTTTCCTATCACAGCAATTTCCTTTTTTACAGACAGTGTAATATATGGGACAGAAGAAAGCCAAGGCAATGTATATAAACTGATCTATTAATGTTCTAATAGCAATAGCACTTAGACTTATATACCGCTTCATAGTGCTTCTCAGCCCTCTCTAAGCGGTTTACAGAGTCAGCATATTGCCCCCAACAATCTGGGTCCTCATTTTACCCTCCTCGGAAAGATGGAAGGCTGAGTCAACCTTGAGTCTGGTGAGATTCGATCTGCTGAACTGCAGCTAGCAGTCAGCTGAAGTAGCCTGCAGTACTGCACTCTAACCACTGCGCCACCTCGGCTCTAATACTATGCAATAAGACTCAAAGTCTTTCCCTTTATGCAAAGCCAGTATATAATAAGAGAAAGCAACTGGAGAGATTGCATGCCCTTCCAGAATACAATATTTATTTATTTATTTACATATAGAGCAACCTGAAAAATTACCTCAATAGGGGTTACAATGCCCTGTTTCTTGCGACCCAACCCGCTGCCTTCTTTCCAACCCATGGCCTGCAGCATGCGGCTGCCAATATTGTCGCTTCCCAGTCCATCTCGTGTTGGTTGTTCAAAATCCCTGTTGCAAATGGGGGAGGGGATGAAGTAAACAGTTAAGACAATCCTGCTCTCTCTTCTGCCAGTCGAGACCAAAGAAAACGGCCCAATGCAATGGGGCAAAGAACACTGCTAAGAAATGTAGCCTCTTCTAAAAATGAAACCTGTAGTGTAAAACTTACACCGTGGCCGGGGTCACAGCTGAATATTTTCTTTTCTTGGGTTCTGGTGGCTCAGGAACACCGTATTTTTCCCTTCGCTCAGCTGCACGATCTCGATACTTCATCTGAAAATAGTGATGAAGGGACAGTGTTAGCTGATGAGATGTTTTCTGTATAAACCATTCCCTTGTAGTGCCCCCCATCATCTATCCCATCTATTGTACCTCCATGTCATTCTTTTCAAGGGCCTCAAGCTCTTGCTCTGACAAATGTGCCCGTCGGTGAATCTCCAAATTTTGCTACAGAGGAGAAAAAGAATAGAAGGATGAAGGAGTGGAGGAAGATTCAAAACACTCTCTGGAGAGCTATGTTTGCTCCTAAGACATGCAATCATTTCTGTATTAGCAGTATTATGTTTATATTTTGGCTTAATATTTTATTCCTGAAGTACCAAAGGCAGTAAGCATCTTAAAATTAATAACAAATTAAAAATATATAGGTATAAAAAACATTATAGGTGAAACTGTAACAAACATTTTCAGATTGCAATCTAAACCTTACTAAAGGATCCAAACTCAACAAAGAATGCTTTCTGGGTACTCCTACAAAGCTCTCTTCCAAATTATAAGCTCCATTTGGGAACTTTCCCCCAATGAAGTAAGACTAAAGACTGCAGGGAATTATATTGTAATTTAGAAACAATTTAAGCAAATTATCGTGTCTTTTCTATGCATGTTGTTGGTCTCTTTTCAAATTCTTAAAATCTTCTGTCTCTGCTCTCTATCAATCAAATTAAGGCATTCTTTACCAAAAAGCCAAATATGCTTTCTCCAGGAACAACTACAATTAGCACACCTACAAGCTGGGCAAAAGCACACTAGGTAAAGCTGCCAGATGTATTCAGGAGCTAAGTAAGTATTTGCTCCTTTAAGAGGAACACAACTTACAACACAAACTGAATTCCTGGATAAACTATCCAATAAAACTACCACAGTTTTATCTGGATTAAACCTTCTATTTAATTCTCCAGGAACTATTCTCTGAATAGTTTATTTCTCTGAAACTATCTCATAATACAGTTAGAACTAGACTGAATCTTTTGGGCTTGATTAAGACTCTGCCGATAAAAAGCTTTTGGGAACTTTCTTAGCCAATCTCCCCTTGCTAGCTAGGTTTGGCTTTACCCTAAGGAGGCAGAGTATCAATTATTTGGCTTTCCTTGCTGACATTTTCTGCTTTTGCTCAGGATAAAACGGAAGCAGAGGATTTGAGACTTAGATATTCAAATTCAATGCAGTGTTTTCCATCTTTCCTACAACATAATTGGCCCCTCAGATCTAGATTTTAATATCTTATACATTCTTTATTAGAGACTTTGGCACAAACTGAAATACTACCCTTCAGGACAATAACTGATTAACCCTTCTTTATGAAAGCAGTAGTTGCCTGAATTCAGATATAAAGGTTGAATCTACATCACATGTTATTAAAATTCCTATTATACAGCTAACAGGAATCAAAACTCCTATCTCCCATTGGTAGTAGTTTCACTTGCTCTTACTATTACAAGATTATACTTCTCCTATTTGATCAATTCTCAGAAACCTTTATGAAAGTTGCAATACTCTTACTGATAGCCATTATTCTTATAAACCATTTGGTGTCTCCTTCACATTGTCTCTTTCACAATATTAACTCTTTCGGGTTTTTAAGGCTAATTCAAAACAATGGCAATCTGTTCAACATGTTGACAAGAACAAAGTTGTTTTCTAACAATTTATGGCTAGGAATTTTGCTGGATCTTGCATGGTCAAAGTATTAAAACTTTGCCTACGAAGAATTAGAATCATCCAAAAATTCCCCCGTGGCCTCTAATCCAAGTAGTCCAAGTAGCTGCTATTGTTGATTATACAGGTAGTCCTCGATTTACAATAGTTCATTTAGTGACTGTTCTAAGTTACAACGGCACTGAAAAAAGTGACTTATGACCATTTTTCACACTTACGACCATTGTAGCATCCCTATGGTCACGTAATTCACATTCAGATGCTTGATAACTGACTCATTTATGACGATTGCAGTATCCCGGGTCATGTGACCCCGTTTTGCAACCTTCTGACAAGCAAAGTCAATGGGGAAGCCAGATTCATTTAACAACCTTGTTACTAATTTAACAACTGCATTGATTCACTTAACAAATGTGGCAAGAAAAGTCATAAAGTGGGACAAAACTCACTTAACAAATTTCTCACTTAGCAACATAAATTCTGGGCTCAATTTGTGGTCGTAATACTAGGACTACCTGTACTGAAAATGATAAGGCTCTTGTCAGCTGCATACCTTATGTAAGCCCGATAGCTGCTGGTGACGAATAAGAGCCTCCTTGCTGGGAAACTGTCTACGACAAAGCAGGCAAGCCAGTTTGTGCCAATCAGTTAATTTCTCCTCCCGATCAGCTGCCTTCTCTTGTTCCTCTTCACTGTCGCTTTCACCACTGTATGCAGCCACTAAGCCTCGAGGTGGACTCTGCAAGGGGGGAGGATTATATACCAGAATCAGAACTATTTACCTTAATCTGATTTTTCAATGTAGCAAGTTAACTCGCATAATCCCCACTCTTCTGGTTATGGGAGCGACGGGGCGCTCCATGTGACCCCCCTCCTGTGCGAGCTGCACTGGCTCCCGGTGGTCTTCTGGGTGCGCTTCAAGGTTTTGGTTACCACCTTTAGAGCGCTCCATGGCTTAGGACCGGGGTATCTACGAGACCGCCTTCTGCCACCAGTGGCCTCTCACCGACCAGTACGTTCTCATAGAGAAAGGCTCCTCAGGGTGCCGTCGGCCAAACAATGTCGACTGGCAGCCCCCGGGGGAGAGCCTTCTCTGTGGGGGCACCTGCCATCTGGAACGAGCTCCCCCTGGAGATACGGAGGATCCCGGACCTGCGCACTTTCCACTGTGCCATCATTTTCCAGCAGGCCGGTCTGGCCTAACCTCTCTTTTAAACTTTTTAAAATTTTTAAAATTCTTAAATTTTAAATTTGTCTTATGAATTGGGGTGTTTTAAATTTTGTTTTTCGGGCCAATTATTTAATTGTATTTTAATGGTTTTTTAACATTTGTACTATATGTATTTTATTTGTTCACCGCCCTGAGTCCTTCGGGAGTAGGGCGGTATACAAATTCAATCAATCAATCAATCAATCAATCAATCAATCAATCAATCAATAAACAAACAAACAATCAGAAATAGCTTTTGACACAGAAGAGTTCTTGTGTTCAACACTTCCCTTGATACATAAATATTGGTATCTCTATTTCATATCTCAGTGTATTAAATATCAGCCAGATTTGTAGAATCTCTACATCTTTACCCATTCTTCTGAAGCCCAGAAAGTTTACATTTCAGAGAAAGTCGAGAGGAAAGGCTTACCAGCCGATCATCACCAGTAAACTTGGACAAATCCATGCTACTATGCTGCCTCTCAGCCAGTGCTCCCTAAGAACAACAAAACAAAGCAGGGAAATATTTAATCATTTTTCCTAATGAAAATACATTTTTTCTACACAGCAGTCAAAACAGTCTCTCAAACTACACAAGGTGGTCATTCAGGATGCTGCATAATAATAAACATTAACTCAAATATAACCACTCCCTCTCTATTTTTGCATGATTGTATTTTTAAAAAAGCATACAACATACCACATTGCAATAGCAATTGTACAATATATATACGTTAATGCTGAAACAATACCCAATATAGTTCTTTATTAGTTAACAAATGCTGATGAATCTTCATGCATGCCTTTATTAACTACAGGCAGTCTTCGATTTACAACAGTTCATTTAGTGACCATTTGAAATTACATTGGCATTGTAAAAAGTGACTTATGACTGTTTTTTACACTAGTCAATGTGAAAACAACCAATAGTAACGTGATCAAAATTCAGATTCTTGGCAACTGACTCATATTTATGACATTTGAAGTGTCCCTGGGTCATGTGATCATCTTTTGCAGTCTTTTGACAAGCAATGGGGGAGTCAGATTCATTTAACAACCATATTACTAACAATAACTGCAGTTATTCACTTAACAATTGTGGCAAGAAAGGCCGTAAAATGGGGCAAAATTCACTTAACAATTGTTTCACCTAGCAACAAAAATCTGGAGTTCAATTGTGGTTGTAAATCAAGGACTACCTGTATCGGATTGTTTTGTTACAGGTATATTCCTGGTTTAACGGTGCACTCCCCACAAATTGTACCTTCTTCTCAAGGATAGCATAGCCAGCATCAGCTGTGGCTGATTCCCGCCTTTCATCCTCTCGTATGGAGGAGACTGGCTGAAAGCTATTTTTGAAATTCTCCTTCTGTTTATTGAGGCTGCGTGCCCAGCGTTCCATATCCTTTGCAATCTGGAAGACAGTCCATGAAAAGGAAGGAAATGTACATAGGGGAAAAAGAAAAAAAACAAGGAGAAATGAGCTCTCGTTTCACATTGGGAAGATACGCTATCTTCAAAAGAGCAGGAATGTTAACAAGACTGAGAGAGAACACTAAATTGCTATCAAAAGGGCTCCAGAGAGAACTGCCTTCCCCCACCCTCCTCATTGGGGGGGAGGGGAATGCTTTTCCATTATGGGATGCCTTACTACTATTTCCAGTCATTGAGTATATTTTCCTGCCTTGAGAAAAAATCTTACCACAATGTTAAACCTCTTCCCTGTGCAAAAGTTCCTTAGTCTATAGAGGAACGCACTTTGATGAAAGCAGACCTTCTAACTAGTCCCAAGACAGAATTATAACTATACCAGCTTGCCAGAAAAAATGGGTGTCAAGGCTCAGGGGCCAGATTCGGTCCACAGGATGCTTAGATCCAGCCTGCGGGGCTGCACTGGAAACAGTGAAGGATAGGCCCACGATGCCTCTGCCAGCAAAAACGGAGCTCAGGACGACTGTGTGCAACCCTCCCAAGCTCCATTTTTGCTGGCAGGGGGTTGCAGGAGGCCGTTGCAGCCGAAAATGGAGTTCGCAAGGACTTCAGCCGGCACTCCCAAGCTCTGTTTTTGCTGGCAGAGGGTTGCAGGAGGCCGTTGCAGCCGAAAACAGAGCTTGAGAGCCCGTTTTTGCTGGCAGTGCACTCAGGCCACCACAAGCGCCCCCCCGACATGAGTGACATCAAGCTGGCCCACACCCCTACCCCTGCCCCTCCCCGAAGGTCAAACACAACCCTGATGCGGCCCTCAACGAAATCAAGTTTGACACCCCTGTTCTAAAAGGTATTCAGGTATGAAACACCTAGAATTCAAAGGCAAATGAAGAGAAATGGGATGAGAAAAAAAGAGTGATGCTCACCTGCTGGGCTGTTTTTGTCTTATGCTTTTCCTTTTTCTCTTTTCCCTCTTTGTTGCCACCTCCTGAACTGCTACCATCCTTGTAGCTGTCAGCCGCCTGTTCTGAGGCTGGGATGTAAGTGCATCTCTCACTTTCCCAGTACAGATACTGCTGCATCTGAGCATTGTAGTAATACTGGAAAGAAACAATGACACAGTTCATCTTTGGATACTGCAGGACGTTGTGCAATTTGAGAGCTACCACAGCACTACAAGATGAGTCAAACTTTCAGCTCATTGTTCTCATCTCTGCCATATGCATAAAGTAACAAAGTCTGCCTAAAGACAGACAACTCACCTGGGAATTAGGGTCATAGTAGAGCCCAGTAAGAGGATCGTAATAGTAGCCAGAACTTTCATCATATTGATACGTGGAGACATCTGGGACAGCTAATGGCCAGAAAGAGAAAAAGCAATTAGCAAAAGTGGCCACACAGCCTAGGAGAAGCTATTCTGTTCTCCACTCCTAATGGGATTCCTGTTTCTAAGAAGATCTGAATATATACCAATCCCTCTTCCCTCCGCCACTCACGGTATTGTGTGTAAGGTTCCTGTCCAGCAGAGCTGGTTGGCAAACTGGAACTGCTGGTGGACATGCCAGGAGTTGCACTGGAGAGCTGGGCAGCATTAGGCACATCGGGCTTCAATACAGCGGGTGAAACTATGGTGTATGACTGAGAACAGGGGAGAGAGTACATTGATAGGTGCATAGATTATGAAATCTTTTAATACATGCACTTAAATCACTTCAATTGTACCTGAGCAACAGCAGCATTTCCTTGGGCTGGACTTGCCCCTTCAGAGCTTCCACTGGCCTGGTACGTGGCTGTTACAGCTGCGTTCTGGGTGGTACGAGGAAAAGTTGGTAGGACAGGCATTGGATCAATACCTGGCACACCAGGTTCCTGTGATCCGTCAGCTATTTTGCAATGGAAGAAGCAGAGGCAAAGTCAGGAGGTACAAAACATCCTACAACAGGTCAGAAAGGAATATGAGGCAGAGGAGCTTACCTGCTACTGATCCCTCCCCCTGGATCTTGTCTGCCTTCCCAACAGCTGCTGTCCCAGAAGAGCCAGACTGAGACTGGGATCCTTTCAGGTATCCCCCCTGCGAGTATGCTGTGGCTTCTTGAGCGCTGTAAGGTTCATCATGCTGGTAATAACCATAATCAGCAGACTGCTCATCCTGGGTAGCCCATGAGGCCTCTCGGCCCTGTGATGCCTATTTGGAAGACCAAATAAAAGAGGAAATCTGTTACTAAGGCAGGGTAGTAATTAGACATTTTTTCCACGGTTAGACATAGATGTTTTCTTCTTTTTAAAAGACAATTATTTTACAGCTGCGCAGCACATGCTGCGCAGGTGAATTAATTCCCTGTCCAAGTAGCAGACAGAGGCAGAGGTGTGAGGGGAGGCAAGCAATTTGGATGCGCCGCGCGGGCCACAGGAAAGACGAGAGCACTAGCCGGCCGTGGGAGGCCCATCTTTGCACGGCGGCACTGACCGCAGACAGAGGCAGAAGGCAAGCCAAGAGACATGAAGACAAGCCTCCCGCAGCCGGCCCACTGATTCTCAGTTTTATGACAGAAACCCCCCTCGGTGGTAATAGTTCACTGTGTATCGCTGTATGAATAGAAAAGCATTTTTGCTGCAGTATGGGATACACTTAGATGTTTCCCCTCCTGCCCAGAGGTGCTATAAAAAGTCAGAATATTTTCCAGGATGCATTTGAGGAGAGAAAAGAAAAAGTCCCCCCTTCCTCCTCTGTGTCCAAAACCTATTCAACTTCCTTTCCTTTCTCTTCCTTCAATCAATTTACCTGTGAGATAGCCCACTGCGCAGCTGCAATGGCAGTGCTGGCTACCGAAGCAGCACTAATGCGGTTTCCATCTGATGAACTTAGGTCCCTGCAAAGGGATGAAGAATTTTTAAATTTTATTGTATTCAACTTGTACCCACCCAAACTCAATGACTTGAGTGTTGTTACACAACAGAAGACTCAGTTCTAGGGAAATGACTTTTACAAACCGTTTGGAACCTTTTGCGAATTCCACATTAATTGTCTTGCCATCAATGTTTAGTGGTGGATGCAGGGCCTGAAGGATCTGCAGCAACTGAGCTGCCTCCTGAGAAACGAAAGGACAAGAAATGAAAACCCTCAGAAAAACAAACATACCAATTGCTTAATATGATGTTAAGTGTGGTGGAGGGGTTAATCAGGAATACGCAAATTCAACTTCCCTCTCAACTACAAAGGATCGTTGGGTTATCTTTGATCCCTCTGTCTCAATCCAACCTGCTTTCCAGCATTGTTTTCTTACTGGCATTTAGTCTTAGCAATTTCTTTAAGTGTTCTTGAGGGTGCAACTCAGAGGTGAACAAATCTTATTAATCCTCACCTCCATTCTCCATTTTGTACTATAGGTAATTCTATAGTACATGGACTCAATGCACAAAAGATTTTGGATTGTGCTCCAAGGTAGCACCAAGGTTGTGTTTTGCTCTCCAGTATTAAAGTAAGTACTAGTACTTTTACTTTTCCATAAACTGCAAAACCAGACACTGACATAGTTTAGTCTATATTATTTTTTTTCCCTTTTCTGTTTTCATCCTCTCAAGTCTCTAGCTGTAGTTAGTAGAAGGGAGGGAATTAATGCCTTGAGCCCATAAGATCTTCTGCATAGCTTCCCCTTGGCTTTCCTCAGACTAAAAGTTCAGTTAAGCTCTGTTTTCCAAGCTACTTTATTACTTTCCTAAAGCCCATCATTCTCATGATCTCAACCTCTAACGCAAAGCAGAAATGCCATGTGTACTATTTCTTGCACTCACCACAATAGTAGAGAGCTGAATGAAAGCAAAACCACGATTGAGCTGTGTCTGCTTGTCTTTAATGACACGGACATTCGATGAGGAGAGAACTGCATATGGCGCCAAAGAACTTAAGATGGAGTCCATTGTGCTATGTGGATTCAGGTTTCGCAAGATAATGGCTGGCAGAATAAGAAACAGTAGTTGGAACTGTAAACTTACAAGGACATGTGAATTTTCACCTGAAGGAATTTAAAACTCTGCACAGCTAAAAAAGTACTATTAGTAAAAGCCAATAAAATTTTGGCTTCCTCTTTTATTGATGATAATAAATAACATTTATATACTGCCCAATTCCCACAACTCTGGCCGTCATGGCCATAAAGGAAATCTATCATTATTTTCTGTTAAATGTAATAGGAAGCCAAACCAAATCTGAATTAAACAACTTAAACGACACTGTAAGCACTCTTTTTGCTATTCTGTTTACATATGGCAATGGCAGATCTACAATTTGAATATACACTGCCATTACCGTCTGGCTGCTTCGTTTTGATAATAGCTTCTAATGGACAACAAAACAGCCTTCCAGCCAATTGTTCAAGTCAGGAGGACACCTTTTTTCATTTCAGATACTTGACTATGACTATGACAATAAAACAGTAGCACAGCAGATAAGTATTCAATTGTAGGGCTCCCTTCTCAGTTTTCTTACTGCTATTGCAACTATTATCTTCTTCTCCTGGAGTGAAAAATATCTCTTATCAAATAAGAAGCTGTGGTATATTTTTCTTCAACAGGAAAAGGGAAGAAGGTAACAGTAATAAAATAGCTGACCAATAGCTAGTGTGTGTGTGTGTGTGTGTGTGTGTGTGTGTGTGTGTGTGTATTCAGCTCATTGCAGTCTCCATAATTTTCATAAACTATCTTTGCTTTGCAAACAGTGTTTTTCTGTTTCTGTTTTTCTATATTTCCTGTTTCCACTTTATAAATTCTCCATTATCCATTTCAAACCAATGACAATACCAAGTCCTGATACCGGATTACTTTCAAAAACAGTTGACACAATTCATTCCAATAGCAGAATCGACTTTTGCAGGGGCTTTCTTCAGCATGAGATTTCAAAACTTACTATAAAACATCTATACATTAGCACATTTTCCCCTGTTTGCCAATCAAATTTACCAATCTGCGCTTAATTTCTAGAGCTAGGAGTTACATTTAAAAGCTATACCAATTAAACCAGCTAATTTCTATTTTACAGCCAAGCTGGGACTGCCAACCGACTTCTAAGCCTGAACACAAAAATTCAACTACCGTATTTTTTGGAGTGTAAGATGCACCTTTTTCCCTCCTAAAAGGGGGTGAAAATTTAGGTGCGTCTTATACACCGAATGTAGTCCCGCCCACCCACTGGCCTCCACCCTTTGGCCTCTGCCTCGCAGCAGTTACCTTCTTGCAAGCAAACAGCAAGAAAAAACAGCACCTTTCACCTTCAGCACAAGCTAATTAGCACAAGTTGATTGGATCAGCCTCCCGACTCTCAGCTGATTTGCTCTCAGCTGTTTTGCACAGGGCTCTGCTGCTTGCTGCAAAGAAGTAAATTGCTGGAGCAGATTTTTTTTTTCCTTGTGCTAATCAAGCTATGCTGAAAACGAAAATGAAAGTAAAGCGGGCTGTTTGCTGCAACGAGGCAAAATTCCTCAGAGGCAGAGGGAGATTTCTTTTTCTTCTTTTCCTCACCAAAAAAGGTAGGTGCATCTTATACTCCGGTGCATCTTATACTCCAAAAAATACGGTATGTAAAATGTTATGGGACCTTCCTCAGAAGCTTGAGGTTTTTAAATTAATAAATCAACTGAAGAAACCAAATTAATAAATCTCAATCCTCTCATCTACAACAATTAAGAGTTTCATGGGGAACACCATGAAAATTGAATTACTTTATTGCTGCTGTATATCAAATTTTATACTCACTGTCATTAGCATTCTCTGCACATGGTTCAGATATGGGGGCCACAGGCTGAGTGGACAGAGCTGCTGACACCTGGTATGGCTGCGGGAGAGGCAGAAGGCCTTGGCTAAGTTCACGCCCTGATAACGCCACTAGTTGATCTAAGCGACCGCCAGGGGGTAGCTTCTGCTCAGCTTCTGTTGCAAAGTGGAGGATGATGAAAAAAAAGGGGGGGGGAATTAAGAGTAGTTTCTACAGGCACAAACAGAGCTAAAAGAACTGAGCTATTAATCTTACCAGATCTGGGAATGCCACACTTGAAACATTTCTCTCTGCGCTTGAAATTCTGAACTCCACACTATTGGTGGGGGGGAAAAAAAAGACAATCTTTATTTTCAAATAAATGTCTCCCACGAAACACTCTTTCATAAAAGTGTTTCCCTATCAGGATATGTTCCTTACTGCAAAATCACAAGTTTCTCTCATTAGTCAAGGATTTGGTATCTGTGGTTTCAAATAATTAAAGTTGGAAAATACACAACCTGACTTTGGTGTCCATAATGTATTGTCCCTCACATCTCAGGTTTTTTTCACAATCTTGTGTTATTTTATGCTTGCAAACAAGCTTTTTCTGCATGTGTTTTTTGTTATCAGTAGATATTCTATTGGAATAGGATCTTTTGTGAATGAAAGCCACTGTACCTGCTACTATTATCCCTTAATGCATAATTTAAATTCTTGTCCTAATGGTTGTGATGGAAAAGCATTCAAAAATATTCAATAAAACCTGAGAAAATAATCCCTTTGTCCGATTATGCCTCAGTCTTTGCTCATAAAGTCAAGCTTCCTAAACTGCTCTGTATCTTTTATTTTCTTGTTGTTGGTGCAATCTTTGACAAAAACATTTGCAATCACTATTTTAGAAAATATTAAGGAAAATAACACTTTAATCATTATTTTAGAAGCAAAACTAAGCAAGAGGGCTGAACTTATATTGAGTCTTCATCATTGAAATAGGGAGGTTTTGCTTCTGCCTTTGACTAATATTCAATATTTACCCCTTGCAATTGGAAAAAGTCATAGCCATTGTTCTAAGTACATCAGGCTACTGTTGAGCCCACTAATCTTGTTCCCCTGGCAGGACAACATCCTTCACACTGCAGTCCAGACCCACAGCTCTGAGTACCACATCACGGAATATCTCTACAAACTGATTCAAAAAAGCAGATACCTTGCTGCAGAGCCAATCCTCATTGATCTTCGGTTTAGGGTCACTGTAGTGCATGGAAACTTTCTGACCAAGGATGGTGAGTGAATGCTGCAGGGAGAGAAACACCCCAATGAGACTCTGAAGTGGAGGGAGAGAGAAGGTGCCCATCACTGCCGCAGCAGAAAGAAGGAGAGGTTCAAACCCTTCAGCTGAATGGATGAGGGTGAGGGAGGGAAGGGAGCATAGGCTGAGAGAGTTTTGGAACTTGGCTATTTGGCTAGAGAACACCTAATCTGGCCGACACCTGTTTCTACCCAAGGTACCGGGACGTCCGGTTGCTGTGATGGAGGGAGAGTGTGTTGGAGAGAGAAAGAGAGAAAGATGAAGAAAAGGAGAAACAGACAAGAGAAATGCAGCCGTGCTGTGAGATACCACTATACAATACCTCTAGACCACTAGAATAACCTTTATTGACCTTCTGCCCCACCATTTCTCTTTTCTTCTCTTTTCCCAACCCAGTGCCACTGTGCCCACACAATGGGCATATTTCTCTATCCGCTCCCTCATTCAATACAAATCTCTGCTACAGTAGTGTCAATTCGAATTTAAGGGCATGCTTGGAGAAACACTCAATCTCCCTTGAAAATGAAAGCTTTTGGGAGAGATTAAATAAGATTTTAATATTATGCACACATCCACAGATGTTCAATGCTAGATTTCTATTCTGTTCTGCCATACACAACACCCCAATTTAATTACTCTAACCGTATATTCCCTAAATGGCCTATCAAAATTACTATTTTACTCAATTGCAAGGCCTCTACATTTGGTGAAGACATCAAACAATTCTATGGGCATATAATCCAGGAGGACCAGAACACTAAACCAGACCACTTTCCAAAACCAGTTCCTAAAAGCTGCTAAGTCAAGGCCTAATTGACTAGAACCTCTTTCTGATAAATGCAAGAACCTTGCCTATCCCTTGCCCACTGCCAACCTTTGGAGAGAAACACTGCCAAATTTCACACATAGTTGTACAGTCTGTGCTTAAAAGGCAATCCTCACCATATGTCTCTCAACCCAATTTTTCCGCATCCCTCCCACATCCAGAGCAACATGTATCATCTCAGCCATGCTTGGGGCTACACATGTCAGCTCCCACTGGGGATGCGCACACGTGGCCCAACTATATTGTCAACACAGGAAAACAGGAAGAAAAGGAAATGGCAAAGGTAACTGCCATAGCTGCATAAACCCCAGGAAACCCAGTCGGGCTAGGATTGCATTTTCATCCAGATTATAGTCGCTTGGAAATAAGAGTACAGTTTTAAACTAGTCAGAACAGACACAGTTTGGGTCTTAAAAACATGGCATGTCACATCATCTCTACTGTAAACCTACGGTGCTAAAGAGAACATGGGGTCTTAGACAGAAAGGCTGTCAAGAAACAGCTGTTGTGATAAAGGAGAGAAGAAAACCTTCCTAGGGAAGATTCAATTTTAGATTTGCACTCCTAATCTCTGGCAGATTATGGAGAAAAAGACACCCACTGACGGGTGGCCAGCTTCAGTATCTACTGTTCAGCTATAGTTATAAACTGCCAGAGTCACACTGAGCATGCATATTTCCAGAGCAGGGAGAACACAGACAGGATTCATGATTTCCCAAGCCCCTATTTCTTACAGCTAGGAACTCCCACAATCCCCTTAATGTGGATCAGCATCTAAATTCCTCTGCTCAACTTGTCAGATCCCGCTGTCATCCCCATGGTGGAAATTAAATCCAGTTCTGACTTGCTGCCTGAATTTTTTAATGTCACTTTGAAGCCCTGTTTTCTTGAACCTCCCCTTTTTTTTCCAGGTCATGAGTAGATCCCAGAAGTCAAACGCCTAGTTCCCAGTACTCTGTTTGATTCCTTGAATTGTAAACAAGGCAAGATAGCTGACTTTCAGTTCTAGCTGCTCTTCCTAATCCCAGTTCAGTGATTCCCTAAGGGGGAAGGCATCTAGAATTTGTCACATGAACCAGGTGTTGAGATTGGTCATTAACAGTAGCAGTACTTGTGGGTTTCAAGTGCAGCAAAGCAACCTGATTGGCTTCCATCCATCGTGTAGCGTCCTGCAAGTGATTAAACTCGACGAAGGCGAAGCCCCGGCTCTGACCTGGAGGACAGCATTCAGATACAGACGCAGTGTGTTAGTCAACAGATCCAGCCAACATCACGCACCCCTGTTGCTGTACCAAATGGGGCAAGGGCAGGGCGCAGGGGAGAAAATAAGGTAGAGTGGGAAGGCACAGAAAAGGCACCCTAAGTTGCAAAATGGAGTGGTGCAGACTCAAATGCTGGTCTCAAGCATCTCTTATGATCATTCCAGTAAAGTATTTTTGATGGACAGATGCTATTCACTGCTACTCAAACCATCTAGTTGTTTATTTTTCCTAGAACTGAGAAGAGAATTGTGGTATCCCAACTTCCAGGTCAATGCTTATCTAGCCTGTATTTCCGAAAGGATAAAGGACAAGAAGGAGAATATTGAAGAGATCTATTTCTAGCACTAATAGAGTCAGTTATCCTTTTTCATATTTTACGAAATAGCTGGTTAAAAGAATCTATGCAGGAGGCTACATATGGCACTTGTCCTACTGACTTTGCTGTTTAGCTTCAGGAACAGTTAAAATAACTCCACATAACAGGAGAGGATCAAGATAAAATGCTGCAGTCTGCTGAACTTGATTCTGAAAGAATTGTATTTAAATTCTGTCTTAAAATTCTTCTGATAACTCCATCAATCACTCTTTCAATCTTATCGGTCCATCTGTCCAACAGAAACAACAATAGCCCCTTTCTATTGCAATAAAGAATGATAAATGTTGCTTGCATAAATGTAACATAAATTCATGTGCCTAAATTGAGAGAAGTTTATTACAATTCCAAAAAGGCACTGATTCCCACTTTTTTCCTTAGTAGCACTGGAATTAAGATAAAATGTTTAAAGGGAAACCAAACTGACATTAGGTAAGACCAGTCCACTAAATGGGAACATTCAAGAGACTACATTTTGGGAGGCTTTTTCTCAAAAGTCTGCAATTCCAGTCTTTGTTGAAATGTAAAATTCATTTTGCATTGTAATTGTCTTCTCTTAGCCTCTGGTTGCTCATAGAAGCAGGGTGCCTTTCTGTACCCTCCATCTTGCAGTATCTGCCGGTCCACTTCAGGCCTTGAACAACAAGGGCAGATACAGAGGACTATCATCAAAAACATAAAGCTTGCTTTAAAATAAAGGAAGGGGGTGGGAGAGAAAAGAAAGGTACACAGCCCTATCTCAGGGCCTGCAAGTGTGTGTGATAGGTAGGGAATAACCTTGGCAAGAAGTAGTATACTTACCTGCTTGATTAAACAACTTACTTTATTCTCAGAACAGCCCTACATTGTTTCGTTTTGGAGCAAACTAAAGAGATCTCTTTTTATTCTTGCATATACCATACCCATCCAACTTGTTGGCAACCTGTCTTCCTTAATGCAGGCTGGCACTATTTATGGTCTATTAAACTGAGCAAGTTCACGAATCAAGTACTGTATTCACACAGGTGCTTGACAATCGCCTATCCCATCACAAAAAAGGCAGAAAAAAGCCAGGAGTTTTCTTAAATCCTTGGTGAATCACAAGTGCCTGCAGAATTATAGTTAATCTAGTGGGGTCAAAAGTCGGACACATGCTCAGGTATATGTTTAATCAGTAGCAATCTTAGAATGGAGTCTAATTCAGGCTGCAAAGATCTAAAAAGGCACACCGATGTATCTGATAAAATATGGTCAAATAGAAAGTGCAATATATAACCAAAAGATTGTCTTCATCCTTTGCCATGTATTTGTGAAAGAGGCCAAGTAAGAAAGACAGAGAACAAATAAGAATTCATCTTAATAAGAAAAGCAATATTGAACCACTAAACCTCCGAAGAGTCACACTTATGCAGAATACAGTGAAACTTGGAAATGACAGGCCACATCTTCTGCTCCTTTTTCAGGCCAATCTCACAGCAGAAGAACCACTGAGGCCCATAGTTATAGGATTTTGATAACAAACAATAGCACTTAAAGGACTACCTCTGAATCAACTGCTAACATCTGGAAAACTGACTTATCCTTATCACTGATTGGCAGATCCTAAATACGCTACAGCAGAAGCTACAATTGAGTACTTAATGCCACAGGGCAGAACTGCTCCACAAGCACATACGCATAGCATACCACATTCTAATTTGCAGTGTGTCAAATGCTACTTGAACCATTACAACCATATCAAAAGAAAGGAGTAGAAAAAACTGTGAAGAGAAGCTCACCTGAGGCTTTATTTCGCATCAGTCGCACCTCACGGGGCTGGAATCCGTGTGCCTGCAGCTGAGCCCGGATCTACAAATGCAAAGAATCTGTTAATAATGACAGTAACAGGAGGCTTTAATATAACAATCACTGAAAGAAGTCCAATTGCCTCTTGAAAAAGCACCTTTGGGACAACCATCACCTGGATGACTGAGAATGACACTGAAAGAAGTAGTGAATGTTAATGAATTTTTGTATGGGCTGTTCCTACAAGATGCTGCTCAATTACAATTGCCAGCAATCCCAACCACCATGCCAATTGAGTTCAGTAACATTTGGGGGCCATACATTCTCTATTCCTGAATCAAAGATCCCAAAACGCCTTTTAGCCCAAGCAACCAACTTACATCACTCTCAGTGGCAGATTGAGGTAACATCCTCAGCATAATGATACTGCTAGCCTTCTGTTCTTCTTCTTCTTGTTCAGTCCGATAGTCTTGGTCCCGGTAATCACCATCACCAGGAAAGCCCAAATGCTCATTTGGGCTATCTCGTTTTCTGTGTTGTGTCTCTGATCCGGAGGAGGCCTCATAAGAATCCTAAGAAATAACAGCACAGAAGACAACACCTTAGCAGGGTGGAAGACCAAGACTGAGCTAGACAAAGAAGCCCTCAAGCTTGCAGGCGGAGGCCTAGCAATGTGCAGACAACCATGTTGCCTTCCGAGCATTCTGCCAAATAGACACCATGTTTTATGATCAAGCACTTATCTACAAACCCAGATCCAGTGTCTCAATTACTTTGCATATAGTCCTACATGATTTCTTCATATAGCCCGCAGGAGAAAAAATAAGGATGAATCCACCCAGACATCACTTATATCTGCTACTGTCTACCTTGCGGTGGTAAGAGAGACAAAACATCATTATTTCTCCACTCTTGTTGCATCTGCAGACTGTTGCCTGGCAGCCTTGTTCAGGCTCACCCAGTCTCTCCTGGGACAGGAGAGCTCAAGTGATCATCTCCAAGGCCATACAGAGGAATCTGTTGAACAACTGGCAAACAAAGTCGTTTAGATTCGCTCCCAGCTGGAACACATGTATGGTGCAGGTCCATTAGAGATCCCTGGGGAAAGATCTTACCCGATCCTGTGGGACCTGAGGAAATGGACAGGATCCTTGATTCCGTCAGTACAACCACCTGTCAATTAGATTCCTGTCCCTCCTATTTGGTGACTGTCAGGTGGGTTCAGCCAGTGATAAATTCTTCACTGCAGTAGGGGACGTTTCCAGGATTTTTTAAGGAGGCCCTAATTCACTCTCTCATTAAAAACAAAAACAAAAAAAAAAACATCTCTTGATCCCAACTGTCTGGATAATTTTCATCTAGTCTGCCACCTTCCCTTTCTAGGGAAAATGGTAGAAAAGGTGGTGGCTTGGCAGCTTCCGAGGATTCTGGATGAAATGGATTATCCTGAACCCTTCCAGTCAGGATTCAGGCTGTTTTGGGGAGAGAAATAGCACTGGTGGCACAGTGGTTAAAGTATAGTATTGCAGGCAAACTCTGCCCCCACTGCCTGGAGTTCAATCTTGATGCGGCTCAGGACTGACACATCCTTCCATCCTTCTTCGGTCAGTAAAAAAGAGGACCCAGATTGTTGGGGGCAATATGCAAATAATGTTTACACTGTAAACCATCCAGAGAGTGCTGTAAAGAGCTATGGCGGTATATAAGCCTAAATGCTACTGTTACTGTGGATATTTTTGGCGAGAGTGGTATGGGGTTAGTGCATCCGTCCTTGCTCTCCTTGACCTCTCAGCAACCCTTGATACTATTAACCATGGTATCCTTTGGGGATGGTTGCAAGGCTTGGGGCTGGGCGGCCATCTTGCACTGGTTTGTCTCCTTTCTCCAACGCAGGTCCCAATTGGTGTTGATACGGAATGAGAAGTCGAGCCCATAGCTGCTCCTTTGTGGCGGGTGGCAGGGCTCAGTATTCTACTCCTTTTTAACATCTACATAAAGCCACTGGGTGAGATCATCCTCCACCATGCGATGAGGTACAATCAATACGCTAATGATACTCAACATTATATCTCCATTTCCAGTGATACAAATGTTGCTGTCACTGCTCTCTTGCAGTGCCTGGAGGCTGTGGGGATCTGAATGGGGGATAACAGATTTTGGATGAACCCTGGTGAGACCGAAAGGCTTTGGGTGCACAGACCTTCATGATCCGGGACTTTTAACATTTTTATTTCTGGAGGGCTTGTACTACCCCAGATCGACCTGGTGCGCAACCTGGAGGTTCTCCTGGATTCATGACTCCTGATTAAAGAGCAAGTGACAGTCATGGCTAGGAGAGCCTTTGCACAACTTTGTATTGTGTTCCAGTTGCACCCTTTCCTGGATTGGGAGTCTCGGAGAAGAGCCTTTTCTGCCATGGCTCCTGCCCTTTAGAACATTGTGCCCCCTCCAAGGTGAGAACAGCACCCACCCTTTTGGTCATCCGAAAGGGCTTGAAGACCCGACTCTGCCAACTGGCCTAAGGGCCCCAATGGGATCACGATCATTCTGGAGGTGGTTAACAGACTAGATAAGATTCCCTCCCCCCCACACTGCATGCTTTTGCTTTCTTTCTTACCATCCTTTTCAATTTCAAATTAATTTAAGGTTGCTATTTACTGTTTTAACATTTTTATTAGTTTTTAATTATTATAAGCTGCATAGAGCTGCTTCCAGGAGATGGGCGACATATAAATTGAAGTAACAAATAGTAAATAATTTTGACCTCCCCACAATCACCTCCACTTTGAATGGCATGGAATTTCATTAGGGATTCTAAAGGATGAAAGACATTCCGAAGTATGAGCCGAAGAAATCCTTACCCACAAGGCAGCAGTTATTCAAAGACTCCAAGTTATTGAATTGCTCAGAAAAGCCACTACTATTGCTGAGAAAACTGCATGAAAGTGACCGTTAAATGAATAGGAGACAAGATTTACTGGAAGGAGATTTACCCTCCACTCACCTCCACACTGTGTTCTTCAGAGGAATCATCATAATCATTAGCAGGTTCCTGGCTGTTGAAATCTCTCATGTAGGATCGATAATCCATATCTCTGTAATCATGGTCCCTCTGATTCCGGCCTTCTGAGTTTTCATCCTGAATCTGTTCAACAGCACCATATCGACCTGTCCGATCCCCACGGCCACCTCTACGGTGTACAAAAAGAAGAAATGTTTAAAAAGAATTGTAAAGTACTAGTACAACCACTGACTAAGAGGGGAGCACATGCCCTACTTAAACTTTCCGTTACACTTCCTAACACCACGACTGAAACAGAAAAAACTGAAAAAATGTTTATTTAAAGAAGTCAGGGCTTCCAAAGAGTATTATTTCCCTTATTCTTGTTTACAAGACTTGTGTTTATATACTTATATTTATCCATATAGCAGCCCATCTCACAATCAAGTCATTCTGGGCAGAGCATACAACAAATCTGTGTTCATGTGTATGTGTTAAAACAACATATGCTGAGAGTTTATGGCTTCTAGACAGTATTGAAGTTATGCCCCATCTCTCCCAGGAAGCATGGGAAATGGATTGAAGATGAGTGTTGTAGACTGACATTATTTAAATGGCTATAACTTCCTCATTATGTACTAAAATCAGCAAGAGAGCATTGCTCTGGCTGCAACTTAAATTACTAGAGTAATTTACATGCTAGAGTGCAATGAATAGGATTACATCACTAGAATGATGACACTGCAAGTTATGGTTTTTCATTTCTTTTTGCTGTTCTAGTGATGAGAAACGCAGGCAAAACTCAGCACAATAGGTTTCCTAGTACTGCCAAGCCCTTTCTATAGCTGCTTTCTCTGGCAGAATGCATTAAGTGCCTTTCTTGGGCTAAATCTTTTCTTTACTACATTAAGAACAGTGGACAAATACAGTAGATTACATTATTATTCTCACACAATTCTCATATTGTATTGTTGCTTTGCCCCAAAAAGATTTCATTATATTTGTAAGGTCAGCTCACAAAGTTTCATGTCCATCATTACAGATTACACATTCTTCCTATTCTACTAATAATGATGTTGAAGTTAATGATGATTAAAGAGAGACTGGCCTTAATTTAGCTATTCATTTAGTTTTAATAAATTATGTGCCATCAAGTTGCTTTCAACACCTAAGCAATCATATACGTAGATTTTATCCACAACAATCTATCTCTGTTCTTTTGGGTCTACTTTTGTAGGTAGACACATCATGGCTGTCAGCGTCTCAGCACTGACATAGAAAAGGGAGCCTCACAGTAGCCTCCTGAAGTCTGTGGTAAGGTCAACTTTAAGGCCGGTGCCACGTGATCCCCCAGGGCCCTTGATTATTGGAGGCCATACCCACTATGAAGTACAGCGGATTCTTGATTCGAGGTGGCACAGGGGGTGCCTCCAATACTTAATTAAGTGGAAGGGTTACCCCTTGTCAGAAGCTTCCTGGGTGAAGAGCACGAACATTCAAGCTGACCGCCTTATAGCTAAATTCCATGCAGATCACCCGGACAAGCCGGGAGGGGGTGGGACACACCCTCGGACTGGGTAAGGTACTAAACTTGTTGTTTGTCTCATGCAGGCCTCACTGGGAGGGTGAAGGGAGAGGGGCCGGATGTCAGCGTCTCAGCACTGACATAGAAAAGGGAGGATGAAGCCTGAACTTTTGCTTGCTAACTCCCTTTGAAGATTCGGTCTCCTCGGAGATGAGGAGGGGGGAAACATTCCTGTGAACTGATGGAAAAGGAATCAGGAGAGTGACTTGGAAGATAGCCAATGAGAAGCAGAGAATTGGGGATCGGAAAGGGAGGGATTGGGGGGCAAAGGTCAGTATTGACCACGAAGAGTCAGGATCAGGTTGCTGTGCTCGAATAAAGAGAAAATTTCCTTAAAGACTGGCAGTTTGGAAGTTCATTTATTTTGAGATAGCATCGAAAGCCAACAATGGCATTTGAATAAGTTTTCCAGGGTCTTCATGGCTGCTCTATCAAGTACTAATCTATTGCATATTTCTTGACTGCTTATTCCTTTACTGTTGATGGTTGTTCCTAAAAAGCAGAAGCTATCCACCATTTCAATAACTTCATTGTCAATTCTAAGGCTGGGTGTTCTATCTGTTGTCATTAATTTGGTCTTAATCCCATTTTTTCAATGTGCTGCTTGACTTAGTACTAAGGTTTGGACAGCCTCTGAATTTTTGGCTATCCGGGTAGTGTGGTAGCACAGATTATTAAATTTCCCCCCCTCCAATTTTAAAGCTACACCCATCTTCTACCAGTCCAGTCCTTCTCTTAATATATATTCTGCACATTGTCTGAATAAATAAGGGATGAGTATTCAGTCTTGTCGTATCCCTGGAGCCAGTTTTTTTCACCATGTTCAGTCTGGACTGTGGCTTCCTGACCTGTATCTAAGTTTCTCGTGACGACAATGAGATGTTCTGAGATTCCCATTTTTCTGAGCATATTGCACAAATTGACACAATTAAAGGCTTTTCTATAATCAATGAAGCACATACAGACATCTTCTTGATATTCTTTGGCTTTTTCAGTTATTCAGCATGCATCAGCAATGTCTTGTGTTGCTTGGTCTTCTCTAGGCCAGACTGAACATCTGGCATCTTCTTTTCCATGTAGGGCTCTAGTCTGTGTTGGATGATTAAGCATTATTTTGCCAGCATGTGATATTAAAGATATTGTACAATAGTTTGCACACTCCATTAAATCTTTTTTTTATTGGAACATAGATTGACCTCTTTTCATTGGTTTGCCCCTGTGTCATTCTTCATATTTGCTAGCATAACTTGATTAGGACTAGGATTCTTTTTGTTGTTGCTTACCATTTTTAATGGGTATTCCATCAGTTCTTGCAGCTTTCCAATTTAGTAATGAATGCAGTGCTGATATAATGTCATCTTCTAGTATTAGAGGTTGTCATAAATAAGGAATATCTTCTAAGATATCTTAGATGTTGACATCTCTATTGTATAGTACTTCAATATACTCTATCCAACTCCTTTGACTTGGTTACCATCTATAGTGTCCTTTAGGATACTAATTTGAGGTTGGAACTTTCTTTTTAAAAGACAAATCATTTTTTCTGTTTTTTTTCAACTTCAATGTCTTTATAAATGTTGCTGTAATACTGCTTCTCATCTCTTCTTACAGCTCTCTGAAACTCATTGTTAAGTTTCTTTCCAAGATTTTTGTCTTTCTTGGCTTCTTGGCAATTTTCATGATTTATTCCGACACCCAGTTTTCTTTCTTCTTTTTCAACAACCTCTTTTCACATTCATCCTTAATTACTTGTTTAAGTTCATTCCATAATTTCTCTGATTCTCTATCTTTGAAGTTCAGGACTTCAAAGTGATTCCTGAAACTTTTCTTGAAAAATGTTGGTTTATAATCAAGATCATATCCTGGAAACTGACTGGCTTTCTTCTTCTTTAGCTTAATTTGAAGTAGTTCATGGTTTGTTCCAGTCAGCACCTGGTCATGCCTTTGATGATATAATTTAGTTCCTCCTATTATTAGCAATAATATAGTCAATATGATTTCTATCTATTACATCTGGTCAGGTCCATATATAGAGGCATCATTTTGATTGTATGAAGTTTTAACAAAGCAGATCCTAAAATTAGCATTGATTTCTTTTCACAACTTCTTTGTTTAACAGCATTATTTAATCCTAGCAATTTCAAAGAAAAAGAGACACCATATATTTCTTCCTAGGCTGTAAAGTAATTGAAAGAATACTTTACCTTCTTTCATACTCCATTGCTATCTGTGAAGTACAAACGCCTCAGGAATCTTCTAGCACAAACCCTTCAATGGGTAATTGCCATTCCAGAAGGTCATAAGAAGTGAATTATAATGACTTCTGTAGGGAAAATAGAATACAATGTTTTTATTCAAATGCTCATGTAGTTTATAATCCCAGCAGCAGTAACCTCTAAAGCAACTTTAAAACCAAAATGTTTCCAGCTTCCAGTGTACAGGCTGCATAATTTTTTAAATTAATTGTATTTAATATTTTGAAGGAAGTGAAAAGAATATGAGTAAAAGAATACAGAACATGTAAACACAAGAAATAAGATACAGATAATTATCCTGATTGAATTCTGAATTGAACACACTTGGTTAATGCAGTACTAATCACTGACAAAACTATGAACAGTAAAGCAATGCATTAGATCAATACTAAAACTGATTAAGATATAATTTTGTAAATAAGAAAAACAAAATTCTGGATATGGCATAAATCCATATATTGCATTATAATGCAAGAATGATTACAGGTTCTCAAATCTGCAATTCCGCACAGCGGTAACCCACAATTTCACAAACATTCCAACTATTATCTTCAACTTTGTAAATACCTGTTAACATAAATATAAATCTAACATCTCATTGCTGGAATCAGCTAAGTATGCAACTAAGGTCAAATTTGTATCACTGGTTATTATTAAATAATGTGGAGAATTATTTTGTAAACTGTTCATATGGAAAGTGGTATGGTTTCAGAAAGCACAGGTAGATAAGGACAGACCACTACTTTTCCCACTCAGATCCCTCCCATTTCCTGAGCTCCAGAAAGACTAAATTCTAATCTTTCATGTATTCATACTAGTTAAAACTTTACATATGCACTCTTAGCTTTTTAATAGACTGGCTATTTGACTTTGAGTACATAATACTGTGTTTTATCACTCAGATAATCTGCATTTTTTATGTTTGAAACAGATTTAGAAAGATTTATGGGTCTAAAAGCACTTTGATTTTTAGTACACAAAGCCTCCACTAACATGCAAAAAGAAAATCCTTTCAAAGTAGAAACATTCTGTTATTCTCTTGTAGAATTCCAGAAGTAATTATATTTCTTAGAGAGCAATTGCTTATGAAAACTAAATTCCATGAATTTTCAACATGGAAAACAACAAATACAGGTAAGTCAAAGTTGTGAATTCTTTATGAGCTCCATAGCAAATGTTACCCTCATTTTACAATAGTAATTGAGATGGGAATTGCTGCTGATAATTGACATAGATGTAAAATGCAACATCACATGACCATGTCACTTAGCAACAATTCCAATAGTCCCAGTTGCCATCATTAAGCAGAGACCACACGTGACCATGACTTCCAACCTCTCAATTGACTTTGCTGGTGGGAACCCAGCAGGGAACATCAAAAATGTAATGGCTGGAACTCCAAGGACCAGTTATAAATCCCTTTTGTTCAGTGCAATTACCAAGTTTGAACGGTTGCTAAACAAATGGCCATACCCCAAGGACCACCTGTACTTTGCTACCATTATTCACATACTCACTATAATGGTTCTCATGAGGACCTGGAATTCATCTTTTAAGAAATAAAGATGTTCTTATCCCTGCCAGATAAATTTAAGGGCCTTTGTAGGACCCATGCTTGGCTTACTAGTTCCCATTCATCTAGTGTTAATCTAAAGGAAAGGTACAATTAAATCATCACAAAACTGCAGCTTTTATTGTAGTGGCACAGTGGCTAGAATGCAGTAGTACAGGCTAACGCTGCCCACAGTCTGGAGTTTGATACTGATGAGCTCAAGGTTGACTCAGCCTTCCATACTTCCAAAGTCGGTAAAATGAGGACCCAGATTGTTGGGGGCAGTATGCTGACATACTGAGAGTACTCAGAGAGTACTGTAAAGCACTATGGAGTGGTATATAAGTCTAAGTGCTATTACTAATGGAATGTGAGACATACAGAGGATATAAATATTGCCACACTTTCTTTGCGCATGCATGACTATTATTCTATGAACTGCTTTCTTATTCACTTCAAGATACACAAAGCTTTACTGCCACATCTTTAGAACAGAAGTCCAAACCAAAGTTTAATAACCAAACTAATTAAAACTGACCAAGAAAGAAATTCCCAGTGGCCAGTCACTACGTCTCTTATTTCCCATTAGTATCTTCTCTCCTCTGATGTTTAATTTAAATCTAGTCAAAAATATTTTAACTTAAACTCTGCCTTCCTTCCCAAGCATGTCAGATGAAATATACATTTGCAAATCAGCATGCTGAGATTCAGTGGCTGTGAATTTTTATTTTTTTAAGTTTGAGTTTGAAAATGTATGTTTGGCTTCATCGGTTTATCTCATAGGTTAAGCATAATATACCGTATTTTTCAAACTATAAGACGCACCGGAGTGTAAGACACACCTTAGTTTTTGGGGAGGGAAATAAGAAAAAAGCTGATTGGCGGGTGGATCAGCCTCCCGGAATCAGCTGTTCCTAGAGGTGAATTTTAGCAACAGGTTCTGTGAGCTCTGTGCCTTGCTTTTTTTTCAGCTTCTGAAATCTCCATTTCAGAGGCTTTTTTCCTGAAGCTTCGTTTTGGAGGCTTTTTTTGGCCTCTGAAACCTTCGTTTCAGAGGCTGGGCGGGGCTACATTCAGAGTATAAGATGCACCCAGATTTTCACCCTCTTTTTTGGGGGGGAAAAGGTGTGTCTTATACTCTGAAAAATACGGTAGTTTGTCTCTTGCTTAGCAAGTTCTAAAAATCTAACTAATGTGATTTAGGAACCAAAATTATATTTTATTGCTGAGATTAGCATCAGCTTTCATGTACCAAGTATCATTTTTTTTAAAAAACTCCAAAATCTCACATCAAAGTTTTGGAGGATTTGTTTATCTTCCAAAATGTTAATTACTTTGTCTTAATTTTGATGTTTTGAACTTACTTTGATGAGAATAGTCAGACTGTCAATTAATAGCTTAATATCTAGTACAAAATAAGCATTTTTTCCCCCATTAATAAAGCCATTCTGTCAGCGCTTCAAGTTAATCTGGACCAAAACCAATACCATGAGTAGCAATACTATTTTTATTGTGGGGTTACAGTAACAAAGTCTTGCAAATCTGAAAGCACTTCTCCACTGCCTTGCTTTTACTTTTCAGAGAACTAAGGGGATGGGTCTCTTTTGAAACATTTCCCATGCCCCTATTTCCTTCCATGGCCTGAGATATTTTGTCTGACTATTGTCTAAGCTGAAGCTATTCCTCGTCTTCCAAGATCATTCTCACAGCCCCATTACACATTCTATAACACAATGTTTATTAAACAGCAGTACTGTACAGTACATACATACAATATATATCACATATATCTGTGGATAAGATGACACTCAATTTTTTAACCAAAATATCATGAAAAATGTGACACTATCAAATAAGCCATAGCTCAAAATTTTTGTATTTTTTAAAAAATGTTCACAATTGGCTTATCTGCAGGTAGTGCATTCTTCATTATCATTTCGGTTAAAAATTCAAGGATCTGCTTAGATGTAGATGGGCTTATCCATGAGTATGTACATGATACAGGGGTACTGACGGAAAAACCCAGCATATATATAAAACCTATGTTTTGCAAAGTGTACAAAAGGAGTAAAAATAAGCCAAAGTATGAAAGCATCAGATACAAAGAGAAGAAAATATAGTTAAATTTAATTTATATCAAACCATTCACTGCATCACTCCATATCTTTCTATCCTTGCAAACCAACCTTGTTTTTATCACTTTCACACACTGCTTTTTACATTTCCTTTTATTTTTAAATTCTCAACTCATGCCTTTGAAGGATCTTTACCAACTCCATCCAACCAGCCACGACTACTTTCATAATCTTTCTCTTCTTCTCTTTCTTCTTATATTAGATTTATGATTCAGTCTGATTCTCTCTACATCACTAAAATCATCCAAACATGTGGAAGATTCTCATTATTCGTAGAAGTTATGTTATATAAAGTCACAGTGAAAAACTGAATTAGCAAATACTGAAACCTCAACTCCCATCAAGTACTGCAGCTTGAACCATCAACTCTCAATAAACAGAAATAACAGAGTTGGAAGGGACCCTAAAGATCTTCTAGCCCAACCCCGCTTGGAACACTGCTATCATGTCACCCTGAGTCATTTTTTTCACTAGACTAGACATAACCAATTCCTGCAACTGTTCTTCATATGTTTTACCCTCCAGCCCCCTAACCATCTTTATTGCTTTTTTCCGCACTGTTTCCAGAACTTCAACATCTTTTTGATAACACAGTGACCAAAACTGGATGCAGTAATGTACAGATTCTAAGTGTGGTCTTACGGTATTAAGGCTTTATCAAGCGGGTACGTTTCTACTTGAAAATAAATGTCAATTCCCTGAACAGAAGACACTCCTAGATACGAGCGGGCTTGTCATATTACAGAGAGCAACATTACCAGCAACTGGCAAACTGGGGGTTCTTTGTTATCATGTGCTGCATATACAGTTCTCAAGCGTTACTGACTAACTGCCTCTCTTACATTTCCTGGCCGTTTAGCTCCCGTTTCAACGTTTCCGCTTGGAAGCCAGCGTTTCGCAGGATCTGCCCTTCCAATCCCCAGAGAAAACAAGATCCTAGACCTCAAAAGCTTGCACCACGATCGATGTGTGTTGTTGACCTGCCACAAAAAACACGTTCATATACACACAAGGGCATAGGAAGCGAGCCCAGGCCTCTCTCAATAGGAGCTTTTCGCTCACCCCACCCCGTTCCCTCCCCTTCCCCCCCCCGCACGACTGAGCAGGTTTCTCCTCCCTCAAATTTTGTATTCGGATACGGGGGCAAACACTGAGAGCGTATTTCAAGTGCGGGAAAGACCAAGCGGGCTTCGGATCAGTTTCCGTCAGGCTCCAAAGCTGGGCGGTTTTCTTCCCGACCAGGAGGGAGGAACGACGCTTCCTCCGGGGTTGCCTGTGTGGCGCCTTGAGGGAGGCCAAGCTTACACCGCCCCGTCCAGGCCACCAAGCCCCGCCCGGCCTCTCCCCTCCCCTCCCGCCGACCTTCCTCACCTGGCGAGCGCTTCCCCGGGGCTCGCGACCACCGAGCCACCCGTCTCGCCTCGCAAAATGGCGGCGCTCCTCCAAGCCACCTTCCTCCTCTCCTCCTCCTCCCCCCTCCCCCTGTGCGCGCGAGCCTCTTTTCCCAAGACTCCCTTCGTCACGGTCGTCGTCGGTGACACCGGAGCGTTCCGACCGCCTCCCTCGTTTTCGCCCCAGCGCGCGAGGGAAGCCCGTCCGCGCGCGCCCATTGGTTCGCAAGCCGTCGTAGCGGCCGCCCGCTCTGCGTTAGGATTGGTAGGAGACTCCGTCGCTCGAGCTCTGGTTTCCTCGCTCGCCTTTCTCGCGCCCGGCTCCTCTTGAAGCTGGTCCTCCCGAACTGCCGGGAGAGTTTGCTTTGATTTCGAATTTCTTTGTCGGCAGTTATACGAATATTATGCAGTTATTATTATTAGGCAATATTTTTTGGGTTAGTTGGGGCCTTCGAAAGATCGGCTCCTGTTTGCAAAAACTTCTGCAAAAGGAGCAGGAATGCCCAGCTGTGCGGACCAGCTCAGTAATACAGTAACCATCCGTTTCTGCCCCAAAGGTGCTTTTTCAGGAGGCAACTGGACTTCCTTGGTTTTTTTTCTTTGAAGACGTTTCGCTTCTCATCCAAGCACCATCTTCAGCTCTGACAGAATAGTGGGGAAGCTTCTCAGAGCTGAAGAAGCTTCTTGGATGAGAAGCGAAACGTCTTCAAAAAAAAACAAAAACAAGAAAGTCCAGTTGCCTCCTGAAAAAGCACCTTTGGGACAACCATGACCTGGATGACTGAGAATCTAGAGACATCCGTTTCTGCATTAATTGCTTGCGCGTCATATTGAACAGCACACTTAACTGCACCAGCTAGGTTTGCACTGCGCACCAAAACTCACTTCAGTCTAGTACGTTGTGCAAACCTAATCATAAATGGAAAGTTTTGCATCTTTCCTTTCATGATATACAATCTTCCAAAAAGACTTCTCAATCACAATACACTATAAATATGAAATAGTATTTAATGGCACTGGCCTTGAGGAAAGAATAGAGCTGGAGTAAGCGTCAAGGGATGGGGGTTTTTTTTTGCCTGTCTCTTCCTAAATTATTTTTGCCACTGTGGAGTCAGAAAGGTATTGTACTTGGAGTAATCTTCCCCCCCCCCCATGAATTCATGAGACGTTTTCTACATAGAATAAAAAAAAGTTGCAACTATTAATAGTTGCAATAACGAAAATAATTCAGTGAAGTATACTTTTTAAAATAAAGTTACGGGCAGAAACATTCCTTTTTCAGAATAAAAGGGTAGCAGAGGCAATTGCTCTATTACTCCCCTGTCAAGTCTACTAGCTTTGCAATGCAAATTCCAGGCCAGTAGAGTAGGGACCATTAGAAGAGAAAGCCATAAGCGGGAGATTTATTTATACGGATAAGCGATCTTTGGAGTTCACTACCAGGTTGCAACAATCTAAATAGTATTTAGTCATACATCATCACAAAGGCTTTTCTCTATCGGGGGCTTTTATTTTATTTTTATTATTTTATTTAAAAAGTCATCTCTCTGCAGCCCCGAGATATCCGTCGGATTTTTCTCTACCACTGCCGTATCCGGACTAAAAAAATAAAATAAATAAAAACAAAAGAGCGTGAAGCATCCGGTTTCCCTCTCCCTGCGCTACTTCCGGAGGAACTGGTTCCGCTTCCGGTTAGGATGTTGACCATGGCGGCGCTGCGGAGGCTGGCGGGCTTGCAGAGGTTGCTGGGGTTACCGGTTCGTGCCGTCTCCTCCGGCCAAACAGCGAATTCCACGGTTTCTGCCCGGATCGTCCCGGTCTCTCGCCCTCTGGACGTGGTTGAGTGGCACCCAATGGAGCAGAAAGAGGAGAAGAGCCCTTTCATCAAGGTGAGAACTGTCAGAGGGGAGAACTAAGAGGGCAGGGGAGCCAAAGGGGCAGCTGAGTACGGGTTTCCTCCCATTTCTGTTTGAAAAGGAGATGCCATTTCTTTTTGGGAAAGAGACTTCATTTTCTAAGAACGGCTTTCAGCGATATGGTGTCCTCTGGGTAGGCGCGGGCTACAGCATGTGGGATTCTCAGTCAGATGTTTTGGGCAGCGATCTTGTCAACACGTTTCTGAAATGTAGAAATGCCTGTCCTGGAATTATGAGTATTTGATGGTCCCACTTTGCAGCTGCAAAATAGTACTAACCTGTGTCCTGAGGATGTAACTACAGGCATCCTTGACTTATAACAGTTCGTTTAACCACTGCTTGAACATACAGTGGCACTGAAAAAAAACTGACTGATGACCATTTTTCACACTTATTTACCGTTGCAGCATCCCTGTAGTTATATGATTTACATTCGGATGCCTGACAACTGACTTGCATTTATGACATTTTGCAGCGTTCCGGAGTCATGTGATCCCCTTTGACCACCCTCTGACAAGCTATGGGGAAACCGGAGTCACTTTAGCAACCGTGTTACTAATTTAAGAACTGCAGTCATTCACTTAACAAATGTGGTGAGAAAAGTCGTAACATGGGGCAAAACTCACTTAACAAATTTTTCACTTAGCAACTTAAATTTTGGGCTCAAGTGTAGTCGTAAGTTGAGGATTACCTGGAGTACTGGAGTAAGTGTAGGATAATAAGAGTGTTTGAAGGATTCTGCTCAAGAGTGCATCCTTTATGCATCTTTCATTCAGGATTTGTGTTCCATGGAGAGATGGGAAAACTAGTGCTATATATGTTTTCTTCACTCTGTTAAGTGAAAATGTTACTATGTCTAATTTTAGTCTTTCAGAATCCTGAATTGCTGATATGATCATTAGAAAGGGTTGTTGAGTTTAGGCTGTAGTTTTGAAACAGTTCTTTCTTTTTTCTTTCTATTTTAGAGAGCCATTATGTCATAGAATTATCATTGGAAAGAATCTTGAAAATCGTCATCTCCAACCCATATTCAGTGCAGTGTGCAACCTCAACATCAGTGGGAGATAGAAGGCTCTTGATTTTTACAAATATTAAACAAATTGCTGTCACAACATAAAAGAATCATGAACAAAGACAAATGATTCCGATTTTTCACTCTAGTGTATTGTTTAAATTGAAACCTAAAATAGCATCATAAAATCTAAGTAATATCCACTTGTTGATTAGCATTATGCCATGTATATTTTTATATTATATGAGGCCTTGCTTTTTCATGGTAAAACCCTGGGATTGAATAAAATTAATGCTCATTCTCTCTCGCAGACATGTGGAATGTCTTGGTCAGGTATTTGAGCCTTGGTGGCGCAGCAGACTAAAGCACTGTTAAAGTAACACCAGCTGCCTGCAATTATTGCAAGTTCAAATCTCACCAGGCTCAAGGTTGACTCAGCCTTCCATCCTTTCGAAGGTAGGTAAAATGAGGACCCGGTTTGTGGGGGCAATAAGCTGACTTTGTATAAAAAAGAACACCACTGGGGGGGGGGGCGAAAGCCCTACTAAGCAGGTATATACAAAAGTATGAAGGCTATTGCTTAACGCATTGTAAGTCGCCCTGAGTCTCCGGAAAAGGGTGGCATATAAATCGAACCAATAAATAATAAATATTTAATTCTTAGTTTCATTCCCATTTATAAATCAGTATTTTCACGGTTTGCAGAATTGTTTATGTGAAATATGTATGAGTTCAGTCTTTTAAAATAAAATTCCATTCAATTATATGGGATTTTAACATTCTCACTTATCTGGAAATAAATACTGTCTTGGAAGTTATTTCTCAAGAAACATATTGAAACAAGCTTCGCTTTCATGCAGTGTATTAATCACCAAAATCTCTTTTATATGCCTGCATGACGTAAAAACTAAAAATCAACGAATGATAAACAAATAACTATAGATCTATGTGTGCAGGAGTTCCAAACAGTAGCTAATAAATATGTTCATTGTATCTTATAGTTTAAAAAAAATAGCAACAATGGGATCTTGTAGTGAGCAAATATGAGGTGAACTGTATAATCAAATGTATACAGTATTATTTCAATAGAAGAGTATATAAATGCTTTTTTTTTTCTTCCATACAGTTGTGAGAAGTTGTAGAGTTTGCCTGGACAATCCCTACAGTTTTACTGGCCAAATTTTTCCAAAGTAGTTTGCCATTGCCTCCTTCCTGTGGCTGAGAGAAAGTAACTAGCCCAAGGTCACCCAGCTAGCTTTGTTCCTCGAAAGTGAAACTAGAACTCATTCTCCCATATTCTAGCTTAATGCTTTAACCACTATATTAAACTGGGTCTCATAAATGTTGTAGCTGGTTGCAAATAATATAAGACAAAACAGAATTAAAATGAAGGAAGTACAGACAAAAAAATCAGTATGTATAATAAACAATTATTTTTTAACTATACACTTTACTATCTGTTAAAGATAGTTATGAGGTTTGTGAGCATTATATAAACATCTATTCATTAATCAGCTGATTTCTTTTTCATAATCTTAATATGCAATTTAGAGATTGGCTTCCTATCTTACACTAATTCTAGTAGTTTGTTTAAAGCAGCATCTTGTATGAGCCTAAACAAGCCATGGCATAGTGTGAACCTGTCTATATGATTCTCTACTCAGAAATAAAAATTAGTTGAATGCAGCACATATTGGGAGTAGGAGTGGCCCAGAGTTGGTTGGAAGATAGGCACCTATATAAATGTTTTAAATAAATTTTATTTATTTATTAGTTTGATTTATATGCCGCCCTTCTCTGGAGACTCAGGGCAGCTTACAATGCATTAAGCAATCAAATCAAAACTCAACACCAAATATTTTACATAAATAAAATGTGAACTGTTCTTTGTATATATTTTTCTTTTCGCCATACCGAGCCACAACTTCAAAAAGTATAACTTTTTATTAAAAGGGTGAATTGTGTCTTCAGTTTTTACCGTGCTTGTAAAATTTATTAAAATCAGCTGTTTTAAAGAAAATAAGAATTGTACTTTATATCTGTATCGAATACCTTTATCTGGTTACAATTATTCAACTATGTTTTCAAATGAAAAATTCTAAAAGCAATTCAAACAATAAAATGTAAGGCAGGGAATTCTGAGAGGTCCAACTTTTGG